ATTTGAATATGAAAGGCACAAGGAAAGGAACTATAAATATCACAGTGATGCTTCCTGTAACAGAGCTTTCATTAATGGCAAAATGGGGTGATTTCATTCTGCAGCCCAAAACTTGAGAGGCCTCCTGTAACTTTGAATGTTGCACAGGATATCTTCAATGAAGTGAAAGTGCTGCGGTGGGGAAGAGAGGCCACAGTTGATAAATAAAGATTTTTTTCCCTCTGAAACTCATCATAACATTGTTTGAGATAGCAGTAAAACATCCAACAGGAAACATTATTAAGGCAGCAGAATAGTAGAGCTTGAGCAAAAGGTTACTAATTAAAACAGCAATGCACGACTTCAACAATGCTGTAATTGAAATTGTGAACATGACGGGAATGAGCCCTGCTAGATCCCAGGAGAAGCAGCATCCCGGAAACTCTGCAGAGATTTTCATGCCTGCTAAAACAAGTCCCTTATTGGCTATTTAATTAGAGCCAAACAGCAGGTGACATTAATTGTGCAACTGCTACCGTATTAGCATATGTATATGCTATATAATGTAAATAAAAACCATGTCTCAACTGGTTAAAACATAAACATCCTATTTTCATTTAATTAAAATTATATTGCATACTAAACATTTTCTAGCACTGCCTATAATCTCTGTGGTGCTTTTGATCATCAGGGTGCTCTTTATTTCCTTCATCGTCACACAAATACAGTGAAACTTTTAAAGGGCAAGAGCTCTCTCAGGCTGGGTGATCCTAGAAACCATGAACAAGCCATGAAAAATGCCACAGCATATGTAATATTCTCCTTTCTATGAAACTCTTAAGTAAAGAAGCCATATACTTGGCAATCCCAGTGGCCTTGATTCTCTGTCTGTAAAATGGTAAGAATATTGTGGTTTGTGATATGACATACCATTTTGCTGGTCACAAGTGCTATATAAATAACATACAATGGGTAGTGATTGGTGGTGGTGGTGATTTTTAAAAAGAAAAGAAATGAGATGTTCAAGTTTTAAAAGCCAGACTGAATGTACACCTAAAACTAGGTGCTACTAGCTTTGCTTTCCTGTATGTGTATTACATGTATTTTACCCACTGCCATAGTGACCTGTCTTTTACAGTCAATATATGATCATCCATATAAACTACTGTGTTTAAGGATGACTACTGTGCAGACTCATATTTCCAGGACATTCCTATATTTGTCAGCTCAGAGGTAAGCTTCATTGAGTTCAATAAGGTAAGTGAATATGCTAGAACACCTGTTCACTGTTCTAATATGCTCGGTTAAGCATATGGGGCAAGCCCAAACAATGAGAGCAAGAGCTCTTAAGGGTGTGGGGAAAAAGTAACCTGAGGGAAAGATTATTAAAACATACATTAGAATGTTAATTGCTTTTTACCTCTAGGATTAATCCTGTGTTTTTAAACAGGTGTTTGTATGTCTGTGGATGGAACATCGGAACCCTAAAGTCTTTTGAATAAAAGCGGGTTTAAGACTGCAGTCCTAAGTGGGAATACGTATCTTTACTTCTAGCTGTATTTGATGGTATTCACTTCCTATTTAATGTTGCAGTTCTAACCTTACTTAACTGGGAGTAAGCCCCACTGAATTCATTAGGATTTATTTATGGATTGCACCATTGTGTGTTTAGGGGGATTGCAGCCTAACTGAAACATAGAAGAAATATTTAGAGCAGCTAGCAGCTATTCCATTTTAAAGCCTTACATTATTCAAGGATCAAAATTGATATGATATATTGACCAATTTCAATGTAGGTTGCTGGCTCAGGTTAAGCTCAAATATTTATGATCATTTTAATATATACCAATAATTGTTGGTATTAATCAAGGCTGGCTTCCAACTTGTTACTTCCCTGAGAAAAAAAATCTAAAACATTTGAGAGATTTTAGTTCAGTACAGTGAACAAGGCAGGACTTGCTTCTAATCAAGGCAGGTCAAAAGCATTTTGCTATCTTAGTAGATGGTATCCCCTACCCAAACCCCAAGTCAAAATGCCCATTATCTAAGTCTCGCCAACTTATGATGGCATCTGTAACAGAAAACCTTACAAGTGCACCTCCTGCCCCCAGACAATACAAATACAGCAATAATTACTAACCATGGGCTGCCTTGTTATGACATTTGACATTAGCTGGCTGATGTAGCCACAGCACTCTACCCAACAGTAAGGCTAGCCCTGTTTTTGAATCAACAAGTTTAGGATTCACTGTAGGTCAGCGGTGGGCATCTGGAATCTCCCTCTCACCCAGTGGTCCAAATGTGACAGGTGGGCCATGATGTAAGTTCACATCAGTTCTGGTACTGAAAACAAATCCCTAGGCTCAGGGGCAACCTGTACTTTAATTCTAACAAAATAAAATAAAAAAAAATTGTTCAGTAGCACCTTAGAGACCAACTAAGTTTGTTCTGGATATAAGCTTTCGTGTGCATACACACATCTCCAGAACCTTAAGGGTCTGGGGACTTCTGTTTCAGTGTATCTGTAGAAGTGGGCATGCACACGAAAGCTTATACCCAGAACAAACTTGGTTGATCTCTAAGGTGCTACTGGACAATTTTTTAATTTTTATTTATTTATTTTGACTGCATCAGACCAACACGGCTACCTACCTGAATCTTTAATTCTAACGTATGCCTTTTGCGCCATGTCCTAGTTGGTAGGTTTTGGGGTTCTAGTAAAAATCAAGAGTGATCCAAAAGGTCTAAAAACTGCTCTCCTTTGGCATAACCTCCCCCACCCAAAACTAAGTTCCACTGAAACAAATGGGCACCCTATGGATAAAAGATGCATAGGTCTGGAGTGTTAGTTTCTATGTTTACTTCATTGCACCTACATAGTCATGAGTGTTTTGTGAATGACACCAAAGAAGTTTCCTCTCTGCACGTTTTTGCTTGACTTACTTGTATTTTTTAAGGTGATCTCATTATTTCCTCCCATTCCTGTTTGGAAATAAGAACATGAGGCTATCATACTCTTACATACCACACCCAGCCATGTGAGAGGAAATATAAGTTTGCTCCTAGTTAAAATATGTCACTTTGATGTCCCCAATGTGATTTACATCTTTCCAGCCACTGCCAACGCATAGCTGTTGAACAACACAAGAAGAGGCCTGCGGAAAGTAAAAAAGGGATTTGGGGATGTTGTCATCTTCTTACTCTTTAATGGACTAGAAATAATCCTTATTATTCATTGTGCCTATAACTCCCAACCTATTTATTCTAGGCATGAAGCAGCCCAGTCCTACTGAGTCAAATAGGACAAACTTTGCAAGCTCAACACTATTTACTCAAAAGTAAGTCTTGTTGAATTCAGTGGAGCTTGCTGCTCCCAGGTAAGTGAGGTTCGGACTGCAGCTTTACTCCCAAGGAAACATTCATAGGATCCATGAAACACAGTGTGAGCCCTTTGTGGAAAGTGTCTATGACAAATAATACCTATATATACATCTACCAGTTTTTTAAAAATATTTTTTAAAAGTATTGTAATTATGCATGCATATATATGTATGCCATCCAGATGTTGCTAGACTCCACCTTCGATCATCCCTGACCATTGACCATGTTGGCTGGGGCCAATGTGAGATGGAGCACAACAACATTTGGAAACCCACAGGCTCCATCTCTGATGTAAGCACTAATATAATTCAGAAAATATGATGATGTTGACAATGATATTAGACTACAGGGCCAACCCAAGACATTTTGCTGCCTGTGGCAAAGGACACAGTGGCACTCCCACCCCCATTATGTGCACACAAGCCAGCTGAACAGTTGGATCTTACTTAAATAATGGCAGTAGGATAGGGTTACCAGACATCCCGGGTTCCCGGGGACAGTCCCCAGATTTGCAAATCTATCCCTGGACAAATTCTGCCCCCAGATTTGCAAATCTGTTCCTGGGAAATGTTGCAGTGGCAGCCTCAGCAGCCCGGAGCCAACCTGGTAGCACAGTTGGCTCTGGTTGACTTCAGGAGTTGCTCGCTGCTGTGGCACCTGCCATTTTTTGTCACCGGAAGTCCCCATATGTGTCTTGTGCAATCTCCTGCCCCCTTCCCCCTTTGTTTTGACTGGTCAGGGGTGGCTCGGGAGTCGCCCAGTTTTTAAAAATTTCTGTGCACAGGGTGTGAAAGAAGGGCTTTGCACCTTTATACAATATGCATGTGTGCTTGGGCCCAGGGTGTTTTGCCTCACCATCTGCACTACTGACTCCTTGTTGCTACTCAGCTTTTTTTTTTTTTTAAGTGTCCTTGGATTCACTGAAAAAAATCTGGTAACCATACAATAGGATAGGGTCCTTCAGTGCACCTGAGGCCAACAGGCTAGTTTAGGGAGTATTGGGTCAGGATTGCCAGCATGCATGGCCCTGGCACTGAAATTTGTGGGTTTCTGGCCCCTTCATGGAGACTTTTGTGGGTGCTCAGGCGCCCAGGGCATTGGCACCTCTGTACCTGGCAGAACTGTGGCACACATAGGTGTAATGGCCAAGAGAGAGAAATGGCAGGGCAGCTTGTGAAGAATGGGGAGGGCTGCTGCTGCCCTCCACCATCTGCCACCCAAGGACATTGCCTCACCTGCCTATTGGTAGGGCCAGCCCTGCAAGACTATCAACACTGGTTCATTAATTCACTGCCAACTCGAGAACTAAAAACTAATAATTCTTTTTTTTCTTTGCAAACATCTTCTTTTAAAGGAGCCAGTATGCTTTAACCTGTTGATTGTCTGCCTCCTGTCACGCAGCTGGCAAAGCCGCTGGAATTCTCCCTCCCCGGAGACGCCTCGCGCAACCACGCTTACTCGGAAGTAAGCCTCCCGGAGTTCAGTGGGACTCGCTTCTTGGCTCGTGGATCTAGATTTCGCGGCTGACGAGCCTCCCAGGTATGCGGAGGGAGCCACCGTCTTCGGGGGTTTCCTCTCAGGCGACGGGGCGGAGGGTGGCCGCCTAAGCCCCACCCCCCTCCGACAAGGCAGGCATTGCCACAGAGAGTGACACCTCCGGCGGCGGCGGCGGCGCTCGTCGCCCCACTGCCCGCCCCGCTCCCTCCCTCCGCGCCTGCAGGTGAATAAGAGCCCGTCAATCCCGCCTCTGAGGATGAAGTGATAAAGCGAGAGAGCAGCGAGCCCACAGGAAACGGACGACTCTTCCCCTCGCCGCCAGGCCGCTCTCCCGTAGCGGCGGAACGAAGGTCTCCCTCGCCAAGTCCGCGCAGCTCTCCCTCCCTCTCTCCCTCGCTCTGATTCGGCGCGCGGGGACTTTTGCTGTTCTTTTACCTCCCGGGAGACGAGCGCGCGGCGGGAGTGGCGCGGAGAAAGGGAGGAAGGCAAGAAAAGCGTGTCCCTGGGCGAAGGAAAAAGCCGCCCTGCTGCGCCTGGGCTGAAGCTGAGCATCCAGGAGCCGGGCGAAAGCGCCTCAGGTGGGCGCGAGAGTTTTACCGGTCATTCTCTGGACGAGGGAGGCGCGGGTTGAGGCGGAGGGATCGATTCGCGAGGACGGCGTCCTCGCATTTGCGGCCGAACCCGCCTGTTTTTTGTTTTTAGCACGCGGAAGTGCTCCCCTCTTTTATAGTAGCATATGCTTATTAAACTATAAGCTGTTAATTGGAAGAGTGTTTCGTTGGCTTCCATTCGTTGCCGTTTCTGTGGAGAGAAAACGAACAGGAACCCCGCTAGGAGAGGCGGTCGTGCCCTTTATGCACAAATCCGGATTCTTTTCGCACCAAAATCGTGGTGGGGGGGCTTTAAGAAAAGGTAATGGAGTGGAGGGGGAAGCGGGGTAGGAGACATAGGCGTGGAAGCTTGGCCATATCACCAGTTTATTTTAAAAGTCAGGACGTGGTGGTGGTGCTTCCTGTATGTTTGATCTGAATGACCTTGGCACCATACCTCTGCCGAAACACCTGCTGTTTCCTTATTGTTAAGACGTCGGTTTGGACTACAGAGATTTCAGTCGTGTGGATTATTATTATTATTATTATTATTATTATTTGAATTTATATACCGCCCTATACCCAGAGGTCTCAGGGCAGTTCACAGAAAACTTCATGAAAGGAAGAAGCTATATGCCCAAAATACCTACACTTCAACGTCTACAGTAATTTTGATTATTGCCTACTATCATCTAACGAAATAATTTTAGCAATATCTAATAAAACTACACCTAAATCAAACAATTATTTCTTAAAGGCCTATATGGGGAGAAGTTACACGGAGAGGTTTCAATAGCATGTTACATGAATATGACAAATGTGTCTACATTACATCTGAGCATATTTTAAAAGTATCAGTTAAAAATAGCATTCACTGTGGACCCAACATGTTTTGTGGTAAGGCAAATCAACTGTAAGGCCTGCTCCATTGTCTCTAGAACAAGCCAAAATGGGTATGAAAAGGAGTGCTAAAGTGGGAAAACTTGCCATAGCAGCAGCAGCAGCAGCAGCTCCTATTACCCCACCTTTGGTTGGATGATATTCTATATTCTAAAAATGACTTACGTTGTATCCAGCCTTACCGGGACGTTTCCCATCATAGGATGGATAAAAGTGATCTGCAGAGGCTGTTAAAGATGTGCATCGATAGGATCTCTTTCTAAGCAGGCATGGGTGGCCTCAATACTTGCAGGATCCGCCTGGGATCCACTACCTAGAATCAGGTACAAAAGTGTACAAGTTAAAGAATTCCGAGGCCCAGGAATAGATCTGAGTTCATTTATTCCACACACAGATGTTACTTCCCTCCCTGCTTACCCCCCCATACTTCATTTCAGCAGAAGAATTGTGGGGGGTAACTTTGCTGGCACCTTTGTTAAACAAGAAGTATGAAATCTTCACCAAATCCTCCAAGCTCCTTGGAGCAGATCCTGCTCCATCTTCTGTCCAGCACTTTTCCATAGAATCTGGCAACTTATTATACAACAGAATTTCATCTATTTTTGTTGTTGATAATTCCCTTTTTATTAGATCCTTTCCTCAAGGAGCCGAGGCCACCATATTTGGTTAACACACTATCCATTTTACCCTCACAACATCCACCTAAGTTAGGTTAGGCTGAGATATGGTGACTGCCCAAGGTCACCCAGACAGCTTAAAGGCTAAGTGGGAGTTTGGGGCTCTCTGGCCCCAGTCTCACATACTTGATTACAACACTACATTTTTAGCTCAATCTTCCAGTGAAAAAACCAGTGGTTCCTAGATGGCTCTTAAGTGGGATGTAGTAGCTGATTTGAGCTTGATTAATGGGCCCTGGGTAGATCCATGACACTTCCTTATTTGTGCAGTAGCACATTGCACACATTAGGCACTAAATATGGAGTAACCCAGCAGCTGTAGTGTCTTCAAAGTGGTGGTAAATATGAGAGAAGTTTGCTTGTTCTGTGGAAGCAGTGATTTTGAAAAACAACATTGTGCAACCATATCTACATATGAGACTTTGTGCTGATTTGAGGAGGAAAGCTTACAAACTGAAGGTGTGTGTCATTACTTCAGGGTAGCTGGGTATGTGAAATGAAATGCCCATTAATCTGAGTTCTCTTAATTGCTGCTTTTTAAAGTATCTGTTTGGTAGTTACTGGCTACGCAAAACTATCACATGGTCCAAATCTATAATTTGTGTGCTCCTTCCTTGTAGATTAGAGATCACATTTGGGCAGTTTTTATGGGCCTCATTTCCAGTAAGGGATTCAGGTTACATTTCTGCAAACTACCCAAACCAGCACATATTTGCATCTAAATGGGTTGAGTTACACTGACCTTAGTGGAACAAAGGTTACTGTCCTCAGCTTAAAATGCTATCTTTAAACTGTTCTGCTGGCAGTGAAGGAAATAAAATGAAAATTATGTTCTTATACTGCACTGTCACAGGCAGATTGAGAAACTAAGCTGCAGTAGTTACACTTGAGTTCAGGGTTCTGCATGTCTAAAGTGGTTTGAAACATCATCCTAAATTGTTTGAGGATTGGGCTGTCCATTCTATTGTGGGAGGTGGTGGTGGTGGGGAGCTCAAGAGTTTTTAAAGGCCATTTTCGCTGAGGCTTTGGACGATGTACTATTTGAGCAGGAACAGAAATTCATGTGCAGAATTGTCTTATTGGTCCTTTTTTTGTTTTCTCATATTGTGCTGTTTCTAAGGGATATGGGATTGTTCCTTTGTTTTAAGTACTAAGGGGAAAAGGACGTGATAAAGGGAAAGGCTGTACTGTAGTTTAGGTTTCCCTGGAAGCAAATTTCTTGGGTGAGATGGGGTTTTCCTCTGCCTTCAAAGGCTGAAAGCACTTTATGAATAAGCAGTTCCTTCTGCCTGATAGGGTTACCAGCTTTGTCTGGCAGGGTTGTTTTCCTACCAGCAACTATGTGATAAGCAAAATTGCTTCAGGTGGAACTTTTTTCCTATCTGAATTTTCAGCCTGGGAAGAATTTCAGCCTTTAAACATCTGCTCACCATAGCAGCATTTAAAGACACAGAAGCCTTAATACTAACTTTGTATTCTATGGTCCTGTTCCAGGAACTTCATTATTGAAACGGTTTCTCTTTTTCTGTAGAATACATTCCATTTCTAAGTTTATTTTAATCTTTCTTGCTTCTGCAGTTGAACCACTATAGTGCTATAGGCTAAAGATGGGGAATTGCCATTCACAAATGCACTAGGGCTACAATCCTAACCCCACTTACCTGCAGAGTAAGCCCCATTGAATTCAATCGGACTTACTTTTGAGTAGACATGGTTAGGATTGCACTAAGTTACCTTATTAAAGCTCTGTGCAGACTCCAGCTCAGCTCCTCACCTGCAGTGAGTCTGTGTTAGGATGAGACTGACCTACCAGGAGGGCAGGTTTACAGCAAATGCCTATTGACCATAAGGCATACGAAATACTTTGAATACTTGCTTATAATCCTTGTTTGTTAATAGCACTCCGTCACTAAAGTTGCCTGTTTTAGGAACAATCATATGCTGAATTGGTGTTAACTGAGTGATCTTCAGTAGCTGATACAATGCAAGTTCAAAAATATTTTGCTATGTGCTTTGAAAATGACAGTTGAGTGGGGTGTCAGCATTGTTGACACAAAGTGTCATCAGAGAAGTTTAAAAGTATCCCCTGGGTATACTGGGTATACTGTATAATAACAACGAGGGCAGGAAAACCAAGTTATGTGTGCAGTTAATGTACACATAACACAGATATGCTGTCCTCATGGTTTTGTATCCTTCTGAAGTGTGATATGTGTAAGAGAACCTAAATCTCCAGTTTTCCAGTACTAAGAAGCAGATGGAAACTATGGAGCAGACTTTATGATATCCTATCTACCAGTAGCACATGTAACAAAATATTTTATTTTATTGTCTTCCTACTACTGTGTGACATCTGGTGCTTTATAAATTATGCTTCAAGGGAAACGGGTGTCCCAGATATTATTAATTAAGGTGGAGAGACAGTACAGTTACAATTGAGACTGCAGTGCCATGCATGCTTACCTGGGAGTAAGCTCCATTGAACTTGGAGACTGTGGTGAATAAACATGGTTAGACTGCATAGTGGAAATTCTATAGAGGGGAAATGACTTCTCTCTCAAGCCAAAAAAGAGAGGTTGAAAAAAGCTGTTTCTTTGCTTCGTTAAAATAAACCTAAGTAGCTTATACATGTATCATCTCTATTTGTAGCATAATGTGTCAACAGCAAAAAATAAAGGATTCTAATTTTAATTATATGTCCAATATAGGAACATGTCATTCATTCAATGCTTAAGAGATTTTAAAATTATTAAGTGGTTTATAAACACTTTAAAATAAAATATTCATATAATAATGAAAGGTTCCTCAGATTCTCTTAATATTAGCTATTCTTTTTTTCAACCCCAGACATTTATTAACTACTGATATTCCAAATGTTAGACTAGTTTTTCCTTAATGTTCCAATTATGCATTCAAAATACGTTTGACATTCTGTTAAATTATCATTCGTAGTGTAACTCACAGTAAATTAAATGTAACATTGCATCTATTGTTTTATGAATTTTCCAAGCATTCAGGTGCAACTGGTTGTGATGTTAAAACTTCTCATGCAAACAAACATAAAATTGCAGGTCTTTGGGTTTCAAAGGTACAAATGAATTTCCATATTACATCAGTCCATGTAAATTTCACCATAGAACTTTAAACAAATGGATTCAGTCATACTCAAGATAATGTATAATTTTGAAAACGTTCCCTCTCTGCAGCAACCTAATAAAGTTGCTAATTTTCATATATGAATTGGAGATGTAGTTGTGCTAAATATTTGTCCTGACTTTTTACTAATGACACTCAGTGTTGAACTTTTTCAGTGCAAAATAAGCAAGCAGTACATTCTTCATATGCACACCTTGCATACTGTGGTGTATATCTATGAAGAACAAATCAGGTGATAGATGCTGTTTGTATTCTGCATGAAAGCTTTCCTGTTATACCAATTCTTCCATGAAGAGTTCCCTTTAATTTAATTCCTGAGCCTTCTACTGGCCACCAGAAAGCTGCCTTAAAAGTCCTTTTATAAGTTAGCATTATTTGGAACACTTCCACATCCCTGTGCTGGTACGTGATGTTTAAAGCCCTGCCCCTGCCTGAATGGCATGTTATAGCCACACAGCCTCATATCTAAATAGAATATTGCTTCAAAAAGCACTTTTGGAAAGCATGAAGGTGAGTGTGCTAAACAATACCTTAAATGAAAAAAAGAGATCTCTGTGCTATTAACTACAGCAGGTTAATGGCTATCTGATTCAATGAGCTCCCCCCCCCCCCTTGAAAATGATGTAAAAACTTTTTGGATACATGCTCTGTCTAGCTGTAAGTACTTGATGGGAAACATCTAGTTCTTCTGAGAAGGGTGCTAAAGAAAGTGGTTTTCTTCTGATCGAAATAAGTTCAGACCATATGACCTGCCACACCATGTTATCTGCTACTAAAAATGGTTGATGCACCAACTGGGGAGGCATGATACGCTAAGTGAGCACTGAGTTCATAACATTTCTGGTCCAGGGTAAGCTAGCCTTGAACTGAGACACCTTTTGGGTATTTGATTTCAACGTAACTGATACCACTTGGTCAGATGAGCCAGAAATGTACAATTGCCAGCAAATAGAACTGTCTTTTTTGTTAAATAAATACAGAATATTTTACCTTTGTCTTGCTACCTAGTAATGAGAGTACATGATGGTATAGTGTGGATTTCTTGATATTGTGTGCTGAGAATAGTTAGGTTCTTCATCAGAGTTGCAGGAAATCCAGCTGTGTGCTGTTTGAGAACAAGCTTGGGATGTGATATTATTTTTTAAAAGTTATTGGAAGTTACCAGCATCAGCTTTGCATATATTCCTGTTTTTAATATTAAATTTTAAATTATCGTAACTCATTTTGGGACCTGATGGCGAAGGATGTGTAATAAATTGAATATATAACAATAAATAGTAGCTGTGGGAGGAGCTTATCAGAGCTTGCAGGGCAGCGGCGCGCGCCTAGTGGCGCGTGCAGTTTGATCCATCTTTTAGATTTAGGGGAGCTAGTCTCAAACGTTTGTTGGGGGAGACCTAGGGTTTTTTGGGGGGGGGAGTTATTTGTCCTGTCTTCACGCTTTTTATGATGGAGGACCACTGTAGCCACCCCCAACGACACGTTCTCAAGATGGAGGGGGAGGAAACAGCTGCAGTTGCCTGCGGCTCCTGTGCAATGTTTGCCATCTTGCCAAAGGTTGCAGGCAGCTTTACCTGCAGCAATTGCATGTTGATTGCCCTCTTAGAAGACAAAGTCCAGCAACTGGAGGAACGTGTAGCTACGCTCCAAAGAATTAGAGAGCTGGAGCTCTTCTTGGAAGCAACAGAGCACACCGCCTCCACCAAGGAGGAGACAGGGGACTCCCCTGAGAAGGAGGCTAGTTCACCAACACAGGAGCCAGATATATGGAGAAACGTAACTCAAAGAAGTAGGAGGCCCAGGGTTCGCTCTGATTGTTTAGAAATACACAATCGCTTTGAGGTCCTTTCCCCTAGCATGGAAGATGAAGAGCAGACTCCATTTGAGGATCTCTCCCTCATTACAGTTGATCAGGTAAATGAAGACGAGCAGCAAAGTCAGTCCTCAGGGAATGTGCAGGCGACCTTGGAACGGACAGCTCACGGAAGAACCCCAACCAAACCTAAGAGGAGGTGTGTAGTGGTGATAGGGGATTCCCTACTGAGGGGAACAGAAGCAGTGATCTGTGGGCCTGACAAGATGTCTCGGGAAGTGTGCTGTCTCCCCGGGGCTAAGATCCAAGATGTAACTGAACGACTGCAAGGAATCATAAAACCCACTGACAAATACCCCTTCCTCTTGGTTCATGTGAGGACCAATGACACTGCAAGCAATAGCCTCCAGAAGATCAAAAGAGACTACGAGGCACTGGGCAGGAAATTGAAGCAATTAAATGCACAAATTGTCATCTCATCTGTCCTCCCAGTTGAGCGACGTGGCCCAGGGAGAGAGGGGGAAATAGTGGAAGTGAACAGCTGGCTTCGCAAATGGTGTAAACAGGAACGGTTTGGATTCTTAGATCACGGACTGCAGTTTCTTGAAGATGGACTTCTGGCAAGCAATGGGCTGCACCTCACAACGGTTGGGAGGAATGTTTTTGCCAAAAATTTCAGAAACCTCATCAGGAGGGCTTTAAGCTGACTAATGTGGGGGAGGGAGACAGTGCTCCTGAAGGCAGGAGTCTATCAATTGATGAAGATGATCATCCAAATGTCATAGACCAAATGGAGCAAACAGCACACAGACCTAGTGGTGGGAGGAAAAAATCCTTAAATAAGAGACATGGGGGAAATGATTAATGGACTTCAGTGTCTATACACTAATGCACAAAGCATGGGAAATAAACAAGATGAGCTTGAGCTCTTGGTGCAGCAAACTAAATATGACATAATAGGCATCACTGAAACCTGGTGGGATAAGTCCCACGATTGGAATGTAATAATGGAGGGATACAATCTATTTCAGAGAAACAGACCAGACAAGAAAGGAGGAGGAGTGGCGTTATATGTCAGGGATGTGTATACCTGTGAAGAGATCCAAGATTTAGAACCTCAAAGCCAAAGTGAGAGCATTTGGGTCAAAATTAAGGGAGAGAAGAATAACAGTGACCTCATTGTGGGAGTTTACTATAGATCCCCAAGCCAAACGGAGGACATAGATGATGCCTTCCTGGAACAGATGGCCAAGCATGCAAAAGGAAGGGAGATAGTAGTAATGGGGGACTTCAATTACCCGGATATTTGTTGGATGTCAAACTCAGCCTAGAGCATAAGGTCAAACAGATTCCTCACTGGCCTTGCAGACAACTTCATTGTCCAGAAAGTGGGAGAAGCAACAAGAGGAACAGCCATTTTAGATCTGGTCCTAACCAATGTTGATGACCTGGTTAGTGGGGTAGAAGTGGAAGGATCATTAGGCGCGAGTGATCATGCTCTTCTGAAGTTTACTATACAGCGGAAAGGAGCAGCCAAGCATACTAATACTAAAAGGAAAGGGAGTTCATGATGGCTGGGAGTTTGTTAAGAGGGAAATAGTAAAAGCAAAACTTCAGGCAATACCAATGAGACGGAAACATGGAAGGTGCCTAAAGAAGCCAGGGTGGCTATCTAAAGAACTTTTAACTGAGTTAAGATTAAAAAAGGATGTGTACAAAAAATGGAAAAGGGGGAAACCACCAAAGAGGAATTCAAACAAATAGCCAGCACGTGTAGACACAAAGTCAGAAAAGCTAAAGCACAGAATGAACTCAGGCTTGCTAGAGAGGTTAAAAGCAACAAAAAGGCTTTTATGGGTATGTTCGTAGCAAAAGGAAGAACAAAGAAACAGTGGGGTCACTCAGAGGAGAAGATGGTGAAATGCAAACAGGGGACACAGAAAGGGCTGAACTCCTCAATGCCTTCTTTGCCTCAGTCTTCTCCGATAAAGAAAACAATGCCCGACCTGAAGAATTTGGAGCAAATGATTCAGCAGAGGAAACACAGCCCAGAATAACTAAGGAGATAGTACAAGAATACTTGGCTAGTCTAGATGTATTCAAGTCTCCAGGGCCAGATGAACTGCATCCAAGAGTATTAAAAGAACTGGCAGATGTGATCTCAGAACCACTGGCAGTCATCTTTGAGAATTCCTGGAGAACAGGCGAAGTCCCGGCAGACTGGAGGAGGGCAAATGTTGTCCCTATTTTCAAAAAGGGGAAAAGAGAGGACCCAAATAATTACCGCCCAGTCAGTCTGACATCAATACCAGGGAAGATTCTGGAGCAGATCATTAAGCAAACAGTCTGTGAGCACCTAGAAAGGAATGCTGTGATCACCAATAGTCAGCATGGATTTCTGAAAAATAAGTCATGTCAGACTAACCTGATCTCGTTTTTCAATGCTTTTCCTGCTCCTTTTAACTTCCACAAGGACAGGTACTTTATTTAACTCTAGACTAACAAAGCTATTGCCTGCCAAGAGTGCCTGCTCTTCGTTGCTCTATGTATGCCTTCCTCCTCACAGAAGCCATAAGAGACCATTTGGTAGCAGCTCTCCAAGGTTTCAGGCAGGAAAGGAGTCTTTCCCAGACTTACATGGGTTTACCAGGGATTATATCTGCAACCCTTTTTTACAGTACATGAACCATTTTGGCTCTCCCCTGTTAATCTGGAACAATCTTGCTGCAGCTTGAAAAGGCTCTATGGTGACTTTGAGAATTGTATGTAGTCCAAGTCTTTGGTGGAATAGTTGTAGTACAGTATTGGAATTTCCCTGGCCTGTTCACTATATGAATTTAAAAGCTGCATGACTGGAAAAGGATCATTACTGAGTAATTTAAAGGTGGTACTAGTGTTATTTTGATTTTTACTTCCAGGCATGTAATCTTGTGCCACGTAATCATTTCACTGGTTTGGCTTTAATTTATACTTCCTTGTATGTTCTTTTGTAAATTGAAGCTATATAGTTAGAACTATAAATTACTGACCTGAATACATGTTGCTGACTCAAAAGGGAAGTATCTAGAAAGATCTCAACAAACAAACTTGGTGATGAATGTATCCGTGATAAATAATAAGCTTGTGTATACTGTAAGTTGAGAAGCTTTCCCAGCTTGTTTACTGGTTTTTGTAGGAAACAGAAAGTTTGCATTGTATTACTTTTTCTCTCCTTTAGTGCAACATAGTTGACATGGGAAGAATACATGGGGTTAAATTCAAACTAGCAATGCAGAAGTAGGTAGGATTTAAGCCTAAAATCAGTGGGACTAAAATTTTGATTGATATGCTGTGATTCTATACACTAGTGGTGGGGAATCTTTTTTCTATATATGGGGGGGGGGAAATCAGCTGGAGGCTAGAGCTGATGGTAGACTGGCTGCAGTGGAAGGAAGAGAAATTGAAAACTGCTAGGGAAAAGATGGGATAGAGGATTCTGGAAAATGGCATGATTGGTTAGGGAACCTGAACAGAAGAACTTCACAGCACAGCATTTTATGACAGATCCTCCTTGCAATTTAATAAAAATAATTAAGGCTGGAAACACAGATATCTTTGAATTGTAGACTCCCCCACACAAAAAGGTATGTGTTCTTCTCGGTATCATGCACATGGGTAGGTAGGTGTCTGTTAAAAGGGGTCAGTCCAGGAGCATACTTAAACCAGTGCTGCACTTGGGGCAAATTTTGGAGGGGAGATGTTTGCTTTCTTTGGGCTATAGTCTGTCCTTTCGTAGTATATCATGCATGCTCAAGGTAAGAGTGAATTTGTTGTTACATTTGAATGGCTGTCAAAAAAACCCACAAGCATAGTGAAAGAGCAGGAACACATACATAGATGACTAACCAACTGGTGTTCAGGGCAAATAAATTATGGCTATGTTCTTAAACAATTTATGTAAAGTGTTATTTGTTCAAGGCGTTGGAATTTCACCCATTTAACAAAAGGAATGGCGTGAGTTTTGCCTTTTAGGCTGTATAATTTATAATTCCTGAATCAGCAAGGATTCAGTTGTTGAGCTAGCCAGACCACCTTCTTGGTAATGGCCACCTAAATATGAGTTGTTATGAGTTGTTAAGGTAACAGAGGAAGTGGCTCTGTGCCAGAGAGCAGATGGGTAGGGGCCTGCTATAACTGGTTGTTAGACGGACAAAAGCCAGAGTTGAGGTGTGTAAGAGCTGGAAGCTAGAAGCAGGTTGCTGGCAGAAATAATAATAATGATCACAACAACAACAGCAGCAACAACAAATATAATTAATAATTAATAATTCATACCCCACCCAACCACTTTAGGTGGCTTCCAGCAAATATAAAAACATAATAATGGACAATTAATTGACATTTGAAAGAGGCTGCCTCAATACTTTATTATTACAGTATAACAAAGTTGGATTGATGGGTAAAGTGTGAGTGTCCTCTGCAGGAGTGAATTGTAAGGCATTGTAGTACCATCCTGTAATGTCTACTGAGATGTAAGCCTTATTGAGTTCAGTAGGACTTACTCCCAGGCAGAGTGTGTGTGTGTGTGCGTGTCTGTGGATTGTAACCACAGTTACTTGCTTCAAAACTTTAGTGCATCTTATAATTGAGAAAGTAATTTTCTCTATTTATAGGTTTGTCTGAAACTTGCAAAAGACGAATTGCTGAAAATCAAGATGGAGTCTGATTCAGTAAGTGAATATCTTTCAAAGATAGCATGCCATTTGTGGTGATTTGTAAAAGTGTTTTCAGAAAAAAAGAGATGGCAAATATTATTATAAATGAACCTTAATTTATGCTTATTGAAAATAACGTCTCCACATCACACTTTTGTCTTAAATCTAGGATCTGATCTTTTTTTAAACGATATTATGGCAGTTGGAAAACCAACAGGAAAGTATTGCGTGTAAATCTGCCAAAAAGCATTTTGAACTTTAATGGTGCAAACAGTTGCTGGTGCTTGCTCATCTAAAGTTCATCTCAATTCTTCTAGCAAGTGGGGACAGGTCCATAATTTTGGCCTGGTTTTGCTAGCCAAATAAAAAACTGTGTTTGATGGGGCCTCGTTTAGCTCAGCACAGCAGCGACCCATGAGCCTGCCTGTGAAAAGCCTGTCAGAACCCTTGTTGGGACATTGTGGACCTCCACCCTTCCTCCCCCAACTAGGACCTGGGAATATGGTGGGTAACATTGTGCAGCTGTTGACATGATAGCTCCACCCTGCTCCACCCTGTCCCACCCCTGCCCTAGCTGTGCTTTCACGCTTGCCAGATAGCAACAGCACACATCCCATGGTGAATCTAGAGGAAGCCTAAGAAGTGGGCTGGATTTGTAACAGACTTTGTTCTGCTATAGTGCCAAAATGCTTATAGAATGCTATAAGCATTGGAACCTTATCAATGCAGCACAGTAGAAAACATCATTTGTGGGTAGCCACTACATAAGGCAGCCCTTGGGTGCAGGGGGAAATGCTGCTGAAATCATCAACATTGGGTTTGACAATTGACAGTGAACATAGTAGCCAGGGCAGACCCAGCACTGCTTGTGGCAGTCATGGGGACCATCACATGTTTTCTCTGCTGCTATCACTGATTTAGCAGCAGGCAGCACCCCTCAGCATATTCCACCAGGTCTTCAGACATGCTCCATGGGTGAACAGGTGGCAGCAGCCAAGCTCAGCTTTCATACATAGTGGCTGTCTGCCATTTTAAGTTATCTAAAATGCAAGGTCTTGGTTTATAGATATATGAAATTTACTGATGATTTGTGATTGTTTTACTGATGCTTTGTTAATTATTCTGTATGGTTTATGTTTTATTTGTGATGTTCTATTATATTGTTGTTTTTCATTGTTTGTGAGCCACTTTGTGATTCATGTGAGTGAAAAGCAGCATAGAAATATAATAAATGATAATGAAATTAAATAAGTTATTTTAACCTTTTTTAAAAAAATATTTTAGAAATATAATAAATGATATGAAATTAAGTTGTTTTAAACTGTTTTTTAAAAAAATAATTAAAGACTTTCTTGGGTTTTAAGAACTGTTTTTAATGTTGTGTTTTAAATTGGTGCAACCTGCCCTGGGATGTTAGGGAGAAGGACCAGCGATAAATTAATCTGATGACAAATGACAACAGCTATTGCAACAAATAAATAGACACTTAAGTGAACTATTACAAAGTGAGAGATGTTGGTATTCCAGTGCTTTCTAAACAATATTTGTTTATTCATGTGCTGATTTTGTTGTACCTGATTATTTCTGATTTTTAGAGGCCACCTCCGTATTATGAAAATTTTGCCTATCAGCCAGAAAATGCAGCTTCTCATAGATATTTCGGTGGCCATAACATGTATCCACAATACCCACCTCCGTATTATCCTCCATCAGTGCCACATTACGTCCCCAGAATTTCAACTCATGAGTCAACTCCAGTGCCAACAATAGCACAACCAAAGTCTACAAAAATCTGCACGCCAAGTAAGCTTTGCTTTATTTTTTTTTTAAAAACAAGATTTTCTGTAATTAGACCTGTTGTATAGGTTTCCAAAAAAGCCTCTTTGTATTTGTTCATATGTTTAAATATTGTTCACATGGTTGTACAGTGGTACCTCGGGTTAAGTACTTAATTTGTTCCGGAGGTCCATTCTTAACCTGAAACTGTTCTTAACCTGAAGCACCACTTTAGCTAATGGGGCCTCCTGCTGCCACTGTGCCGCTGCTGCTCGATTTCTGTTCTCATCCTGAAGCAAAGTTCTTAACCCGAGGTACTATTTCTGGGTCAGTGGAGTCTGTAACCTGAAGCGTATGTAACCTGAAGCATATGTAACTCGAGGTACCACTGTACTTCCATTGTTGTACCTTGCGGGGGGTGAGGGTAGCAGGGAGAATAGAATGGTGGGCAGTTCATTGAATTAATGATGTTATGGATTATTATTTTTTGGGTGGGCTGCTTTTCTTTAAACTGGTATGTACCTGTAGGTTAGAAATAGACTGTCTAGTCTTACAACTCATGATAGTTTTCTCTCTATATATTTTCAGGACTCAGGAAAATATTGTTACTCATTCTAGCCATTGCAATACTGCTAATAGGAGCTGCAATAGCATGTGTTCTCATCTGGTTTTTCGGTAAGGATCTGTTTGTGTTTATAGAAGCTTAAAATATCTTGCAACATGTTTGCCTGTGAAATAGGTTAGGTAGGCTGAGAGACTGTGACTGGCCCAAGGTCACACAATGAGCATCATGACTGAGTGGGGATTTGAGCCCAGGTCTCCCAGATCCTAGTCCCACACACATTCTTAACCACTTCCCCACATTGGCCCTCTTAACAACCACATAATTATTAAATTATGGACCATACATGTATGGTCATGGCCACAAACGTCTGATAGCATTAGTCCATCCTGCTTCCTTTTCTCCCCACCCATATTTGAAATGCTTTTGCTCATGAAGCATGGTGCTCTTTTTGTTGCCAGTGAAGTAGATTCCTAAATCTGATTTGTTTCTTTACAGTGACAGACAGTTGTTATGGCTCCAAGATACGGTGTGGCACTCTGGGAGTTTGTGTGTCACCATCTCAGTGGTGCAATGGAGTAAAAGATTGCCCTAATGGTGAAGATGAAAATCGTTGTGGTAAGTGCATTCAGTGAATTATTTTTAAAAATAAATAAATAATTGAAAGCTCCTCCTCTTTAGGCAGCCTATAGTCAATGGTAGCCAATATTATCTACGGCTAGATTCTATGTAGCAGTTGTTGGAGACATTCAAGATTTCTCGCACAGGACACTGGCCATTGACCTGCAGTCATTGCTTCAATTATGGTGAGGTTTCCCCTGTGCTGAAATTCTCCTAGCACAGTAAGCACAGAAGTACAGTAAGGGGAATACTAGGGCCATGGCTGGCCTGTGGCTTGTGATCCTAGAACAACAAACTTATTTTGTCGTCTCCCAAGTAAAGTAATCAGCCACAAGTTGGAAATAACCTCTGCCTTGGGGATGGGGAGCCTGTGGCTGCCCACTGTTCTTGGATTCCCATTTCCCACTGTCCCTGACCATTGACCATAGCGGCTGATACTGAAAGAACTTGGGAGTTCAATAACATCTGAAGGACCACAGCTTCCCCATCCCTGTTCTTTAAATATATATATTAAAGATTTTCTTTGATTAAAACCCTCCCTCTTCTACATGTTTGGATAATTACTACAGACATCCACACAGAGGCCCCTCCCAGTGTTTGTAATCTTATCAGCAATTCCCACCTACCCTTTAGCAACACCTGGCTTCTTTTTGCAGAAAGGGAAAATCAGAGTTGCAGCAACTGCTATATATGTGTCAGCCAGGTAATCTCCTTATTGAAATTTGATGGTTCTGAGACTTGTATGTCATCAGAAAATCTATTTTTGTTTTAGTTAGGCTTTATGGGCCAGATTTTCTCCTGGAAGTTTATTCATCTAAAAGCAAAAAATGGTACCGTGTTTGCTATGATGATTGGAATAATGAACATGGAAAGACTGCCTGTGAGGATTTGGGATATAACTCGTAAGTATAGTGATATTTTAATTATAGCAAATATAGACTGAAATAATTTGACTGCAATAATTTCCATATAATGAGGGGAAGGACTAGACCATGTGAAAAATGAACATAATATTTTAGCTGCAGTTCATTCCTTTTCAGCTTTTTATTGTTATTAAAAAGTGTGCCTAAACATTCTGGTGTTTCGCCTATACAGTGGTGCCCCGCAAGACGAATGCCTCACAAGACGAAAAACCCGCTAGACGAAAGGGTTTTCCGTTTTTCGATGCGCTTCGCAAGACGAATTTCCCTATGGGCTTGCTTCGCAAGACGAAACGTCTTGCGATTTCTTGCGATTTTTTTCGCTCCCCCCCCCTTTTTCTAAGCCGCTAAGCCGCTAATAGCCTTTTAGCCGCTAAGCCGCTAAGCCTTTAATAGCCGCTAAACCGCTAAACCGCTAATAGCGCTAATCCGCTAAGCCGCTAATAGGGTTGCTTCGCAAGACGAGAAAACCGCTAGACGAAGAGACTCGCGGAACGGATTATTTTCGTCTTGTGAGGCACCACTGTAACTTAGGTTTAAGGTGCCATTTAGCTCCTAGCTTTCACTTCTCCATTTCTAACACAGCTGCATGTATCTTGATTACTGATATTTGCAGTAATACTTTTATTATAGCAGTGAGTGTAGTAATGGTGATAGGAGGAACAAAATTTGAATTCCACACTGTGCCAGATCTTTCAACAAGCTTTACAATGTTTCATGTAAGTGCTGGGAAAATAGATATGGCTCCCAAAATCATCATAATGCAAAACTCTCTAATGCAACAGATACTGTTGGTTAGTGCTCAAAGCTGGTGAAGAGGGAGTTCATATCTAGTGGCATTAAAAAAAATAATTAATGCTTAAGCTGATTGTGTTGTGTGTATGCATGCTTAAATAGTTAAGCGCACATGTTTGAATGTTCACTCCTATCTTTGACAGGAACACATATTTCAGGAGCAATCCATTACCACTCATCACTGACTCTAGGAGCTTTATGAGGTTGAATAAAAGTGCTGTGGACACAGACTTGCATAAAAAACTGTATAACAGGTGATACTTTTATAATTTTTGCCTACTTTTAAGTGTTTGACTCCCAGAGCCATTATAATGCACAACTGTTGTCGTAGGGGTGAACTTAATGATTGTTGGCATAAACAATTATTATGTTTTAAGCCCCTGTTAAGTTTCCCTGCCTCTAGCTTCTACTTAATAGAAATTGAAGACATTAAGCATATTTAATAGAATTTGAACTCATCAAACATATTTTACCAAGTCCTGTTCTGTGCATATAGAAGACAAATGTTTGTAGTTCAAGAATACTGCCCTTGAGTTGTACTCAACTGACTTCTATTCATGTCCAGTTTAGCAGTTGAAATGTGGAGGCTGCTTTAAATTGTGGGACATGTAATGAAGCAGATCTTTAATATGCCAACCTGGAAATTTTCTCCCCTCCAATGCAAAATTTTAAAGCTGTGCTCAGTACCCAGTGGCTTGCAGCAATTGTTGTGCCAGTCTCTCTCCTTCAGTGTGAGAATATGCCTTGGAATTAAGAGCTGGGTAATTACTTTCAGCAATGGTTATTCTGCTGTGAATGGGGGGGGGATATGGGGGGGTGAGCTGTGAGGAGCACCCTACAATGCCCGAGTAGGAGGACCATACATTTGTGTAAATTAACGATTGATACCCTCTTTTACGCTTGTGGAGTCTATTAGTGTAGAAGCCACTTCAATATGTTTTGAACATGTGGTGTACGTGTGGAGCTGATTGTCTAGATTCTTCCTGCCCAGTTGGTACCCTGCCAGAAGGGAGGCTCCTGATTTACATGAGAAAATGTGTGCAGATCTGGTGGCAGGATTACCCCCACACTGTTGTAGAGTATAGGTTCATGTGAAGTTGAAGCCTCCTCCTTCATACATAGTACAAATACATATATACTATTTGTGTTACAGTGATCAGTGTCCATCGCTACAGATGGTGTCTCTGAGATGTATAGGTAAGTGTTGCAATGCTGTTTAGTTTTTAGTTAACTTTTTCTGTTTTTATTTGAATTAAACTTTTCTGTCTTGTGCCTGACTTGTAAGAATCCTAGTAAGTAAGTAAATGAATTTATGTTGATATGGCTGGGGTATGATTAAATTGGCCAAATACATTTACCTTATTTCATTTGGAGATTCTGGGTTCTATTGTTATAAAGCCACCGTTATCATGAATAAGAATTAATATAAAATAGAGATCCTGATTTCTAAGGAACTGATATTAAGTGACTGTAAATCTGACTGTAGGCAACATGGCTATGGTAACTCCTAAAAGGAAGGGCAGGATACATATATTGTTGTCATGAGAGAGTCATAAATGGTGGCAGGAAACATCCTGTGACTTATGTTATGAATAGTTTACTTATGAATGTTTAACTTATGTTTCCTCTATTTTTTACAAAGCGTGTGGCACTTCCAGTAAAGTTTGGAATCCTCGAAACAGAATTGTGGGTGGAACTGCTGCCTCCCCTGGTGAGTGGCCATGGCAAGTCAGCCTTCATATACAGAAGATTCATCTATGTGGAGGGTCCATTATCACTCCTGAATGGATAGTAACTGCAGCTCACTGTGTAGATGGGTAAGTCTCAAACAATTTCTCCCAAATTATGTGTCCCTTGGGATTTTGTTTTTTGTATGTATAATTGCTCTGGTTACTAAAACTTTTACTATTAGGAACCATTTTTGTCCTTCAATTTTTAAACAGAATAGATGTAGGATCTGGCACTTATTTTTAGCCCTTTTGAAATAATTTTCAAGGAACGCCTAGACTGCATTGTGTCTGTTTGGTGTGCTAAGGAGAACTCTCCTCCTTTTGGTCAAATGTTCTTGAGGGTTTTTGAGGGGTTTTTTTTGCTCCTTTCTCCTCCTCTTTGCTAGGTCCTAACAAATGCAGACACACTGACAGAAAAGGCTTAATCCCTGGTATCTACACATGGCCTTTTGCTATCTACCGTATTTTCCGTCCCATAGGACGCTCCGTCCCATAGGACGCACCTAGTTTTTTTGGGGGGAAATAAAGGGGAAAAAATTTCCTTTATTTTCCCCCCAAAACCAGGTTGGGGAACAGCGGTATGGCGGCGCTCTGCCTCCCCGCTGTCCCCCGAGCTTGTGGGGCTGGCGCTGGAGAGAAGCGCGCTTTTCCCCAGTGTCAGCCTCCAAACCAGGTCGGGGAACAGCGGGATGGCGGCACTGCGCCTCCCCGCCGTCCCCTGAGCTTGTGGGGTTGGCCGATGTCTGCCCGAAGCACGGGGTGCTCTGCTTCAGGGCACCCTGCGCGCCGGGCGGCAGGCTGCTATCCGCAGCCTAGGGAGTCCTGCAGGAACTCCTGCAGGGCTCCCCACGCTGCGGATGTCTGCCCGGCGCAAGGGGCGCTCTGCTTCAGGGCGCCCCACGCGCCGGGTGGTAGGCTGCTATCCGCAGCCTAGGGAGTCCTGCGGGAACTCCCGCGGGCTCCCCAGGCTTGCTGATAGCTTCCTGAAGCCTGGAGAGCGAGAGGGGTCGGTGCACACCGACCCCTCTCGCTCTCCAAGCTTCAGCGAAAGCCTGTATTCGCCCCATAGGACGCACACAGATTTCCCCTTCATTTTTGGAGGGGAAAAAGTGTATCCTATAGGGCGAAAAATATGGTATATAGGGTTGTAACCAGGAATGTTACCTTCTTGACAGTAGACCTTAGCATATTAGATGTTGATGCTGCAGCAACATGAATCATGCTTGAGAATAAATCATAATTGTTAGCCTTCATTTTGTTTCCTAGGGCATATTCTCATGCATTTGACTGGACAGTTTATCCTGGGATCATGAAACAGCAAGAAATGCGTCCTCATAAGGGCTACAGAGTATCCAAAATAATTTCTCATCCAAACTATGATTCAACTACTAAAAATAATGATGTTGCCCTTATGAAGTTACAGTCTCATCTACCTTTAGATGGTACCTATCTATTTACCTGTGTATATATGCATGTATATTTTATCTTTCTATTACCTGCTCAGTGCAGCTATCAAAATCAACATTGCATCAAACTAATTGAACCAGATCAGTGCAAAACAACAGAGGCTGATTTAGGGGAGCACGACCAGTTCAGTTGCACTGGATGCAGAGCCTCAGGGGTGCCGCAACTATTATGTAGAATGGAAGGCAGAGGAGGCAGGGAGTGCTAAATTTCGGTGTTTGCACAGGGCACTGCTAAAATTTAAGACCCCAGGATCTGCCATTGAAAATGATTAAAATGAAAGATGTGAGTATGATGATAACCTAATAGAAAATTGGAGAATCTGTTCATCTTTCTACAGTTAAAGTTTAACTTCTACACTTTAAGCAGCAATAGCTAAATGTTTACATTTCAAAATGTAGCAACAAGCCAGTCCAATCCACTATACCAAAGCACCAAATGTAAGTTTGCAAGATTTTTGCCTATTCAGAAGCAAGTGTCACATCATGCACACAGCTTGGCCTTCACCCACCGCTGCTGTGGTGACAGGGCCAGGGCCAGGGCCTCCGCCTTTGCCACAAGGCCTCTGTGGTCATGGCATCAGCAGGGTGGGGGCGGTGGAGCGTGTGCAGCTAGGCCTCCACCCACTACCACTCTCCAGTGTGGTGTAGTGGTAGTGGTTAAGAGGGGTAGGCTCGTAATCTGGGGAACCCGGTTCGCATCTCCGCTCCTCCACATGCAGCTGCTGGGTGACCTTGGGCTAGGCACACTTCTCTGAAGTCTCTCAGCCCCACTCACCTCACAGAGTGTTTGTTGTGGAGGAGGAAGGGAAAGGAGAATGTTAGCTGCTTTGAGACTCCTTCGGGTAGTGATAAAGCGGGATATCAAATCCAAACTCCTCTTCCTCCTCCTCCTCCTCTTCTTCTTCTTCTTCCTCCACCACCACTGGCTCTCTGGTGCTGCAACAGCCTCCACTGAGGCCTGCCGCAGATGCACCCCATAAGCACGCCTTTGGCCACAGTGAACTGCAGCAGAGGCCCATGGTGAAGGGTCTTTGTGGAGGCCACCACAGTGTCAGAGAGCCAGCGAGGTAAGGCTGTGGTGGGTGGAGACTGAGCAGCGCACACGTGTGCAACATGACTGCCGGGCACCCACAATATAAATTTTGTGGGTGCCCATACACCCAGCCCCCCCCCCCCATGGCACCAGTGGCCCCATCCATATGTCAGAGTGCAAATCTTTACATCAGGGAGCTTCCTCTGCTTGTGTTGCCCCCCCCCCCGCATTCTATGCAAAATACTGTTGAAAATCCACAGTGCCCCAAATAATGTAAACACCTGCAGTGTCAGTTTTTATTTCCTTTCTCTCTTCCACCCCCAAACCTCCATGTTTGTGGGATGGTGGGGAAAATATAGTTGTTGTTTTTTATTTTTTAAATTATTTTCAATTTTATACATTTCAGTAATTTTGCAATCATGTTAACATTTCGAAACTCAACTCCCCCCCTTTCTGTGGTTCCTTACATTTATTTTTTATATTTTCAGCATAATCCAATTAACTAAACTTAATCATTTATTCATCTATTGAAAAATGTAGTATTAAGTAAGGCGAGTTACTGCTTTTATTACTCTTAACTTGTAGTCACATCTAGACTTCTGCCAAAAAGTGTGTTTTTGGTGGGTAAAGGTTTCTTGCCTTGATAGCTCCCATACAGTGACTTTTATCAACAAAAATGCTCATTTCCTCAAGGAAATTAAGAGTGCTAGTAGAAATCAGGTACTATGAAAGCCCCCAACCTTCCATGTTAGAAGGGCTGAGAGTGCTGTTCTGGCAACTCTCTATCAAATTCTCATTTCTGCACAGTTACTGATTAGCAATATGTTCTTGCCTCATAGAGTTTATAAGTCCAGTTTGTTTGCCCAACCCTGGAATGATGTTTCAGCCTGACCAGCAATGTTGGATATCTGGATGGGGAGCGAAATTCCAGAGAGGTAAAATCGGTTTCTATCAAAGTCTGGGCTTTCCTTTAATTATATGTCGTGGCACTTTGGAATTGCTGCTATAAAAATATTAAAATAACTGGCTTGGTTGCAACAAATTAACTAAAGTGACCCAGTTAAAAGTCACTCTTTATGTTGGAACTAGATTGTTAGCTCAATATCACCTTATATATGTCCTATACATGTTTGTTGTTGCTATGAATCTTTTTGTTACCCTGAGCCATTACTGAAGCAATTTGCCTATGTTTTGTTCTAAATGGAAAAAGCCACCAGATGTTTTGAGGAAAGTGACACACAGTTGTTGCTGCACTACATATAGCCTACATCCTCACTGACTCTTGGCCATTCTGGCTGGAGAAGGTGAGAGTAACACTTCAGCAACATCTCAGGTGCCAAATTTGAGGGAAAGCAACAAAGGCTGCAGTCTGAGACTCAGAAGGAGAGTCAGAGTGAGCTGAAAACTGGAAGGCATCGCAAGATGCTGAAGAGTTTGTGTCAGGATCTGTTTTCAGCAGTGCTGCTGCTACAGTCAAACCTTGGAAGCCGAATGCCTTGTGAGTTGAAGCCGCAAACCCAGAAGTTAGTGTTCCGGTTTGCGAATGTTTTTTAGAAGCCAAAATCTGACGTGGCTTCTGATTGTGTGCAGGAAGCTCCTGCAGCCATTCGGAAGCCGTGTCTTGGTTATCAAATGTTTTGGAAGTCGAACGGATTTCCGGAACGGATTCTGTTCAGCTTCCAAGGTACGACTGTATTTGTAAATCTAAATATTATAATGCTGCATAAGTCTCCAGTGAGTTCTCCCCCCAAAGGAAGTAAAATGCAGTTATGCACTTCCCCTGGGGTTTCTCGCTGCTCAGGAAAGTGGGGAACAGATAATAGTTTGTTTTATGTATATGAAATGTCTTGTTTAATTCAGCTTTTAAAAAGACATTTGGAGACAAGTTGCAGTGCTTTGTCAATCCATTGAACTGCATTTTTACTGCTGAGTCCATTGCCTTTATGTCAACATTCTGCAGCTGAAAGTTTTAGTAGGTTGTATTTGAGTGGCTCTTAATATGTTGTTTTTGCACCTATTTTTCAACCTTAGGTAACACTTCACAAGAACTGAATGCAGCAATAGTACCTCTGATAGACTCAGCTATATGTAATGATAGGTATATCTATAATGGACTCATTTTGCCTACCATGTTCTGTGCTGGATATATAGAAGGAAAGGTGGATTCTTGTCAGGTAATGTCTCTCTATTTTAAGTGATAAAGCAGCGCTTAGATTCTAGCATGAGCTCTTGTGGTCACAGTGCTAGTTTAGCCATATGAAGCCCTAAATGGCTTAGGAGCAGGTTATCTGAGAGATTGCCTTGTCCCACATATGCCTCACCACACCTGCCTTCAACAAGCGAAGTGAGGTGGGTGGCTACCAGGGCCTTTTGGTTGTCACGTCTTGGCACAGGGAGACTCACCATGGAACTTTCATTAGTGTCTTCCCAGTGCTTTACCCAGGCTTTTAAAGTGTTTTACATCTGGCCTGTAAGACCACCCTGAGACCTGTGGGTATAGGGCGATTTACACATTTTAATAATACCAATAATATAGGCTGAGTTTATGGAAAGGAGGTAGTTTTTCTGTCTTCCATTGTGTTTATTGATAAGTGACCATAGAAATGTTAATACAAATAAATAATGGTGATTAGTTCATTGGAAAAACAGGTTTGACTGATTTAAAAGCATTTCTCATTTCCTTGGTGAACTTCCTTTACAGACGGAGGGTGACCTCTCTCAACCCCCTCCAATTTTCCTATTCCTACATGTTTTCCCTACCTAAAAGCTAAACAGAACTTCTGAAAACCATTCAATAACTATTAAAGGGCTACTTACTTTCAGCAAAGTTAGTATTAGCCAGACGTTGTAGGCGTAGGGCTCCCTGCCAGACGACATTGGTGCCACCACTGAGGAGACTATTATAGCAGATGATGATTCTAGGTAGCATACAGTGGTTAAGTAAATTGCACAGGTCCTGCCCTTAGGCTTACAAGCTCAAAAACAAAATATGAAATGGAAGAGGGATAGGAAGGAGAAAGGGATAAGTAGAAGTAAATTCAGGTACCAAAATTTCTTAGCTACGTAATGGGCAATTGAGAAAGTTGTGGGAGAAGAGAAGCCAGAAAGGAGTTGGGTCCCAGTGACTTCCTCAAGTGGAGTTATGTAAAATGAATGGAATTTTAAGCAGGGCTCCTCACCTGGCTTCTAGTGTTTGAGCAAACACAAGGAGATAAATTAGGTATACAGGGTCTAGATAGTCAGAGCCTTTTCAGGTCAAAACAAGTAGCTCATATATGGCACATTGCCAATGCAAATGCTATAAAACCCATCTAATATAGTCACAGTGGATCTCTTCATTAGTAGGCAAGAAGTTTCATTCTGCAGTAGTTGAACAAATGGTTTAAAAGCAGCAGTAACTTTACCGTGGGTTGCAATGAAAATGATTATAATTTTCCTATAGAAAACTCTGCATGTGACTTACAGGGTATAACTGTAGAATGTGTTTCCTCTCTTGTTTTAGGGTGACAGTGGTGGTCCATTGGTAACTCAGAAGAATGCTTTGTGGTGGTTAGTGGGTGACACAAGTTGGGGAACGGGCTGTGCTAGTAGATTCAGACCTGGAGTTTATGGTAACATGACAGTGTTTGCAGACTGGATTTACAGAAATATGCAGGTAACCTTCTCTGAAATATTTTGATAGCACTTTCCGAGGTGGGTTTTAGTGGTTGTCAGATACATTGCAGTAATGATGAAATGGCCACTGGGCTGATGGACAAGAGGCGGGGTGGGGAGTGGTAGCCTTCCCTGCCCTTTTCTGCCAGCCAAGCTGCTGCTTGGTAACAAGAGGAGCAAAGCAGGGATTGCAGGTCCAGGTTGCCACAAGTGGACAGGGGCCTGGCTCATTTGTAAGGGCAGAGAATTCTGTCTGTGTTGACAAAGGTGTTCAGTGTGTGTGTATCAAATTTGCTTCAATCATGCTGGAGCACGGCCAAGAGATGGACGTCAGGGAACTGGCTCTATATGGACAAATTTGTTTAAACATTTTTTTAAAAGGGAAATGAAAACTTGGTCTTCCTCCACATCATGTGGGGCTGGAATGACATAACTTTTGCTCCAATCAATTATCTCTAGCCTGCTTCACCCAATATGATTGGGGAAAGCTAGGTGACTCCATGTGCTCTGCAGAGTTGCCTGGTTTTTACCCAGTAGCTCCAACCTTGCCCTGCTATCTATCTTAAGTATCTATCTATACATTAGGCCGGGTTTCTGAGTTTTTAGACTACAGCTCCCATCATCCCTAGCTAGCAGGACCCAATGGTCATGGATGATGGGAATTGTACTCCAAAACCAGCTAGTTACCCAAGTTTGGGAAACCCTACATTAGAGAAAGTGTCTTTGATGTGTCTAGATCCAGCCTAGAACAGGGGTTGAAAACCTGTTGCTCTGCTGACTATTAACTTCCACCAAGTACAGTAAACATGGCTTTTAGTCTGGGATGGTGGGAGCTGCCCATTCCTTAGACCCTCTGTTATTAAGAGAGCTCCTCCCTACCAAAGTTCAGGTGATAGCAGCCCCAAAGAGGGCATTCTGTGGCAGCCCCTAAGCTGTGGAATTTACTCCCTCTAGAGGTGTATATGCACCTTCATTACAGTTTCCCATATGCTGAAGATGTAGCTCACTCCTGGCCTTTCATACTGGAAAGCTATTTTAGGAGCCACCCTATTCTTCTGCGTGCAAATTGTTTTAACTGATATAATTTTAAATTGTTGTAATCTTTCCCAGGACCTCATGTAAGAAATTGCATAACTAATAGCATCTGGAGGGCTAAAATGTACCTCTCCTTAGTTTTTGTGAGAGAAATAATTGATGGTGGTGACAGCAGTGGCACAGGGACCAAAGGGGAAGGCAGGAGAGAGCAGACGTGTAGTGTGTGCACAGGCATGTCCACTCTGGAATGCCATTTGGCCACTTCTGTTGCACTTGGCTCTCAAGGCACAATATGGTTCCAAATGTGTTATCTCCCATCAAGGAAACTTTTTTTTTGGGGGGGGATGTTTAGTCAGTCAAGACACAGATACAGTTCTCCTGCAACTGTCTTTTGTCTCTGCGGTAGGAATTACAAGGTGTGTTCAGGCACACCCTTTGGCTGCCACCTTCAGTCATTTGCAGGTTGCCACGACCTGAAAATTTATAGTTCCATAGAAACACTTGCCAGCCCTGCTATGGTTTACTCATGATCTTGCATGCAGGGATGAAGAGAATGTGAGTCAAGATCCCTGATCTTGTGGGAGCAGGGGGCAGTCAAGAATTCAGTGACACCACTTGCTTCTTACCTTGAACAACTGATTGCGTTAAAAGTTCACGTAAACATTAATAAATTCATAAATAAATTCAATACTTTGGATTGAGGTTGCTGAAACTTGTGTTTTTCCTAACAGGCGAACAGATGATGCTATTCAGCCATACCCCCCTGCCCTCCATGGAATGAATGGTGCCCCTGATGTATCTGATTGCTTCCACTGGCTTTCTTGGTCTTCATCATTCCTGTACTAAGCGACTCTTAGGACCTAAACACTTGATAATTCTGAATGCTTGCAAAGTATTTGGGGCCATTTGCACTGTGAATGTCTTAATATCAAACGGTGTAGGTTGAACAAGATTCTCTTTCCTTCAGTGTAGGTGCCCCTGGTCACTATCACTCCCTTATCAAGTTGCTAAACTTTTCTTCATTTTGGAGGATTCCCAGCCAGTTTTTTTTTTTAGTTTCATTATAAATCATATTTATAAATTGCTGTTACTGCTGTCTTAGGAATAGCACAGCATCTTGTTTATTTTCTTGGTTTTATTTTAACTTTTAATATATTATTATCTGTGAATATCTGGGCTGCTGGCTAGCCCAGTTTTTCAAGATTGAGGGTAAATGTCTTACTGTAACATATGAAGAGACCTTCTCCAATACTCCAGTACTACTGAGAGATGAATAATACTTTTCCATTATCTCCTGGTCAGGTACCTTTACTTCCTTTGTCTAGGTATTATATTGATTCTGAAATCAGGTCTATGTTCAGGTTTGTACTGAATTCCTCCCCTCCTTCAGATATCAAAATTAGAGTTTGGTTCAGAAAATGGGAAAACCTTGAATTTTATTTTGTTAGAATATTCCCAGGTCGTATCCGATGCAGAAAGGATAAAACTACTACTGAGCCTCAGTAAACAACCAACTGGATATGTTGTTTACTTATGTGCTTACTCATGTTTAGAGCCTGCAGACAGTAGCTAGGGAACAATTCAACAGTTTCCCCCAATCTCTTTCCTGAGAAAGCCTAAATATGCTCTCGTGAATATTTATTACATGCGGTTTGCTGCTGTTAACCCACATGCTAATGGAAAAGTAACCACTTAATCTTACAGCTACCTCATTTTGTAAGAGAGCAGCAACATTTATCTATTAAGCAGGGATTTTTTTTACAATTAAGATTTACAATTTTAATAATGAATTCAGAAATAAACTTAAATATGGAATGTGTAACAGCAATAAAATCTGGCAAACTGGGGATTTCTTCTGATTCTCATGGACTGAAATTACAAAACTGCTGCTACTGAATTGCTCTTTTTTTATAAAAAAAAAAGTGCCTGTTACCGCAGCAACTTTCATTTCAGGCTTTGCCGATAAAGTTGGGTAGTAATGAGCCACTCAAATCATTATTTAAAGGAGACATACTGATAATACTATGAATATAAATCTTGCTGAATTGTTAAATAGTTGTGCCACTATTTTAAGTAGCAAATATTTCTTTACTTCAAAATTGAAATACAACATGTATCTTATGTACAAATAAATAATTTTTTTACTCTCTTAACCTTTTGGCTAATTAACATTTCTTGTGTTTCTTGTGATAGTAGGAGCATTAGCAAAAATGGGCACCTACAACTGGAGAATATTTGGGCTTCAAACATCCTTTTCACACTGTCCTTGCTGGATGAAGCGGATGGGAAGGAGACAGCATTTGTATGGCCCCTTTCCCTGAAAATGTAAATTAAGGAAGATTAACTGCAGAACAGACTTTCCCCCACAACTGTAACAATGTTTTCCATTACTCAAAAATGTTGTCTATTGAAGATACTACAGTCGTACCTTGGAAGTCGAACGGAATCCGTTCTGGAGCTCCATTTGACTTTGAAAACATTTGGAAACCAAAGCATGGCTGCAGGAGCTTCCCAGCAGCCAATCGGAAGCCCCATTGAATGTTCGGCTTTCGAAAACTGAAACACTCACTTTTGGGAGCCGATTTGTTTGGGATCCAAGGTATGACTGACTATATTCATACTTGAAATCTTGTTTTGGATCTTTAGCATGACATGAATTAGGATGGTACATTCTGGCCAAGCAATCTGTGACCCCCTCACATATTTCCCATCAGCCACAGAGCATGGCTAATGGTGATTATAGGAGTGGTAGTCGTAAACATCTGGAGGGGCAGAGGCTGCCTAACAGGGTAGAATGGTAAAAACCTTTCCTGCATCATTGTTTTTAAAACACAAGCTTCAAACAGGAACCTCCAGTATCAGCGCAAGCTGGGTGGAAATACAACAGAAGATGCCTTAGGAGGTTGAACAGCGACTACCACTATAAAGGAGCCTGTAGTGGAAGGAAAGATTAAAATGTTTTTTTTAAAAAGCATCTTAAACATGGCACTTATTTTGAAGCCTGTGGGAAAAAATTGAAGAGTTCCTGACGGTGGTGCTTGAGAATTATGACAGAACCAGACAAAACGCATAAAATGTAGTTTCCCCTTTTTATTGTACAATAAAAAAATACAACAGAGCCAACTGGAGACACTACTTCCCTACACATGAACACCAAATTCCGCTGCCATTTAAGAAGCACTGGTAAAATAAAAGTGTGTGCCTGCTGCCAGAAAGGCAAGAGTGGGTCACAAAGGATCATTAGTGATCTTCTGACTAAGGAGATGGAGCTGACCAACTGGTGTGTGCAAGAGTCCAATGTCACCCAAATTCCTACATGGCTTCATACAGACATTGCACGGAAAACAAACTGCAACCCACAAGCCCCACCCACTTCCAGTACTTTCCATACAGAAGCCACAGCAACTTAGTGAATCCGAAGTAATCTTCCCTGCCCCATAATTTTTGGCCCCGAAGGCACATTTAGAAATAAACAAGATGCAGTCCCCATAAAATACTCATAAGAAGGACAAAAACAGTAAAAAAGCAAAAAAGGACACAATTAGCAGGTGAACAAGCAGCTTCAAGGCTGCATCCCATTCCAAGTGCTTTGGCCACAACAGATTTCAATAAAACTGCATGATATCCCCTATTCAGAAACTAATGCACCCATCTCCCACACACAAGAGCAGATATGTGATAAGTGGTTGCTATTATTTGCATGAAGAGCATGGCAATCTTGTAAAAATAATAGCTCAAAATGTGACTTGCCCCCCCTTCCCAAAGGCTTCTGGGAAGGAGGCAGGAGGACTCCACAACCCTGTCAGCCTCACGCTGCCTCCCCAGCGCTTACTGGCTTTGGGAAGGCACCCCCTTGGTCCCTGCACGGGGAACTGGTTGAGCTAATCTAAATCTGCCTCTGATGGAGCTTAAAAGCATAAACACTTTTTGGGTGACAGTACTCAGCCACACAGCACTGTTTTTTGCTGCCCATTACAACCATTTTGTGCTGCCACTTTTATCAATTTATGAGTACCCACACTCCTTCAAAAAAAAATAAAAAAAAATACTGCATATATTGCTGCCCCCTTCTATTATGCTGAACAATTCAAACTGATGGAATCTAAGTCAAAGTGGCTGTGAGGCAGTTTGTCCTTGAGAAGTTTAATGCATAAGACACAGCACGGCACTAAGGGTTGTTTGCGAGTAAGCAAAGTTCTTCCAGATTCATGAACTGTAAGTGATGAACCACATCTTTTAGTAACAGAGATATAATCTACCAAAAAGCTGTCTAGCGCACTAGCCTTTCGAAAGCAGCATCAGAAGCACACGTTTTTAGCCAAGTAATTTTGCTAAGTGGTCCCGAGCTTGAACCAGACGATCAATGCGGTCAGACAAGAACTGCCTGTGTTCAGCAGCATCTGTGCGCTCCTGGATCAGAAGGCTCAAATTCTCCCTTTGACTCAGGAGCAGCATCATTTCATTCTTCAGCCTGTATTCATATTTATTGAGGATGAAGTACTGGATAATGAGGGGAATTTGGGAGGAGAGACGTTTGATTACAGTCTGAAATGAAAAAAGATGCATGCACTGCAATTAGTAACTTCCACATGTTGGTAATTCTCTTTCTGAATGAGCAGTGGTAAAGACTTGGGAAGTCACCCAGCACTGTCTTGCTTGAGGGGGGAAATAAGTGTGGAATAATGGCAGGGGAGAAAAATTGCGACTGAGCAAATTATATCCACTGCTGGAGATAAAACATTGGGTGGCCACAATGACATCTGAGCCTCATGGGGGCCAGGCAAGGAAGGCTAGCATTATAATCTCACAGCACTGAAGATGCCATGTGTTCCCCACACCTTGTGGGAGCCTTTGACTTAATAGCATATTTATAAATGAGGCTCATGATAAACCAGGAGTATCTTGGAATGAATGTGATCATGAACTCTCAGTTCCATCTGATTTGCTATGCAATATTGTTAGCAATTATAATCACAGTCAAATGGGTACAAATGATATTGGTGACTTGAGGCTGCAATTCTGGGAGTAAGCCCCATCAAATTCAACAGGACTTACTTCTGAGTAAATATGTTCAGAAATGCCATGTAACTCACCGTGAAGTATGCCTCCAAATGAAAAGCTGTTTCAGCGATTGCAGTGCCTTCTTCATCTATCGCTGTGGTTTTCCCCCCTCTTGCAGCTTCCTTTACAGCTCTTAAGCATGACTGGTAGTGATTGTCCTGACAGAATAAGGTCTTCTCCATTGCAAACTGGATCATGACTATAGCTTCAGCTTCCTTTGCTTGTTTCTCTATAATACTTTCAATTCTATTCTGTGAAAGGCAAAAATAACAGACATCCCCAGTGATGTAGCATAGAAGGAATCACATCTGACTATTCCATATAGAGATACTGGACATAACACTCCCACACGTACTCCCCATGACCTTTAATCTCAAACTGCCTTCCTTTACCACACATTGCACTCAAGCTCCCTAAATCCACTTATTCTGCAAGCTCTCCTCCAGTGTAAAAGACTACAGTGGTACCTCGAGTTACAGACGCTTCAGGTTACAGACGCTTCAGGGTACAGACTCCGCTAACCCAGAAATAGTACCTCGGGTTAAGAACTTTACTTCAGGATGAGAACAGAAGCGCGGCAGCGGGAGGCCCCATTAGCTAAAGTGGTACCTCAGGTTAAGAACAGTCCTCCAGAACGAATTAAGTTCTTAACCTGAGGTACCACTGTACAACAAATGGAAGTGTCTATGTGCCTAACATTTGAACATTTCAGGGGGAGTAGGGCACCAAGAGAAACCCGGTTCTGTGAACTGAATTTATTTCATACTCTGAAATACTCTGCTTCACTGCATACAAGTTCTGTTGCTTTTGATAGCTGCTTGCGAAAAACTAAACTTCCACCCCTCCTCCAGCTTGTGAATTTTTTTTCAGCACTGCCCATCCAGTTTCTACAAACAGCAGAGCTAGATTAAAAGGAAAATGATGCAGAAGAAGAAATGCAAACATGTGGTATATGCACAATTTTGACACACACCAAGGACCAAAGGAGCGACACAGACTAGACCAGTGTGTGGATAATAATTAGGGCACAACTTTTTTCATTACAGCAGCAAGCAATTCATGATCAGGAGAGAGAGGGGGGGGTAGGGGAGAACCTGGTCCCATCCCGACCCGGTGAGTTGAATAGCACAGGCCAAGAGGCCCAGAAGATGGCACATGTTAGATGGCACAATCCAAGATAGAGTGAGAAAAATGAGATGAAATAAACAAGTCAGAAAATAGCAGACTTATTCTAACCTCTGAACAATGGTTCAACAGATCACAAGAAGCAGCAAGCTGATATCAAGTTACATAGAAATTAGGGCCCATATCCAACAAAGCATTACTGGGCACTAGCTGGTATCAGTAATGGGTAAAGCAAGTTATTAGCACAGGGAAAGTAGGGATGGCTGAAAAATGAAATACTATGAACTCATCCTCCCAGCCGAGGAGGTAGTGAGGATCATTCATGTCTCACTGAACTGTAGTTTAGCATGATGCTGGAATACAATAGATGTGATCCGAAAAAGGGGGGGGGGGGAAGAAACTAACTGCAACAAATAACAGAAACAAAACAAATGGGATTGTCCCACTATGACAGTACCTGGGGCCAACTGAATGTTACATTATCGTAACTTTTTAAAATCTGCTCATGTTTATTTTGAAGAAAAATAAGCAATCATGGGTGAGCAACCCAGAATTGCTCTTCCACTGGGTGAGGGATGCACTCTATCCTCTATACTGTTTACTGCTAAGGAGGGGACTAATTTTCAGCAGGAAACTGGTGATGAGTCCCAGTGAGCATGTTTCAGGTGTGGGCCCCACAGCTGCTTTTTCTTTAGAAAAGGGACAAATTCCAAGAATTTTTCCCAAAATAAAACCATAGTTTAGCCCATCATTACATGTAATCATGGCTGGCCAACAGCAGATAGTAGGATGGTTTCAGGCAGGGACACTCCTTTCTGATGATCATGTTTATATAGTGAATGGGGGAGCTCAGGAAGCATCCTCTCCCTGCCAGCAGCTCCACACATCCAAGAGAGTTTGAATCTGCATCATGTTGTTCTTACCTTGGCTTCCGAATGAAGATTATGAAATCCTTCAAAATGGCTTTTAGCAATCGCCACAAAACCTTGACGCACTATTTCTGAAAGGGGGGGGGAGAGAATACACCAAATGATCAGAATCTGTGTAGAAAAATAATTTCTTGTTTTCTCACACGTATTTTGGTAAAAATGTTGCATACACCCAAACCATTAACAATTCCATTCATTTTTTCCTACAGCCCTTTTACGAAAATATAAATGTTGGAGGTTTCACAGCTCAAGCAAAATCACTTACATTGCATGTGCTTTTATTATATATAGATAGTATTTGAAAACCCCTTTCATATTTTTATGTTATGTATAATCAATCCCCTTTACTACCCACCTTTCACCCTAAAGTCCTATGGCGGGTACAACTGCAACATTTAAAATGATTTAAAACAACTGTCCCAGTAGCCAGAAAACTGAATTTAATAAATAGACTTACTTGTAACTCTAGTTAGAATATCAACAGCTGGCATTTCTAGATTGGTGATATATTTACTTATAATCATCTCAAACGTCTTGTAATTGAGAAATCCAGGAAGCTCTCTGCCACGATACTGATTTTCAAATTTCCACTTCTCAGGGAGTAGGGATTCTTGAACTGCAGGAAGAAGAACATTTTTTTAAAACCCCTAAAACCTGTCACGGATTTACGAAAGCTCAGTAAATCACCCTGGGAACCAGTTAGTTGAAATCAGGATAGGTTTAGGTTTGTTTAATTTACACCATCATTTTTCATTACAGAAGTCCCCAAATTAGCACAGGGGTCCCAGCTCCTGCCAACCTAGCAGTTCGAAAGCATGTCAAAGTGCAAGTAGATAAATAGGTACCTCTCCAGCAGGAAGGTAAACGGCATTTCCGTGCGCTGCTCTGGTTTTGCCAGAAGTGGCTTAGTCATGATGGCCACATGACCCAGAAAAACTGTCTGCGGACAAATGTCAGCTCCCTCGGCCAGTAAAGCAAGATGAGCGCCGCAACCCCAGAGTTGTTTGTGACTGGACTTAACTGTCAGGGGTCCCTATCTAACACAGTGCTCTCCACTGTTAATTTTCAGCTAGCATGGTCAATAGTCAGAGGTGAAGGGATTTGTGATCCAGCAACAAAATTCAGCATCAGTAGCGTATTTTATTAAGGTGTTCCAAATAGAGGTTGAAATGTTTTTTCCTATTCTATGTGTTTCTAATAGGAGCCTTGCAGTTGGTTTAAAAGCAACCGAAGATCCTCCACTGCTTTTCCCAGGTGCCTGATAACACAAAATCTTAGGATGCATCCTGCTTAAACCTAATCATGTCTGTTACTCCATCGTCCCTTCTATTTAAGGTTGATAAAATCTCCAAACAAGGATAAGCTGGACTTAACATCTTACCTCAAAACAAAGTTCTTTGTACAGCATTTCTTTTAAATACACACACTTTTTTATTTTAAGGTAGCCATTTCTAATCCTGGAGACTCAGTTTAGAAGGGACATGTGATGCTATTAAAACAGGAGCTGCTCTAGACACAGAGTAGTCTGTACTTACTTTTAAAGCCACTGCTAGCAACTCCTTCGCCCCATTTCTGAAATTCTTTACGAACTTTGGTAAACATTCTGGCTTCATTTTCAGACACACTTTCTTCTCCTTGTACTGTGCTTCCAACATCTGCAATAAAGTGCTCGATTTTCTGTGAAAGCAAACAATTTAAAGAGATGCAGTGAGGTTTGTTGATTATAAAGACAATTTGATTTGTGCATGTTTCAAATCTGAACAAAGTGTTTTTTCAGCAATGATAATGAGTGGTTATTTTTGTTGCAATGTTAGCAATATTTAGAAAGTCCTGCTCTGATGAGTTTTAATTTATTTTAGTCTATTCTATTGTGGCTTTAACTTTTTGTATGTTTTTAATTATGGTGTACTTTTTTAAAGAGATTTGTTTTTATCTTTTTGTAAACCAATTTGAGTTTCCCCCCTACAATCAAGCAGTATATAAATTTTCTGAAATACATAAATAATTATGTTGCAGACATCAATTCAACTCAGACAGCAAGTCCATAATGTTAAAACGATCAAGCAAATTGACTGGCAATGTGTCCAAGCAGACAAACACACATTTATCCAATTTTTTTTTTAAAAAAGCATCCAAAATTTGTTCCAGAACTTGCCTCCATAAAGCTATGAGCAATGTAATCATTTTGGAACTGAATGGCTCACATTAGAAAGAATGCATGTGTCATAGTTGACTCCAGATTGTCAGTATTTTGTGGGAGAGAGTAAACAGAATACTGGAAATTTAGGTTTGTGCAATGAAAGTGAATTAAAGCACTCTGGCACAATCCACTTTGGATAGTGATGGGAAAATGCCCCAAAAGTGTGGGATAAACAACCAACAAATCTGAATGACTGCTCAGCGAAGACTAGACAATATCTAACCACCATGTAAGCTTTGTGCAAGCAAATCAGGATGACTATTTAATAAACAGGAGGCCTAAGATTAGTTGAACGTAATCACTGGAAGTATTCATCCCAGAAAATAATTGAGAATATGTAAGAGACAAAGTATGTAAGAATTCAAATGAGTATCCATTATGAAGGAAGTACCACTGAGTTCAATCAGGCTTCTTCCCAGGTAAGTGGGAATAGAGTTACAAACTAACTTCAGTTTTTGTTGGTGTATAACTATACTAAGTTTTCTCCGCCTTATGAACTCAATACATAGCTTTCCAGTAGGCAGAACAGAAAAGTAGCTGAATGGGTTGTACAGAGAGTGAGGTAGGTCATAAACACAAATGACAAAAAGCATCTTCGATTTACAGCAAAGACAGGTTCATGACTTATCTTACGTTGGCTGCTGGTTCTGGATGCCTCTAAGGCTCACATACTCTTACACTGACATATGTTTTCTGCATAACACTATTAAGACTAGAAAAGTTTAGCACGAGTCCTCATCAGTGTACTTACCTCTGCTAAAAAATATTGTTTCTCGCCATCGGTTTTTGGCACGGCTTTGCCGTATCTCTGCATTTCAGATTCTGTCTTTTGGAGTTGAAATCTTATTTGCTCTTCTAAAGTGGGCAAAGATTTCTAAAAAGAAAAAAGAAAGAAAGAAAAGATGTATATGGTGCTGGGGAAAAAAACTTGTAATGAGTAAAGAAACAAACTTTGGGGTTGATGTTTCATTGTTGTTGTTTTTAAAGTGTCATTTTGCTAACTTACGCAAATGTGTTCCACAAGCTCGCTAGTCAGTTTCTCGGCTAGTAAGGGGACTGTGGCTTTTTTTTCCTGTAGAAGGATACTGTATGGGAACAAAGAAAATGTTTACTAGAAAATCTGATGCTAACAATTGCAGTTAAACTCACTGGTGTTTTTAGTGTTGCATTACGTTTTACACAATATTACTTTGCTTCCTGTGAAAAGTGTGGTTTATAAATATTTAATAATAATAACAACAATAATAACAATGATAATAATTTATACCCTGCTCATCTGGCTGAGTTTCTCCAGCCACTCTGGGTGGCTCCCAATCGAGTATTAAAAACAATACAGCATTAAATATTAAAAGCTTCCCTAAACAGGGCTGCCTTCAGATGTCTTTTAAAAATAGGATAGTTGCTTATTTCCTTGACATCTGATGGGAGGGAATTCCACAGAGCAGTCGCCACTACTGAGATGGCCCTTTGTCTGGTTCCCTGTAACCTCACTTCTCGCAATAAGGGAACCGCCAGAAGGCCCTCAGCGCTGGACCTCAGTGTCCAGGCTGAACGATGGAGGTGGAGATGCTCCTTCAGGTATATAGGACTGAGGCCGTTTAAGTAACTGTAATTATACTATTATCTTAAAAATCACTCTCTAGTCTATGAGTACCTAAAGCATTTATGTTTCTCGAAAAATGCTCTCTCTTCCTTGAGTGCAGAGGCCAAGGTCATGTTGGACTGGATATCTTGCTGCCCACGACATTTCACAATCATATATCCCTTTTTCAAGGGAATGACTTGGTTTCTCACTATGTTCACAACTGTCCCCTCAGTTCCTCTGTCCATCAGGTCAGGCTTTGTCACGATCCCTTGGGATGAAATACGGAAAGACATTAGGGAAAAAACCCAACATAATACAAAATGGCAAAGGTGACGCACAATTGAAGGACTGTTCACACTTGTATAGAAATCATCTTGTCTGCATTGGCAAAATCAAGGGCTCAAAAACCATCATGCAGGCCAAAGAGTTCTACTTTCTTGCAGTAGAATTAAGCAAAATATGATGTCTTTGAACCAGGGCCAACTGAAACATTATGGAGAAACCACCACTTCCCCTGAATTCCCTAAGCTAACTTTCAGGTACGATGAAGTATGTTGTCCCATTGCCAGTGCTGAATAAAGTCCAGCTGCCACTCCAGCAAAACTCCCTATATAGAACTGGGGACCTTTGGCTTGTCTTCATGATGAGGAAAAAAGGAAACACATGTTTTCATGTGGGTTAGTGAGATAAATAAAGAATACTTAAGGAACTAAACAAATAGTGACCATGAACCATTTAAAGCAACAACAACCTACAAATACCGACATTCCGGGATCTGAAAAGCACGTTCTCATTTCAACAGTGCAAGATTATCAAAGTTAAGGAGAATTATTTTGCCTCCTTACCAAGTGTTCTCTCTCCATTTGGATCCACCTCCTGGGCCATTTTCAGTGCCTCTGTTGTGGCAATATCAACATTACTTGGAACCACCACTAAATTTATTGTCTCTTGTTTACCAATAAATGTTTTAATCAGCTTTTTGATCTGCAATGAAGACAAACAGAACTGCTGTTAGAGCTACTGTATAGTTATTTCACTGTTTGATAGAAAGTTGCCTAGGCCAAGTTGAAGCTAGTACAGGAATCAAGGCAGGATCATATACTGGGCAAGATGCAAGGCTGAAAGAGGACTGGGGTTGCCAGTTTAGGGGGTAGGCAGAAAGCACCAGGACTGGGAGCTTGCAAGAGGCAGCAGGAAAGGAGCAGAAACCTAGTAAGGAATGCAGTACACTTATGGAGAAAGCTCTCTTGGGCAAGATATTTAGTGTTTTACCTGATCTCCAATATTTACTGGCTGATTACCAACAGCCACTCTTGCAATCCCTGGCAGATCAATCAGAGTCAAGTCTGGAACTTCAGGAGATCTAATTTCAAGGGTAATTAGTTTATCACTAATGCCCACTCCATCACCAGCTATTATGTTCTGAGCTGGAATGAAGAAAGCAAGAAAAACTTTAACATCAACATTTCAGATGCTCATGTCATAGGACTGGCAGCCTCTTCTGGCTACCATTTGTTATACAACACAGGGGCCAAACTTGGCAGGAAGGAAAACTCTTTAGAAAATCAGTACAGTGGTACCTCAGGATGTGAACGGGATCCGTTCCGGAGCCCCGTTTGCATCCTGAAGCGAATGCAACCCGCGGCTGTGCGTGCCGCGATTCGCCCCTTCTGTGCATGCGTGTGACATCATTTTGACTGTCTGCGCACTCGCGAGCGGTGAAACCCAGAAGTAACGCGTTATGTTACTTCTGGGTTGCCGCGGAGCGCAACCCGAAAGTGCTCAACCTGAAGCAATTTCGACCCGAGGTATGACTGTATCTTCTTATAATTCTGAGACTGGAAAGGTTAATATGGCTATGTTTATCAAACAGTGTTAACGGAACTGTTATAAATTTTCATGTAAAAGTTAATTCTGGTTTCCAATGGTGCAGTTTTATTTTTAAGGGCTGTTGTTTTTTGCATACAGAAGGACCCATGGTTCAATCTCTGAACCATCTCCAGGGAGAGAAGAGCTGGGGGAAACATCTCTGCCTGAATCTTCTAAACAGCAGCTGCCAATCACTGCAGACCTGGGACCCCTTCATGGGGCATCTGTGACACCACAATGCCCACGAGACTCTCCCCCCCCCAAGAAAAAAACCTGCTAAAGGACAGCAATTGGGAAAGCTGGGGAAGGTTAAAAGAATACTATAGAAGCCACGTAAGAGCCATCATTTGATTTCAGCAATGCATTTGCTTCCACATCTCCCAAACTTTAGCCATTGAAGATATTTGGCCAGCAATGTGGAATGGAAAAAAATCCAGTGCGCTTTCTATAAGTTCGTAAGTTCATTTGTGACAATCAATGTCAAATACAACGTGAGAAGCTTCATTGTTCTCAAGTGTTAAGCTTTGTTTGCTAAATACAAGTAAAATAAATACACTAAATTGGATAAGATTTTCTAAGAAACCTTATTTTAATTAAAAAAAAATCCAGTGCAAAATTACTCTAAATTTTCTGGTAAACCTCATCACTGGTTTTGGGACTATACATAGAATATAGTTGAAGAAGAATTCTCATTTATAACAGAAGGAAATTAAGAAAGAAAATAACAATCTGTTATTGAATACAATGGAAACCACAACACTCACCTTTTCTTATTTCCGTTTCTACCATTAAAGGATTTGCAAGTTCCATATATTTTTCCAGGTAACTGATTTTCCCATTCCATTTTTCACCAGGCTGCAGCTTTTTTAGCCTGAGTTCTAAGGGACATCTGGTGACAATGCCTGTTCATGAAGAGAATCCAATTCATTAAAAGTATAGGTTATTCAGATTCACAGAAACTTCCTAAAGATTGCTAAAAACAGGCAGAATCCCATGGATTGTGATGAAACAACACCTAGTTCTAGGGCAAAATCAGCTCCTAAAATGGACCTCCATAAATAATCTGAGCTATACTGCAGATGTAGGCAGCTATCTTAAAATCTTTGCACTTAACCTTATAGGTGAACAGTGCCATTCCCCACCCCCCGATAATATTACACCAAGCTTTCTAAAAATCAATTTAGTTTCTCAGACTTCTAACTGGGAACATTGCTTTCTTTGAAGTGTATCCAACCCTCCGAGATGTTAAAATAATGCAGGCAGACACCAAAGAGAAGGTAACTTTAGAAAATAAAGATGCATTTTACAAAGTAGGAACACTGATGTTAAAAAATCTCTGAACTTGCACATCCTCAAAGCTTCCCAGAAGGAAAAGCCGGCGGGAATTCTCACCACTGCCCCGTGGAAGAGCGACTCCAGAAAGAGCTTCCAGAACTGAGCTTTTCCCTGAGCTCTGATCGCCAATCACTGCAATTGCTGGCAATGCCAAGTCCTTCTCCACTCCGAGGGCTCTCAGAGTATCAATGAGGTCAATACAAGGGCGGATCTTCTCTTCGTATTTGTTGAATAAGGTGTTTTCTGGTTTCTGGTTAAAAACACACACATACACAGTTCACTTCCATTTTAGTATGTGGCTCTATTCATACATCATCTGAGCCGTGGTTAATGGTTTGCTTTGAATAGGGAGAAAACTCCTGCTTTGCGCAAATGGGACCACAAAACACAATCTCTGAAGTTATGTCTAAAGTGGGGGCTTGTTTCATTCAAACAAATTACGATGAAGAAACAAAAGAACCGCCCTTGGGTCAGATGTAAAGCTAAGCCAGAATTGTATTTCAAACATTGAGTGACACTCATAGGAGCAGCTTGGATCAAAAAGATCACTGAACAGCCACAAAAAGTAGCATTGGTTCTAGACCAGGCTAGGCACTTCATTTTAGTGCGTGAGCATCTTACTCTTGGGTTTTCATTTCTTTCTGCAGAAGAGTTCCTTTTTACAGAAAGGCTTTTCTGCATCTTTTACTAAGAGCTATCTCTTAGTGAAATTCCCATTACAGGAATAAACATAATCTGGTCCTGTTTCTCAGAGTATATGTTATTTACAAAACTTCACACTGGTCATTAATGAACAAAGCAAATAAAGCAACATAATCTTTTTCTCTTTTTAGCCATCTGGCCAGATACCTAATGCTGACTCATTTACATACAATTGCACGTTGGTTTTTGAACAGCTTAGTTCTCGGATGTTTTTGCTCCCGAACGCCACAAACTTGGAAGTGAGTGTTCTGGTTTGCGAACTATTTTTGGAAGTCGGACGTCCGACAGGGTTTCTGCAGCTTCTAATTGGCTACATGAGCTTCCTGCAGCCAATTAGAAGCCACACTTTGGTTTCAGAACATTTTGGAAGTCAAACAGACTTCCAGAACGGATTCCTTTCGACTTCTGAGGTATGACTGTAGTCATTTACACTGACCCAGACTTCCTTGATCACATGCCCTGATAAGGACACCTGTTGCTGGAGAAATTTTCCATTGCCTAGCAACTAGAATATTCCAACAGGACCATGAGCAGAATTTGTGTTCCTTATCATTCTCAAACGTCACTAACGTAGTTGATTCATAACCAGTCTCCTTCCAGAAAGAGACAACACACCAGGCAGGTTAGTTCCCATGAGAAAGATTCCCTCTCACTCAAGACAACTGGCCGTCTAGAGAGGAAGACAGTGGCCTCCCTTGTGGTTTCCCCTCTCCATCCATCCTTCCTTCCCCTACTAGTCTTGTAATGGGTCCTGTTCCAACATCTGCTCCCTGAACCCTCACACAGGCTCTTATGGCTAGGAGCCTATACTCTTGAGAGTGCGTGGGCAACACCTGTTAAACTCTCCAAAGCCAGAGGGGTGGCTGAGTAAGATATCCAGTACAGTCATACCTTGAAAGTCGAACAGAATCCGTCCCGGAAGTCCATTCAACTTCCAAAACATTCGGAAACCAAGGGAGCTCCTGCAGCTAATCGGAGGCCGCACTGGATGATTGTGTTCCAAAGCACGTTCGCAAACCGGAACACTCACCGGGTTTGCGGCGTTTGGGAGCCAAAATGCTCGACTTGCAAGGCGTTCTGCTTCCAAGGTATGACTTTAGTTACAAGCAGGGCTCAAGGGAGAAGCAGCAGGATAAATTTCAGAAAATAAGAGTAATTATGCAGACCCACTTAATTTCAGATTTTCATGGCCAGTAATCTGATTTCTGAGGCATACAATCCTAGATTTGTTTAGTGTCAAGAATGCACAACCTTGAGTAAAAAGTTGGCTCTAAATTGCAGGATTTCAGTGCTAACAAGGTGCATATTAACTCAAAAGACTTACTTTATTAGGTTGGTTTTGTTTTCCCAGTTGATCCACATCCTCTTGTTTTATGGGACTGAACACAAAGCCTTCCATTTTTGATGGAGCAAATACATTTGGTGCAGCAAAGTATGACATAGATTTAGCTTCTTCTGGCAACAGTGATGGGAATGTGTCTATAGTCCCATTTCGTTGCAGATTCCACCGGTTATCCATCTCCTCATCTGAAGAGTGTCTGTTCCTAAGTTTCCGAGTGCGCCGGTCAGATGGAGACTCACGCCAGAAAGAGGACTTCAGCATTTAGTTATCTGGGACTTTCCTTTATTGATTCCTGAAATGATATTAGACATTTTGTCAAGAAGAAGAAAAGCTCAAAGCAGTGATGGGGGCTGGATTGGAACTGTGGATGTGGGTGGGTGAAAATGGGGCATGCACATATTTATGGAGATCTGGAAGCAGGAGATACACTAGAATGTTTGTCTCCACTATTCTCAACTTAACTATTTAAATAAGCAGAAGGAAAGGATAACATCTGCACAGCATTTTACATTCCATCTTAATGCAAGATAGCTGTCAATCTGCATAATATCTTTATCCAACAATGGTTCAGTATTTAATACACTTCCAGTGTATTAAATACTAAATGTGGTTTACTTGGAAGCAATTCCCACTGTATACCATAGGGTTTACTTCCAGGTAAGGTCAGAATGCTATACAAGCTGAATTAAAAAACTCTAAGGCTAGAACTATAAAACTCTGCTCTCTCAGATCCAAACAAAGGGGAAAGTTCAAAAGGAAGAGTCCTGTGCAAACAAATTCTGCTTTTGCAAGCTTGCATATCCTTTCATTTAAATAAATTGGATTTTTTTTTTAAATGTCACCGTGTGTATTTTTTTTCCTCACCATGTGCCTGTCTGCAATAATGTATTTTCCCTTTTCTTGAGGGCTAGGCATGTTAAGTCTTTTGCAGCAAAAACAAGAGTTCCTGTTGCACCATAAATACAAATAAATAAGTATATTATGGCATAAGCTTCACAGACTGCAGTCAACAGCAGGTGTGTGAAGTGCTATCCATCCTCCTAGTCAAGACAGCACTTTGTGTATCTGATACAGAGGACTGCAGTCCTTGAAAGCTTATGCCACAATAAATGTATTAAGTCTTTAAGGCATCAGAAGAAGAAGAAAGGAGTAGAGATGCAAATGAAGGATTTCCAGGCTTCGGCTCTTAACTCATAAGCATAAAGTATAAATACAAACGGAAATTCAAAGCCAGCTGTGTTCACTACCACCACTACCACTATTCTGAAGTAGCAGAAGATAGCAAAGAACTCCTGTCTTCACTCCCTGCTACTCTTGTCAGCTGGCCAGCGCCCACAGGATTTCAGATTGTGACGAAGCACCTGCTCCAAGGCTGAGGGTATCAACCAGGTGGTCACTGTCGCATTAGCACCGGAGGAAAAAACTTCAACACGTACAGCAGAGTTTCCAAAAAAACAGACCAGGGGCAATTGTACTTCATTCAGCAGAGCTTTACTGGTACTGAAGGCAAATGAGCATAAATGGTCACAAATCCAAAACAATTAGGATTGACACAGTCCATAAAAATCCAGTTGCAGCACTTACAATAAAACTTACAAACTTAGTAAGACTAAACTTTAACACTACAGCATAAAGAAACAGAACACTAGAACAAAGACAGAAGTGAAAGTGAGTGAGACCCAGGCTCCTCCTGGCCTTACTATATTAGTCAGTATGACCTTGACAGAATGAACAACAAAACCTGTTGAAACCAGCTGTACTCAGCTTCCCAGAGAAATAACCCAAACATCCAAAACCTTCTTCCTGTTTCTTTCACATGGAAATAAACCTTCTATCACAACAAGAAGAAACCTTCTAGAACCCTCTTTGTACAAACCACACACATTGTGTGCCCTGCAGAAAAGGCAAGGAACCCACTTGTGTATAGCGCTCCTGGTATTTGAAAAAACAAAAGTAAACATGTTGGCCCATAAGAAAAAAAATCCTAAATCCACTTTAGGGGGATATCCAATACCTGGTAGGCTTAGTAAAGGTACAGTGGTACCATGGTTCTCGAATTCAATCCATTTTGGAAGTCCGCTCAACTTCCAAAATGTTCGAAAACCAAGACGCAGCTTCTGATTGGCTGATTGGCCCAAGAAACAATGCCGACAGCTGAAATGGATGTTCAGCTTCCAAAAAACATTCGCAAACCGGAACACTTACTTCCAGGTTTGCGGCGTTCGGGAGCCAATTTGTTCGCCCACTATGCCGTTCAGGAACCAAGGTACCACTGTATTGTCCTACTGTAGATTTTGTGTACGCTTTTAAAGGCAATGTCAATAATTCAATCTTTGTCCACTAGGTGGCAGGTTCCTACCTTCTTCCCTGTTGTCGTTTCTCAATACATCATTTTCACTCTGTTTCCTAGCCAGTTCTCTCAAGAATTTGCTCATTGCTAAGTGATGATGTTCTCCCACACTTTAAAAAAATGTTAACGAAATCAGTGAGGCCTAGACTTCTAGATAATTGACAGCTGACTGTGTGTGAAACAAAAGACGGAAGTGTTTGATTCATATTCTGCTCTAACCACAAGAACAGAGTTGTGCAAAAATGCTCTAATATGTGTAATGGCAGACTTCCATGTAATGCAAAGAAAGCTGCTAGACAAGCTGATATTTAAAAGGCAACCCTATTTTAGTAACTTGCCAAAATCCTCTTCCAACTTTTGTCATTTTCCAGTGTGTTTGAGGAATAAACTCGTGCGCCTGGGTTTTTTTTTGTCAGCTACTGTATAAATATTTTGCACTTTGTATCATGTTCATAATGTCTATGACACAAAGGTGCAAGCTGACTCTCCTGACATACGTATCAGGAAAATAAAAGATGTCCTGGCATGTGTTTCAAATGATTATCTTACGGTCTGATTTCTGCAACATTTAATTCAAAGTTGAAAAACAAAACAAAAACACAGCATGATTATCCATAACACATATGACGTAACTGTAGTAACATAAGATAAGCAGCTGAATAGTATAATATATTTTGTTGTTCCTGGTCATTGTATAAAATTCGATTTTTATCCCATTTATCTGTTGTCTGTGATGCATCCTCCCATTTACAGTAAGCGAAATCTGATAAAATGGCAATGTTCCCAGGTGTTTTTGTGCCATTCTTACACTAAGGAAGTTCTCCCATGTTTTAGAAAACAAATGTTTAGACAGAAAACCAGTTGTGTGTAGGAGGGAGAGGGGAATCAGATCAAGATCATGACACTGGTGGAGGGGCTTTAATTCCCCTTCCCCCTGCCCCTTTCTCCAATTTTACATACACGGCTGCTGTCTGCCCTACAGGGGTAAACACGGCAACTTTGCTGGAGGGGGGATTTTAACTGAGAGAACTGTGGGAAAGAATATCTTACCCCCTTCCTAAAGCTGCAGTTTTTAATCTGATTGTTTTCATTACAGCAGCTGTGGGGACAAACATGGGAGGTCCTGATCGCAAATCTCCTGCTTTATATTTAGTTTGTGGTCCTATACACAACTATGAGCAGGATTGCTCAGATTATTACTTTCTCTTAAAACATGGTTAGAGAACCTTTAAAAGCCTGGCGGCCACCTGAAAGTGAACCCCGCTGAGATCTTTTGATGAAGGGTGGCATATAATAGAAATGGTAAGAATAACAACAGCAGGAATGATAATAATAATAATATATTCTGGAGCGTTAACCCACACCTGACACTTCCATCCTCAGCTCTTCCCCACACCAAGGGGGCATCAAGCTCTGCATCTGCCTGGAACAGGAACCTTTCAGCGCGGCTCCAAACAAGAACCAGCCAACGCCCAAAACTACAAGGAGCGTTCCTATCAGGTGACAAAAGGGGCTTCAGCGCTATTCGCGTCTGCCACAAGGGGCGCCATCAGTCTTCCCTCAGAAAACACCGCCTCTCTGAACCGGACAGCCTGACTAGCCCGGAGCGGAGCCTCACTTCTGGGCTGGTGCTACAGGACCGTGAAAGAACGACAACCCGACCGCGTCCCTCAGGCTGTTTTGTGGAGCTTCGCGTGCCTGCCTGAGGGAACTGAGCCCCCTTCCCTGGCGTAGCCAAGGGGGCAGTTCCCCCCATCAATAAAAAGCAATATGAATCTGAGGGTCTGCGCCCCCTAACCAAAATCCCACGACCCCAACTTCACTTCCCCGAGAGTGACCCTCCCACCCCCGTATCCAACAGGACTTCGGGCGGGACGCTTCCCACCTGCTGCGTCCTGGGGCGCGAAGGCAGAGCGCAACGGGGGCAATCAACGCCGCCCTTCCTCCCCAAGCCAGGGGCCCGAGAACATGGCCCCTCCCTCCCTCCCCACGAAGCCTTTATTCGCCCCATTAAATGGAAAGGCTGAAGCGCCTCCAAGGACCGAGCGAGACCTTTCGGCTCTTCCAGGAGGGAAGGCGGAGCCGCAACCAGCGTCGCTCGCCCTCTTGCGGCATAAAATGAAATCTCTCCTGGAAGGTTGTTTGCCTATCGCTCGGTTAACAGCAAGGCGTCGAAAGGGTCGAGGGGAAACGTCACCTTTACGGAGCGGAGGTCTTGGGTGGCGATCTGTCCCGCTGCCGGATCTCTGGCTGTTGCGTCCACCGAAGCGACTCCGAGCCAGTCTCCTCTGGATCTCCGGGCCGGCAATTTAGTATCATCCCTCGCCCCGCCTCTTCCCCGGGACAAAATCTGGGGAAATGAAACTTAAAAGTAAAATCTGGGCAGAAAGGAAAGCGGGAAGGGGCGGGGAGCGGAGAGGATGGTGCCCGGCGTAGCAACTAAGTTCCCTGGATCGCCAGCGGGGAGAGCGCAGCTGTGGTCGGATCCTGCTGGCGAGCTTCCCAGAAGGCACTTTGGGGCCGGATGCCGGACGAAGCGGGCCTTACGCCTGATCCCTGCATCTTTACCTTCTTATCCCCCCCCCCCTCGCCGTCTTTGTAGGTTTGGGGTGCAGGAAAGCTGGCCCCGCCCAACGTAAGTGCAGTAGGCTCTGGATCAGGAAATATCTTGCGCGCTTGAGCTGGAAGAGCCTCAGATGGAAGAAAAACCCACAAACACTGCAGAGATGCTTCCTCACCCCACCCGAGTGGGGCCGACTATAAGAGCAGGGGCAGCCTCGGGTAGCCTGCTAAATAGTGATACAGTTCAATCCAAGCATCATATAGTTCATATTTAACAAATCCACATTTTTAAAATAAATCAGTTACAGAGATGCAATGGGGGTTTGATGCATGGAGTTGGCTGCAGGCCCAACTTCACTGCACTTCATTCCCACTGAAATCCATGGGATTTAAGACATGACAATATTTCCCATTGATTCCAGTGGTACCTAAATTCAGTTTCCCTAAGACTGCAATCCTGACACCACACAGCTGAGAAGAAGCCCCACTGAATTCAATAGGACTTGCTTGAGTAGGTATGGTTGGGGTTGTGCTGGCTGACTGGGCCGAACCCACCTGCTTGTATGGTATGTTTGTCTCTGTCATTATTAACTTTCAGGAGGAAGTTGAAAACATTCCTGTTCAGCCAGGCATTTGGTGGCTGGAGAATACTGTGCCTGCCAACCCCATCATTGGATGGAAGACCATTTTTATAACTCTTTAATTGTAATTATTCTTAGACTGTTCAGTTTTAAAACTTTTTTACTGTGTTTTTGCTTTTAAATGTTGTATCTGTGTGCTGCCCTGGATCTTATGGCTTCTTCACATCTTAAAACATTTACAGACATTCCAATTAAAGAGTTTCAATGGTAAGTCACTATAAAAAAGTCACTAAGCTAACATCAAGCTTGCGAAATCAGATCTCCACTGATTTAGGGAAGTCGATTTCACACACCCCTACGTCATTGTTCACTCTCTTGCAACATCCCTTAATAGTCTGTTTCTCTGCCTCTCACTCTTACACACACTTCATGTACCACTTTCTCAGCCCCACACAGGGCTGTCCTTTTGACTGTTCCATTCGGTCTTTGCTCCACTTCCTATTGTTAACCACCACATTGTCCTTGAATGTTGTTTTTTGGATTATTATTATACTTTTTAAAAGGTTCTGAGGAGTCTTAATGTACATAAATCATTCCATTTCAGCCAAGGAGCCAAGCAAGGGCTAAATTAAACCAACTGAAACTATTAACTCTCATATCTAATAGCCAGCAACATTTAAAACAATGCAGCCTGCAGTTATCTCAAGGTAGGGTGAGGGGTATTTTGGGCCATTTTTGGGGGGTGGGAAGGCAAATTGGCAGACCACAAGCTATCTGTTTTCTGTGTGAATCCTGTTGTCTCTGGTTGACCACAGCCACTCCCTAGCAGAACAGACAAAGCTGTTTTTTGACTTAGCCAGAGACAAGCTCAGAAAACAGGTAGCAAGTAGCCTGTGCTGGTTCAGTTGAGAGATGAAAACTCAGTACAAAACTAAGTTGTATAATAGCTTAATTAGAACCAGCTAATAAATTCTCTGGGGAACTCCATAGCTCCAAACCAATCACTGATTGGTTTTGCAGGACAGTAAATAGAGACAGCTGTGGGCTATGTATTTAGAACTAGCCAATCTAGCAACAAACCAATGAATAAGTTTTCATGTTCTTCAGAACTCTTCTAGTGCAATGCCTATGCCAGGGGTCAGCAAACCTTTTCAGGAGGGGGCTGGTCCACTGTCCCTCAGACCTTGGGGGCCGGACCCACCCTCTGCCAAAAGCACCCCCTATCCCAAAAGGAGCCCCCCCGCCAGTCACGGCACAGCCACTGATGCCACGTTTTCTGCGGTGGCAACATCCTCTGCCTCGACCAGGGGTCCGCGGGGTGCAGATCCCATTCCAACGGCCTGGGCTGCGGAGGCAGCCTCCCCGCCACCACCGTTTCCTCCTGCTTGGCTTTTGACCATACGCGGCTGCCTCAGCGGGAAGGAAGGGGCTTTGCCCAGAGGTGTCCGCGGCTTTGGATTGGCTGCAGGAGCTTCCTGCAGCCAATCTGAAGCCGCATCAGTGTTGCGGAAGTTAGTCCCCACGTGGTGAGGCCTCTGTGCCGCGTCGGTTTAGCATGGGGTGGCAGGGTCAGCAAGGTTCGCAGGCCGCACTAACGAGCTCGGTGGGCTGTACCCGGCCCCCAGGCCTTAGTGCGCCGACCCCTGATCTACGCAGAAATAAGTCCCATTGACTTAATTGGGTTTACTCCTAAGTTGGTGTGTATAAGATTACAGCCTTTATCAGTTATCAAGAAAAATAGAGTGTGAGAGAAAATGCTGGCATAGTGTTGAAGCCGCAAAGTCAGAAATTCCATTGCAAGTTCCCATTGTCCATGATACATCTAGACCCATGGTTCCCAATGTGGGGCACACGACCCACAGGGGGGCAATTTGAGAATGAATTATTAACAGTTAATGGCCTTTTAGGCTTCCTCCACGTGAAAAGGAGTTCACTTTTTGAATGATAAGAATTGTATGTCATGGGGGGGGGCACCAGGATTTTAGAGATGCTTAGGTGCATAATGGCCAAAAAAAAGGTTGGGATCCACTGATCTAGACAATGCATGCTCCTGATCTGATTGCACATTCCTAGGTTTAGGTGAACTCTCATTTTCAAGGTGGAAAGTATTCATCCATGTTTTAATTGCAAGGATTGTGTAGACCATGAAATCACTCCAAATAACCAGTAATAATTCACCTGGAGAAAAAAACAGCATTAAAATCTCAAACAAAGAATACGAGGGAAAGCAATAATTTGAGACCAGTTCAGCAACAAATACTTTATTTTAAAAGGAGAACAAGGTTTTCCACCATAAGTCTAGAATTTAGCATTTTTAAAATCAGTTATTACTAGGATGGTGGTCATAGAATCATAGAGTTGGAAGAGACCACAAGGGCCATCGAGTCCAACCCCCTGCCAAGCAGGAAACACCATCAGATCACTCCTGACATATGGTAGTCAAGCCTCTGTGGTGGTGGTATGAAAGCTTAAGATGTTTATACAGTGGTACCTTGGTTTTCAAACTTAATCTGTTCCGGAAGTCCGTTCCAAAACTAAAGCGTTCCAAAAGCAAGGTGTGCTTTCCCATAGAAAATAATGCAAAATGGATTAATCTGTTTTAGACTTTTTAAAAAAAAAAAATATTTTATTAAGGATTTTCTTGTTTTACAGAAGTGTAGTGCCTCGTATTTTTTTCTTTCCATGTAACATTTTTACAAATCCATTTCATTTGTTGAGGCATTAGGGGGAGAAGGGAAAAAAAGAAAAAGAAAAAAGAAAGGGGGGGTGGAGAGAGGGAAGATGGGTAGGGGTGGGGTCGGGTGGCGGTGTTTCTATTATGTTTAATGTATGTAGAGTTTGGTGTCAGCGTTGCTTGTGTTGTTCACTTGTGTTCCTTTGGTGGTGAGAGAGGTTGGGGTTGGCCTAGGGTGTGATTGTTTGCTTGTGATTGGCTGTGGTGATCTTTGTTTTCGTGTGTGAGTGAGGTGGGTGGGTGTTTTGGATCAGGTTAGCCATATTGATTTGTATGCTGTTGGTGGATTATCTGTTTTAGACTTTTAAAAACAATCCCTAAAACAGCAATTTAACATGAATTTTACTATTTAATGAGACCATTGATCCCTAAAATGAAAGCAATAAACAATGTACTGCAGTCAATCAATCAATCAATCAATCAGTCAGTAGCTGAACTGGGTTCCACACAGTCACACACAAAAAAGAGCCACAAAAATGCAAAATCAATAGCAGAAACAGACAGACCTCAGCGTAACACTTAAAATGGAAGTGTGGCACTCAATTCATCAGCGTAACACTCAAAACAGCAGTGTGGTTGTGGCGTTCGTACAGAGCCCCCGGTCATTTCACGGACTACAGTGGTACCTTGGGTTACATACGCTTCAGGTTACAAATGCTTCAGGTTACAGACTCTGCTAATCCACAAATAGTAAGTACTTTGCAGCAGCAGCGGGAGGCCCCATTAGCTAAAGTGGTGCTTCAGGTCAAAAACAGTTTCAGGTTAAGAACAGACCTCCAGGATGAATTAAGTTCTTAACCTGAGGTACCCCTGTATTGACCTGTACACCAGTGCTTTATTCTTCCACTGCCACTAAGCAGGTTTCTTCTGGTGAAATACTGAGTCTCAGTCAGGTTGTAAAGTCAACAACGAAAATTAAAGTTTATTGAAGAACAAGTTTTAAATATATTCAGAACAGTTTCTGAAATGCGCGCCCTTAATTAGATGTGGCACTATCTCACACTGTCACACTCTTCTCTCTCAGTTCTATCCCTGTCTCTCACTCTAGCTGTCACAACTGCTGTGTTCGTCTTTTACTGGCTTTGTCTGACTCTGACTCCTCTATCTCCCAATGGTAAAACCCCTGGGCTGAGTCTCAAAGCCAGGTAGAGGCTCCGCCTCTGAGCTTTCTCATTGGTCAATCTACATTAACCATTTCCATCCCCCTGTACAAACAAAATCACAAGGAATGAGCAAAGGCCACATTGGCACTCAAATCGGAAGTGTAACACTCAAAACGGAAGTGTAGCACTCAAATAGTCAGCCTAACACTCAAAACGGAGCATGTTTGGCTTCCGAAGAAAGTTCGCAAACCAGAACACTTACTTCCGGGTTTGCAGCATTTGGGTTCCAAGTTGTTTGAGTACCAAAGCGTTTGAGAACCAAGGTACCACTGTATACACAAGCAATGAATAGGATCCCTTCCTTCTGCAACTGGAAGAGGGAATTAACACAGAGACACCTCTTGATTACATGGGGAATTTTGCTAAATGCTGTCGTGCTTTGGTGAGACGCTTGATCTTCTCCTTCAGAGTGTTCCTCACATTGGAAGTATCATACCTCTCCTGAAGGAGAATGTCAAACTGATCTTTGTTTTGCAAGAGTTGCAGCATTGTATTTTGTAATTTGTCAGCATAATCCTGGAGAACATATGTCCGAATAATCATGGGAATTTGGGTTCCAAGACGGGTTCCTGCGCTCTGCAAACAGAATAAGAGTTTGGGTTTTTAGACTGATTAACAGACGGACAAAACCAGGAAGGTAGCATTATCAAAAGACTATCATTACAACAGGTCATCCACTTAAACATAGGTCACTGGAAGAAGGCTTAAATCACTCCCACTAACAATCAATCAAAAGAGGAGGGATAATGGGCCCTTATTTATTTCACAAATTGGTTTGGTTCTCTTGTTTCTGGGCCCAGACAATAGAGCAAATAATTTCTCTCATCATATCCATGCCCCACCCACCTTTTTTTTTTTTTTTACCATGAGAGCTCTAAGAAATAACCTGATGTATGTGCATGTGTAAGTACTTCTTTATTTAGGTTATTATGTGACATTTATGTTAAGCACAAGCTGCTCCAAAGCAATAGCTTAAAAACTTAAAACAGAGTTCAGCTATCCTAAGAGAGGAGCGGGAAGGTGGTGGAAGGCTATATCAGCCCAGGAGAAAAACTATTCAGATCAAAGTTTTGGATACTCTGTTTCTTTATTTTACTACTAGAATTGTTCCATGTTGTAATGGGAGATTGAGGTGTTAAAAAAAGAGGTTGAAACTCACTTTGAAGTAAGCGTTCAAGTGGTAAGTCATTTCCTCCATGGAGCATAGCTTTGCAGGAACTAGAACTGATTTTGTAAATGCATTTCCAACACCTTTCGTTCTAATGCCACTTAAATCTTCACTATAAATACTGTCCTGGGAGTACACTATTTGTTCCATTTTAAACTGAGTATTGATCATGGATACCGCAGCCGCTTCTTGCTTCAGTTTTATATCTTCAATATTGATCTGCATGACAAAACATATTATGTTTTGTTTTTGTTGTTCCACAGTAATTCATTATGAGAACCCCTACACTCAGTGTTCCCAAGTATAATCAGTAAGGCTCAGAAATTAACACTTAAAACTGCTTTACCAATATAGGTCATTAGTCCATTTCACCCACCACCCTGAATGACAGTTCCAGTGTCTCAGGCAAAGGTGTTATCAGAGATTTTTAAAAACTGGACCCTTCCGCAAGCCTTGATGGGTAGCGTTGTGTAGATAAATAAGGTAAGGTGTTACAAAGCACTTCCATGGGAGCTGGGAAAGGTACAAATATTTGAAATGCATCAACTCCACAATTGATGGTAGAAGAACAGTTACATTTTGAGAGAACCACAGAATAACATCTTGCACAGAAATATCAGTGGATTATATTTCCACTTTAAAAATATAAAGCTACCATTGTGTCAAGAGCGAGCTAGCAATAAATCACACTGTGCAAGTTAGAGTTAAGTCTTTAGCAGCAAACACACTATCTGCAAAGGAGCGTTGGGCCTAAGGAGCGCAACTCATCTCTGGTAGGTCTTGCCCCCATAAAGCAGTTGCTGAGACTGAAGGACTCCACCTCCCCACAGCTAAGTCCCCCCCTTCTCCAGGGTTCTTTTTCCAAGCAAGAGACTGCATCTACCCCTCACTAATCTCTCCTTGGCTCTTTTCATACTTCTTCTGGTTCTGGGAGACAAGTAGGAAAGGGAGTTTGTCACAGCAGGAAGGAGAGACACCTTCTCCAGCCAGACTCATCTCTGCCTCTTGGCCTCCTCCCCTGCTTTAGCGTCTGCCTCTGATTCTGGACTTCCCTCTGCCACAGACTCTCCCAGCTCACTATGCCCTGTTCCCTCTTCAGTTTCTGACACCTCAGTCTTCTCCCTCTGATGGCTCATCCTTGTCCCACCACCACTCCCTGGCCTCTGAACAACCAGTCCATGACGCATGGGCTCTCTTCAGCAGAGTAGCCCCATCCCTGCATCATATCATCTCTTTCATATATATTAGGTGGGACAAGGAAGTAGTTAAAATTAAGTCAAACTATTTATTTATTTTTTAAATCTAGGATCAAGGCAGGACCTTTACATACCTGGGGGCAGAGCTCACATAAAACACTCATCATCTGAAGTGGGAGTCGGGGGAGACCTTTTCAGACTGATGGGCCAGGTCTAAATTTTCTGCCCACCTGTCAATCACCTGACTTCATAGTGATATCATGTGAAGCTGTGCTTTAAAGCCCTGATTGTCAGCAAGCACACTAGAGCCATCCTGGTTGTATGGATTCATTAGAGTGTTCCATGTCTGCCTTTTGTCTAACCATCATGGTTATGACTAAATACATCACTTCTTACCTGAGCAGCTCTCAGAAGATTGTAGAAAGCACCAAAGTGTCGGTAGGCAGTTTGAATAAAATTTTCCCGCACAAGTTCTAGAAAACAGGGAGAACCATTTAAAGGCACAAAATCTTAAGAGAAAAATTGTGGCTAAAATTCCTAAGCAACTGGCCAAAGTAAATAATATACTGTCCTGTGTATTGTTGGAAAAAACTGGGGCCCTGGGCTTGTGTCTTTACACACCTTCACCTCTACCAACACACACACACAGGGGTGCCAACACTATTTCTGGGCAGGAGGCTGAGCCCCCCCAATAGTGAGGGGGCCGCCATCCCCCACCACTGCTGGGCAAGACTGGCCTGCTGCCCCCCACCCCGCATGTGGGGAGCAAGTCGGTGCCCCTGCACACACATGTGTTCACATCAGTTAAATTGTGCAACATGTCAGAAAAGAAAGACCACTCTTGCTATTGTGTCTTTCCTGGCTACCGTTAACCCAACCTTCTACTCAGAGGCATGCATGCAGATTAGAGTGTTTGTGTGTGTACAATATGCTGCGAAAGACAGAGAGACTGGGAAAATCAAGTAAACAATATTAATGGGAATTGCTTCCTAGGAAGTATTTTGTTAGGATTAGGATCAGAATGATCAACTGACAGAAGACATGTAAGATTGTGGCATAATAATCAATTATTGTGGCATAATAATCAATTATTACTGTGCTCAATCTCTATTTAATTTTATATATATATATATATATATATATATATATATATATATATATTCTTTCCTTTCAAGGCCAATATATGCTAAGCACTATGCAGATATTAAAAGGGACACAAGTCATGAAGATTATTGTGTTAAAGTGTGTATGCAAATAAATTATGAGCTGTTACTGACTTTCACAAAGCCAATAAAACATTTAGGCTGCGATTCTATACCTAATTACCTGGTATAAAATTCAGTGACATTTACTTTTGAGTGGACATGTATAAGATTGCACTATAGAAGGTAGTGCTCTTAACAGAGAATAATTTGTTTTTCTGCAAGTGACATTTAAAGTGTTTTGATTACCCTGCATTTGTCAATCAAAATATTCACAATACTTATGTGTATTAAAATTAAAAAAACTATTCTGTTTTAAAACTGCTATTTCTATATTAACAGTACATCAACAACATTCAGAAATGATATATTCCAGACTAAATTATATTCCTAAAATCACACATGAAATCCTTTACATAAACCAGATATTAGAAACTGAAACCATGTTGCTACTGTAAAACGTACCCGCTACATCCGTCAACATTTCAACAGCTGGCGATTTCAGCATCATAATTTGTCGTCTGACAATGGTCTCAAAGGTCTTGTAATTAATAAACCCTGGGAGTTCTTTACCACGATATTTATTTTCATAGCTGTGAACTTCATCTTTCATAGTATCTCTTACTGCAACATTGAAAAAATTGCATTAAGTAATCACCCTCAGCTTTCGAGGCTCCAGTACTGATGAAGTTAATAATCATGGCTACTCCATGAATTATAGAACACACATTTTTTTAACCTGCTCTTTTCTGCAAGTTTGATATTGGAAGACGTCTATCTCAAAAGCAAAATAAAAATGGGCTGCATGCACAGGTAAACAAATATCTGTGACAATGCCCAAAATGAACCACAGGTTTCTGGAATTCAGAGATGATAGGGACAACAGCACATAATGTGCATATATCCCATCAAGTACCACACCCACCCACAAGTGTGGCTAGGAAATACTGAGATCAGAGTTCAACTGAAAATGCTCATGTGTGAACAAACATGCACAAAAGTGCATATGGGAAAAATGGGTCTGTGCAAACTACATGCACGCTATCACTCTGATGTGTACACAGCCTGCACGAGAATTCAGGTTAAAACTGGGTGTTCACTTGCAGGAAAAAAAATAAGAAATTTGAAACAGTTTACCATTTAGCGCATTGCTGTTGATCTCCTCTTGCCATTGATTAAAGATATTTCGCACTTTTGTGAACAATCTTGTTTCTTTCAAATCCGTTAAATCCTCTCCTTGTACTTTATTTAAGATGTCTTGATTAAAAAGCTTGATTTTCTGTAAAAAGAATATATATATATATATATATATATATATATATATATATATATATAATATTTATATATCAATTCAGTCTGTCCAGCTACAATGTACATCTTTTGAAAAAGAATTGAGTGATTATCCAGAAAGCATCAAGACTTGCCGTTAGGCTTTGAACTTGATGGCTTAAGCTTTATGGCTTATACGAATGAGCAGAGTACAATAATAAAAGAGAAGTGGATCATGTTCAGGATAGGCACCACCATTCATATTCCATAGTACCATTCCTAAACCAGCACAAAGAGAATGCTTCCCAAATCACATACAAATAAGCTTTACAATCTTAAAGTGGTTCCCTGATGTTACTTTTCAACAAGTAGCCAATCCTCATCTTAAGTAAAGTATATCCTTCAAATAGATGATATAGGGTGAAGGAGACATAATATTTAAAGAGAAGCCACAGCAGAGTCATTACATGCTGTGCAAGCGTGACTTTCTACCTGTTTTGCAATGTACATAACTTTCAACTCTCCTAACTATTGTCTGCCTAGACTTAGATTCACTATGCACAAGGTAATAAAAGAGATAATTGATGGGAAAGGATATCTGATGACGATAGGACCTTCGGGTATAGGGCGGTATAGAAAATTAATTAATTAATTAATTAATTAATTAATTAATTAATTAATTATACAGTGGTACCTCGGGTTACGAACTTACAGTGGTGCCCCGCAAGACGAATGCCTCGCAAGACGAAAAACTTGCTAGACGAAAGGGTTTTGCATTTTTTGAGCTGCTTCAGAAGACGAATTTCCCTATGGGCTTGCTTCGCAAGACGAAAAATGAAAACGTCTTGCAAGTTTGTTTCCTTTTTCTTAACACCGTTAATACAGTTGCGACTTGACTTCGAGGAGCAACTCATAGAACGCGGTGTGGTAGCCCTTTTTGAGGTTTTTGAGACTTTGGTGATTTTTGAAGCTTTTCCAAAACTTCTTTTGCAGCCATTTGGTAAGTTAAACTTTTAAAACTTTTTTGGGGGTTTTTGGATTTTGGGTTGGGGTGTTTGGAATTCAAGGACTTGATGTTGGGGAGGGGTTTGCAAGAATCTGGAAGCGTGTGGTTTTTTTCTGCATTTTTATGATTTTCTGTGACCATTGGGCCACTCTGCTGTTTTTTTAAAAAAATTCTGGATTTGAATTTCTGTGTGGTGGGTGGCTGGGGGAACAGTTGAGGAGAGGGTTCTTCAGCAAGAAGCAAAGAGTGGAAGAGGAACCTTCTTCGAGTTGTCCCCCAGAGTCTTAGAAAATGTACTGTACACTTTGTTGATTTTTAAATGTTTTTCTGTCATGTTTAGAAACTTAATTTATTGTTCCTTCAATTTTTGAAATGCTCTTTACAGTATGTGTGACTTTAAAGAGCACTTAATAAACTCTTGTTGTACCAAATTTGGCTTTGTTTGGACTTTTTTTGACCATAGGAATGCATTAATTGAATTTCAATGCATTCCTATGGGATTTCGTGCTTCGCAAGACGAAAAATTCGCTAGACGAAAAAATTCGTGGAACGAATTAATTTCGTCTTGCGAGGCACCACTGTAATTCGTTCCGGAGGTCCGTTCTTAACCTGAAATACCACTTTAGCTAATGGGGCCTCCCACTGCCGCTGCGCTGCCAGCACATGATTTCCGTTCTCATCCTGGGGCAAAGTTCGCAACCCGAGGTACTACCTCCGGGTTAGCAGAGTAACCTGAAGTGTTTGTAACCCGAAGCATTTGTAACCCGAGGTATCACTGTGACGACGACGATGATGATAATAATAATAATAATAATAATAATAATAATAATGGCCCCTGGAACTTAGTATTGTACCAATGCTTTTGGTCCAATTGAAGCATATGGCTGTCCAATCTTTTAATGCAAAACCACCTCCCATCACCCTTGACCATTAGTCAGGAGTCCAGCAACATCTGGAGAGGGACATGCTCCCCACCCTCTGTTTTTCACCGGATGGTTGTTGTTTATTTGGTCTTTCATTATCAACATTCTTTTTAAACGTACATTATTGCATTGAAGTTTGGAAATGTCTGCCAGAGTTCAAGGCCTAAACCTCTTCTACCAAAATTAGATACTGATATTTAGGTACTTCGTTTTCAGTTTCCTGAGAAACACACATATTAAAATTTTCAGGCATTCCAGAAATAAAATTGGAAACCCCACATTTATTTACCTGTATGAGGAAAGGTATCTTCTCTTCTGTGTTTCCAGGCACATCTTGACCACATTTTTGCAGCTCTGCATTTGTTACCTCTAGCTTTTCCTTAATTTGTTTTTGCAAAGTTGGCAATGTTTTCTGAAAGACAGACATGCACCAAGAAGGAAAGTATTCAGTCTCAGAATGTTTCAACACCTCTTCAGAGTGAATTCACAGAATCATTCACAGAATCTGACACTTGACTGAGATAAATGCTATTGCAGCTGCTTAACACTGGTGGTGAAACATAGAAGCCACCAACTTCTTTTTATTTGGAACACACCAAAGCATGCCAGAAGGTCTTATTCATAACCCTATAATCAGAATGTATTTAGACAACCAAGACACGTGTGTGTGTGTGTGTGTGTGTGTGTAATACACATATAGTTTTTCTTTAGAGAAATGAAGATCATTGGACTGTTGATACATGCATTTGCATACAACATATAGTTATGCCCCGGGACTAAAAATGACATGTCACATGTCCAACGACATGTAGTTTTCCTCTGCTGGTATTTTTTTTTTACAGTATAAATCTTGAATTGAAAGCAGAAGGTGCTATTTAACTATTTTCCCACTCTTTTTTTAAAGCAAAAAATTGTCAATAGAAGTCAAAGATTGAAAACAATTTTTCTTCTTTTTTTAAAAAATTGAAATATAAATAAAATCAATCATTAAAAATATACATTATGTACTAAAATTACAGATTAAAATACATATTAACTTACATGTTTGGATAGGCTTTCTTAAACATGTAAGTTTTTTGTGGACATTAAAAAAAGATACAGAGGAAATGCTTTCCAGCAAAGACAAGGTAAATACAATTATTTCAAAGCACTAACAAATTTAGTTATTCAAATGAATCAGTATTCTCTTACGCTAATGTGCTCTATCAGCTCCTGTGTAAGCCTTTCTGCCAAAAGTGGGATGGTAGCTCTGCCTTCCTCCAAAAGAGATCTAGCAGGAAACAAGAGTGAGTAATTAAATTTAAAAGTATGACACAAGTATAATCCAGATAAACAGGCAGGCAGGCAGGCAGTTCCCAATATTCAATCAAATGGGGCTCGTTTAAACAATCTTTGGAGTGATCAGACCCAGTGTGTGGAGTACTGCAGGCTGAAGTGTCAAACAGATGCTTGCATTGGTTGCATACTTTCACTTAATTTGGCATTATATTTCAACCAACAAAGACCACAATGAATGGATTTCTTTCTTTCTTTTTAAAAATAAGCCTACCTGAAAAAATCGTGTTCTTTGAAAAATTCTTTCTCTTTCTCAATTGCATCTCCCAAAGTCACTTTGTCGTTGATGTCACTTTGCCCACGACACTTAACGATCATATATCCTTTTCTCAGGGGGACTCTTTGATTCCGGATTATGTCCACCACTTCTGCCTCTGTTCCCTTGTCGACCAAGTCAGGCTTGGTCAGGATGCCTGTGAAATAATAGATGCATAGGAAGAAAAGTATCTTATTTTAGGTGGTTTATTTTGAGAAAAGGTAGTACATATTCTGAATCAAGTCACCTTTGAACCCATGGGACCTGTATGGGAAAAGTGTGTCTCTGAACTTCCTTACCACTGTGAAATTATGGTGACTGTCCACATTTTTGGGATTAGGAAACAGAGGACTTCAAAGTGAGAGCATGTGCGTTTGAGGCCTGCCTACCAAAGATGACTTAAGAGGACAGACCATTTTCTTCTCCTATATCTCAAGTATTTATTGGGGGGGGGACGATTTTCTTTCTCACAAAACAGTTTTAGAATGTTCACATGGAACACTCAAACAAGAAGATTGCAGAACAGCTTCACTAGCCTGTTGCCATTCAGATGTTTTAGACTTCCAAGTCCTACCATCTCTGACTATTGGGCAACCTTGACTGGAGGCCAATGAATGTTGTAGTCCAGTACATCTGGAAGACACCAGGTTGGCAAAAGCTGTTTCAGAGAATATATCTATGATGGGAAATATGAGATGTTCTTATGAACAGAAAAGCCTGCTGGATCAGGCCAATGGTCTACCTAGTCTAGCATCCAGTCCTCATGGTAGCCCAACCACATGACTATGGGAAACATGCAGATCTACACCATACATGTAAAGCACAGGGGTTCCCCGAAATAATCTGGGAAACTGCAGTTTTCCCTTCACAGAGCTACAATTCCCAGCACTCTTAAACTACAGTTTCCAGGATTTAAATGTACAGTGTGAATCTGTTCTCCATTTGGAAGTAAAGTATTGCATAAGAGTGCAGTGGGAAGGGAGAAAGACAGCCAGGACTCAGCCTGGGGAATCCAGCAGCAGCAGCAGCAGCAGCAGGGCCTGGAAGCAGTGGCGGATCTTCATGCTCCGGCACTAGGGGCGGGGGGAGGCTGGCGTGTGTCCTGGGGGCAGGGCGCGCCACCTGCAGGGGTGTGGCGCCCAGCGCAGGCAGGGGGACAGCTGCGATGGCACCCTACTGGGATTGCGCTGCCAGGGGCGTTGCGTTCCCCCTGCACTCCTCTTCCTCTGCCAGTGCCTGGAAGTATTTTCTTTTGTGCCACTGGAACAGCTTGCAGTTGGAAGAAATGGCTGGCTATCTGATAGTAGCTGAAACAGACTGCAGCTTGCCAGACCAGCTGAATCAGATGAGCTGTGGAACCAACAGGAAGACAGGTGGCCCAATACAAGTACTATATTGGGTTTGGCTCCCCAGTCTGTGCAATCTGTCAGTGCCTGATATGCAGATTTCTGCTGCCTCACCATGCCTACTGTCTGGAGCCTGACCTATGGTCTTGGACCACGTTACTAGCCTCTGCTCCTTTGGACCCACGATTGCTGCCCTTGACCCACACCGATTCTGGACCACACTGCTTGCTGCTGAGTCCATCCTTCCCACCCAACCCCCAATATTATTCTATTTCTCTGTACAGATGTGCAGTTCACAACAGCAAAGAGCCGCAACAGAATCAGCCAGAAGAATTCAGCCTGCAGGTCTAGAATATTCACAGAATATACAGCTGATAAGTCACCATTTGAGTAAATACAGCAGAAAGAGGGTTGATTTGAGGGCTAACACAAAATCATGGTAAAAACTGATTAGATGCTTGGCAAAATGTTAAGAAGTGAATAGGCTACGGTAAGACCTCTAAATAAAATTCTGAATGACGCAAATCAAACAGGGTGGTAGGATTCCTGCAGTGATAACTTGTCCTCCCCGTAGTTAAAAACACCACCATCACTTTTTAAAGTGTTTATTTAACTTACCAAGTGTTCTCTCCCCCGTGGGATCTACTTCTTGAGCCATTTTCAGTGCCTCCGTTGTTGCAATGTCTACATTACTTGGCACCACTACCAAATTGATGGTTTCTTGTTTGTTAATATACTTCTTAATTAACTTTATTATCTGTAACAAAATTCAGACAATAAGAGCTGTGTTATATGGCACCTTATAAAATGAGTAAATACAGCCAACTAAAATTTTGTACAAAACTGGAACAATACAAGAATCTGTTGTGCCAAAGCAGTGGATTTATTAACATAACTGCTGTATTGAACTAATCAAGGAATTGGAGGTGATCAGCATTGTTGTACTTTAACACCCATCAGCCCCAACCAGCATGGGATGATGGGAGTCTGAGTCCAGCAACATCAGGTTTCCTACTGCTGTGTTACAGTGTTATTTATATTCCAATGTCTACCAAGGATTTCAATGCAATTTACAAACAATTACAAAAATTAAAACAACAGATAAAGCAAACAAAGCAAGCAGCAAATAAAAAACTGCTAGTATTTTTTTTTTAATGTGGTAGAAAATGTTTAAAAATATATCAATGGTGGTACGAGGCATACCTTCCAGCCAGTGTTCACCCAAGCTCCTGACAACTGTGTCACTGATGCTTACCTGGATGGAGAGGTGTGGTGCAAGTGCACCAGCAGAAGTGCCAGATTGGTTTTGCTAGTGTGTTTCAACCTTCCTGACCTCCTCACCTCTCTCTTTCCTGTAAGCAGCTCTCAGGAGGTCAGAGGAGCACCAGTGCTCCACCATGCCACCCACTTCTGCCCCTAGGATTCCATAACTGGAGCACCACCAATAAAATCCCTTCTCCCTTGTAGATGCAAGCCTTACCTCCAATGGGTGGCACTTCGCGAAAGGCATCATACCTTTAGCATGTGGGCACTCCCATACCTTGCTGTATCCACCCAATTCATTTTCAGGATCCTACCAGTTCTGAAAACAATCTTCTTTTTACCTGCTGTCCAATGTCTTTTGGCTGATCACCCACAGCCACTCTTGCAATTCCTGGCAGGTCAATCAGAGTAAGGTCCGGAACATCTGAGGAGCTGATTTCCAGGCTAATTAATTCTGAGCTAATGCCTGATCCTGAGCCAGCCATTGCATTCTGGGCTGTATTATAGGAGGAAAAACAAAGTACAGTGGTACCTCAGGTTACAGACACTTCAGGTTACAGATGCTTCAGGTTACAGACTCCGCTAACCCAGAAGTAGTACCTTGGGTTAAGAACTTGGCTTCAGGATGAGAACAGAAATCGCGCGGCAGCAGCGGGAGGCCCCATAAGCTAAAGTGGTACCTCAGGTTAAGAACAGTTTCAGGTTAAGAACGGACCTCCAGAACGAATTAAATTCTTAACCCAAGGTACCACTGTAACAGTACAGGAATATTGTGGGAAAATCTCTTCCTACAGACCAAAAAGTGAACACTTCAGCAGAAATGTGTTCTTCTATAATAGACTAGGCAGAAAAGGAAACTAATTACAAAGATAAGCATTTGGAATTTCTGCTTGGTGCAAAGGAAGACACTAAAAACCATCACAGAAAAACTCTTTATGTATAGCCCAACCCTAGTAACAATTTAATATCTGTTTGGCTGTCCACTAGAGGATATACAAAAAAGTAATTTAGATAGCAATTCTATGTGCATCGATGTGCAAACTAGCTCTCCTGAACAGTGAGACGTGCTTCTGTGTTAACGTGCTTCTGTGTTAACATCTATAGGATTGCACTGTCAGCGACAGTTACCTCTGATGATTTGTTCTTCCACTTGTCTCGAGCTATTCATTTCTTTCACTGTGTTCAGATATGAAATTTTCCCTTTCCATTCCTTCGTGTTGTGTGTTTTCTTCAGCTTGAGCTCTAAGGGGCATCTTGTAACAATACCTGTAAAGTGAAAAAGCAAGCATGAAGGAATGGAAGATGACAGGGAAGGGCAAAGGGAGCCCTACTCTATCTTGAATGTCACCAAAACATGGGTGGGCCAAGGAAAGACTGGTCGTATCAGCAGGTAGAACACTTAGCATGCAAGAGCCCTGTTGGATCAGGCCAAAGGCCCATCTAATCCAGCATCCAGCACTCACAGTGGCCTACCAGATGCCCATGGGAAGACTGTAAGCAGAACCTGCATGTAACAGCCCTCTCCCTACTTGTGATTCTCAGTAACTGCTATTCAGAGGCATACTGCCTCCGACAGCAGACATAGCCCATAACATTGCAACACTACAGAAGTCTTTAGACACAAAGAAAGTGCCATGATCAGTATAGTTGGGTCTTTGCATCCTTCAAACGGCAGAAAGAAAGAAAGAAGGAAGGAAGGAAGGAAGGAAGGAAGGAAGGAAGGGAAAGAAAGCTGTTTAGTCATAGGGAGAGTAATATCCCGTGCATTACAAAATATTTCCCAAGACACCTATAACAGATAGCAACCAAAAGGGGATGATCGATACCAAGCAATATAAAACTATTAACTGATGAAAAAGACTAATAAAAAGTATTAAACCAATTTCATGGGAATGAAAGTTACTTAAAGGGCTCAGAAAAAATAAAAAGTCCTCCCAAAGTAGCAAAAGAGTTGCCAGGCGAATCTCCCCAAGGAAAAGCATGTCATAAACTGGGTGCCACCACCAAGAAAGCCCTCTCTTTAAAAAAATAAATATTTTAAAAAAATATTTCTTAAGTTTACAAAAATACATGCATTGTCTCTTTTTTCAGGTTGCATTTAGAACCACCTCCTTTTACACCAGATGGTGGGAGCCCCAGATGGTGGGATAGACTCTGAAGACAATCTTAATATAGATGTTGATGATTGCATCACATTGACTCATGGAGAAAAAAGAGGAACAGCGGGGGGTGGGGGATTCTCACCACTGCCCCTTGGAAGAGCGACTCCAGAAAGAGCTTCCAGAACTGAGCTTTTCCCTGAGCTTTGATCTCCAATCACAGCAATTGCTGGCAATGCCAAGTCCTTCTCCACTCCGAGGGCTCTCAGAGAATCAATAAGGTCAATACATGGACGGACTTTCTCTTCATACTGGGTGCTCAGGACACTTGTACTCTGAAAGAAAAACAAAACAAAAGGGCACCTGTGACCAGAACTAGAATTAGTTATCAAGTCCAATAAACCATTTTCACCAATAAATATTAGTGATGTGGAGCAGCAACTGTTTTCTTAAGTGTAAGCTTCCCAGGTCCCTTCCACCTGCTCATATTTGCACATACCTGCAATAATATATGGGTACTTCCTACACATCCTTATCACGGGCATCACTATAAGAAGAGGCAAGGTGGAGCAAGCCAAAGGCTCAGCTAGTCCAGCATCTTGTTCTCATAGTGGCCAACCAGTTGCCTATAGGAAACTCGCAAGCATAACTTGGGGGCAACTGTGCTCTCTCTGCTTGCGATTCCCAGAATCTGGAATACAGAGACATACTGCATCTGACAGTGGAGATGGAACTTAGCCATCAAGATAGCCTGTTCCTCCAAAATTTTGTCTAATCCTCTTTCAAATCCATCCAAGTTAGTGACCTATCACTACATCTTGTGGGAGTGAACTCCAAAGATTAACTATGTGTTGTTTGAAGAAATACTACCTTTGGTCTGCCCTGAATATTCCAAAATTCAGCTTTATTGGATAACCTTCCCACCCCATGCCCCAGGCTCTAGCATTATGAGGGATGATTCAAACCTTAAATATGAATGGTTTCCTTGCACCCAGAATCCTTATTGGGGTATTGAGGTCTGCATCATAGTATTTAAGAGGTATCCCATGAAATTAAAAAATAATTTGCCCTTACAGATGTTGATTCATAGCTGTGCATTTCTGATAGTACCTCTATAAGTTTACTCTTCAGTGGAGAGGAGTCATTTTTCGTTTTACTCTTCAGTGGATTGGAGTCATTTTCCTTTTCACATTTGACCGACATGTTGCTCCCTCGGAATTAAAATATTTTCGTAGATTGGAAAATCAGTTTGCCTGGTCTTAGTAAGAAAAAATATTTTGATTTTATTCTGATGTGCAGGCTGCTTCTGAGAGAAATTCTAAGGCCGGTATCTTTGGTGGAAGTAAATTGCTCTTGAACTATTAAAGCCTGTGCCACCCCTTCTCCCACACCAGAGTCAGTGGTTTGTATTTTCCGTTGGAAAACGATCCATGATAGCAAAGTTAAAACAGAATACATTGGTACCTCGGGTTAAGTACTTAATTCGTTCTGGAGGCCCGTACTTAACCTGGAACTGTTCTTAACCTGAAGCACCACTTTAGCTAATGGGGCCTCCTGCTGCTGCCGCGCCACCGGCACGATTTCTGTTCTCATCCTGAAGCAAAGTTCTTAACCTGAAGCACTATTTCTGGGTTAGCGGAGTCTGTAACCTGAAGCGTATGTAACCTGAGGTACCACTGAATATATATAAGCTTGTTACATATCTCTTGGGGTTTTGGGGGGATATATTTTAAAGAACCATGAAGACTGGTAGTAAGTTTACTGGCCTCCCATTCAAAATAATGAGTCAGACACTTTACAGTGAGCTCAGCGATCCCTACAAAAAAGTTAAAGGGTGCCGCTGAACTGCATGATGCCCTAAGTATTTGCAAAGCAAATCCCTAGCAATTGACTCTACATTGGTGTCAATCCCTATCCCCCTCCCCATCCAAGGCTCCTAGCATTAGCCATACCTCCCTGATCTACCCAGTCAGAATTGGGCTACACCATTCCTGAAAACCAAAATACCGTACTATTGCATGCACCCCAATACCTGAGCAGCAAGAGAGTCCGCGTGTACCTGCAGTATCCCAGGGTTTGGCTTCCTTAGAATATAGTTCTATAGAGCTTGTGCTGTCATTAGTCCATATGGTTTTCTTTACAACCTAAGATGGTTTTCTACACACAACCTAAGAATGGACTGGAGCAGCATTAGCCCTCAACAAGTTCTTGCTTCCCCATTAGGTTTCCAGGGAAGCCTCAAGCCACAATGCTGAGGTCAGCATAGAGCAAGACAGCATCTCCAGCTTCAAGGTCACTCACATACAATCACCCTCTGGCTGATTGTTCCCCTTCCTTGGATGAGGTGGGGAAAAGCTCACCCATTCGTCTCTATGGCAACAGTGCTCACTCTTTAAGATGCAGATGATGGGTATTTGGCTAGGGGAATTACCTTGACAAAGGAAGTAGTTTGACTGGTTCAGCAAGTTTCCTCTTATAGATGTTAAAGGTAAAGCTAAAGGGACCCCTGACCATTAGGTCCAGTTGTGGCCGACTCTGGGGTTGCGGCGCTCATCTTGCTTTATTGGCCGAGGAAGCTGGTGTACAGCTTCCAGGTCATGTGGCCAGACTGACTTAGCTGCTTCTGGTGAACCAGAGCAGTGCACGGAAATGCCGTTTACCTTCCTGCCAGAGTGGTACCTATTTATCTACTTGCACTTTGACGTGCTTTTGGACTGCTAGGTTGGCAGGAGCTGGGACCGAGCAACGGGAGCTCACCCTATCGCGGGGATTCAAACTGCCGACCTTCTGATCGGCAAGTCCTAGGCTCTGTGGTTTAACCCACAGCGCCACCCACATCCCCTTATAGATGTTACCTTCTCATAAACTGGACTGCAGCTTTCGAAGAGATCCCTGGGTATCATTCATACTGACCCCCAAATATTTAGCAATATATAATTGAATGCCACATAAGAATCTCTTATTTGTAAATTAAGAATGCATTTAGCTTTGACATGCCAAAAACAAGTTTCCCAAACCACTGAATTCAATTTGGCATGGAAATTGTAACCCAACAACTTTTGGAGGACACCACGCTAGCTACCCTTGAATGGGGGAGTGAACAACATTCCCTCTTCCCCCTACAACCCAGGGAGACTCCTCTGCTTGCAGACATTTAATCCACCCTAGGGAGTCATTACTTTCCAGGCTCTCCCCTCCCGCTCCCCAAATAGAAATCCTGCCTGCAGGCTGATTATACTGTGGAAGGATTCTTACCTCTTGCTCTGAGAGGAAATGCTGCTTTCCTGATGCTCTTGTTTCTATTGTGTCAGCATCAGCTCCGCCTTTCCTGTTCAGGGAAATCGAAACTTAAAAAGGCATCTGACCAATGGCATCCTCCCATGCCAAAAGCAATATCGCAAGGGTCCCAGCAGTGTGTCAGTTTCCCTCGCTGCAGAACACAGAAAGGAAACTGAAAATGATGCTGTCTCATCATGAGGAAACGAAACTTAATTCAGTTCCTGGAACTGGTTGCATCTGAAACTGATCAGCATCACACTAGACTGAGCAGCCATCTGCTCCTTTTGCATTTTATAAGGCACTAGTGTTGTAATGATTACACATTTGTTTAGCACTATGTTCTGATTTTCCAATACTCCGCTCCCATTAAAAACAAAACAAAATTAACACAAACAGCTGAAATCTAGGAAGCAAGTTGCAGTATAAATAAAATGCTAACAACAGGATTCTGACTTTATTGAGAGTTTTCATAGTGCATTACTTGAGTGATCCTTTCAACAATGTTGCAGATTCCAAAGTAACAGGAGTCCAGCACACTGGTGACATACAATTAGTGGTAGGGGCGAGTGGGTAACAGGGGAAGCCATGGGCAGAACAAGAGTTTGTCCTTTATAATGCAAATCATGCCTCTCTGAGGGACTTTATGAAGGGACAGGGCTTTGTTACACTTGTGACATGAAGTATTTCGCCATTAGACGTCCATCAATAATGGCACAGGCAAGATTGAACCAAGAACTGCCTTGGAAACAACTCAGTTACTGTGCTACTCTGGCTCTCAGTAAGAAGTATACTTAAAAGCTCACTAGAACCAGAAAAGCTGTTCACTGACATCTAATAGCCTACAAGCTCAGGATATGTGGAACCTTGAGCAGACAGCGTGTTCTATATTTGGAGCAAACACGGAAAAAGCCCTGTATGTACTGCAACAGGTCCAAATCCGTTGTCAAGCCATCTCTTGATAATTATAAAGGATAATTGGATTCATATGTATAGACACAGTCCCTAAAATATGCTTAATTCCAACCCGTTCAGGGTTTTGATGCCAGCATTTTGAATTGGGTCCAGAAGCGAATTGGAGTCAGTAGAGTCTGCAAATAATAAGATGACTATGCTCTCATCTTTCCACTCCTGACAGGAGATGGAATCGTAGAGTTGCAAGGGACCATAATAATAATAATAATAATATTAATAATAATAATAATAAAATTTTATTTATATCCCGCCCTCCCCAGCCGAAGCCGGGCTCAGGGCGGCTAACAACAATAAAACAGTACAAAAGTACAGCACAAACAACACTCTAAAATCATTCATTACAAAATTAATTAATTCAAGCCACTGGCAACCACTGGGCCAGAGCTCTGCGAAGATTGCCGAGGGAGGGAGTCAGGCTGTGCCCTGGCCAAAGGCCTGGTGGAACAGCTCTGTCTTGCAGGCCCTGCGGAAAGATGTCAAGTCCCGCAGGGCCCTGGTCTCTTGTGACAGAGTGTTCCACCAGATCGGAGCCATGGCCGAAAAAGCCCTGGCTCTAGTTGAGGCCAGCCTAACTTCTCTGTGGCCTGGGACCTTCAAGATGTTTTTATTTGAAGACCGTAAGTTTCTCTGTGGGGCATACCAGGAGAGGCGGTCCCATAGGTACGAGGGTCCTAGGCCGTATAGGGCTTTAAAGGTTAAAACCAGCACCTTAAACCTGATCCTGTACTCCACCGGGAGCCAGTGCAGCTGGTATAGCACCGGGTGAATGTGATCTCGCAGTGAAGACCCCGTAAGCAGTCTCGCTGCAGCATTCTGCACCCGCTGGAGTTTCTGGGTCAGTCTCAAGGGCAGCCCCACGTAGAGCGAGTTACAATAATCCAGTCTGGAGGTGACCGTCGCGTGGATCACAGTGGCTAGGTCAGGGCGAGAGAGGTAAGGAGCCAACTGCTTAGCTTGGCGGAGATGGAAAAATGCCGCCTTTGTTGTAGCTGCAATCTGCGCCTCCATGGAAAGGGAGGTGTCGAAGATTACACCCAAACTCTTAAAGGACAGTGCTGGCACTAATTGCGCCCCCGCAAGAGATGGGAGTTGCCCCCCCCAATCCCATATCGTCCCGTCCCAGCCACAGGACCTCTGTCTTCGAAGGATTTAGCTTCAACCAGCTCCCACGTAACCATCCAGCCACAGCTTCCAAACATCTGGTCAGTGTGTCTGGGGCCGAGTCAGGATGGCCACCCATCAACAGATAGAGTTGGGTGTCATCAGCATACTGATGGCAACCCATCCCAAAACTCCGGACAAGCTGGGAGAGCATAAAGATGTTGAAAAGCATCGGGGAGAGTATCGCACCCTGAGGTACTCCACACACCAAGGAGTGGGGCGATGACAATCCCCCCCCCAAGCACCACCCTCTGTCCCCGACCAGAGAGAAACGAGCACAGCCATTGAAGACTGTGCCCTGGATCCCCACGTCGGCAAGGCGGTGGTCCAGAAGTTCGTGATCGACCATGTCGAAAGCTGCTGACAGATCTAGAAGAATCAGCAGCCCCGACCCACCTCGATCCAGCTGTCTACGAAGATCATCTGTTAGGGCAACCAGAGCCGTCTCGGTCCCATGACCAGCGCGGAAGCCGGACTGGAATGGATCCAGAGCCGATGTTTCATCCAGAAACCCACCAAGTTGTTCAGCAACCGCTCTCTCAGTCACCTTACCCAGGAACGGAAGAGTCATCTAGTCCAATTCCCTGCAATGTACAAATCTTTTGCCCGATGTGGGGATCAAACCCATGACCTGGTGTGTGTGTGTGTATGTATGTGTGGCATGTCTATTCAGCCAGTGATCAGATAATAGCTCACCCTGCAATCAGCATGAACACTCTCATACCAGCAGGCGGATACCTCACAAGATAATGTGATGCAGGCAAAAAACATCTGTACAGACACAAACACACTTGCTGCCTGGGAGAACAGACCAGGTATCAGCCAGGATGCTACAAACCAGCTGTTCCCTGTTTAGTCCTTTCTGTAGGTCTTCTGCAAGAATAGCCAGCATGGTGACTTCCAGTTGTTGCTGGACTACAACTCCCATCAATCCCACTCCTAACCAGTATGGACAATGGTTATGGATGATGGAAACTGTAACCCAACAACTTCTGGAGGATACCACGTTAGCTACCCTTGAATGGGGCAATGAACAACATTCCCTCTTCCCCCTACAACCCAGCGAGACTCCTCTGCTTGCAGACATTTAATCCAGTCATTACTTTCCAGGCTCTCCCTTCCCGCTCCCCAAATGGAAATCCACCCTGCAGGCTGATTATACTGTGGACGCTCGGGTCCATGCACGTCTGTGCACGCGCGGGTAGCGATTCTGTGTGAACCCCAAAACCCGGAAGTAACCCGTTTCAGTACTTCCGGATTTCGGCAGGTCCGTAACTTGAAAAAACGCAACCTGAAGCGTCTGGAACCCGAGGTATGACTGTCCTGTGGAAGGATTCTGACCTCTTGCTCTGGGAGCAAATGCTGCTTTCCTGATGCTCTTGTTTCTATTGTGTCAGCATCACCTCCGCCTTTCCTGTTCAGGGAAATCGAAACTTAAAAAGGCATCTAACCAATGGCATTATCCCACACCAAAAGCAATATCGCAAGGGTCCCAACAGTGTGTCAGTTTTCCTCGCTGCAGAACACAGAAAGGAAACCAAAAATGATGCTGTCTCATCATGAGGAAACGAAACTTAATTCAGGTCCTGGAACTGGTTGCATCTGAAACAGATCAGCATCACACCAGAATGAGCAGCCATCTGCTCCTTTTGCATTTTATAAGGCACTAGTGCTGTAATGATTACACATTTGTTTAGCTCTTTGTTCTGATTTCCCAATAGTCCGCTTCCATTAAAAACAAAACAAAATTAACACCAACAGCTGAAATCTAGGAAGCAAGTTGCAGTACAGTGGTGCCTCGCAAGACGAAATTAATCCGTTCCGCAAGTCTCTTCGTCTTGCGGTTTTTTCGTCTTGCGAAGCACGGCTATTTGCGGCTTAGCGGCTATTAGCGGCTTAGCAGCTTAGCGGCTATTAACGGCTTAGCGGTTTATAGAAAAAGGAAACAAACTCGCAAGACGTTTCATCTTGCGAAGCAAGCCCATAGGGAAATTTGTCTTGCAGAACGACTCAAAAAACGGAAAACTCTTTCGTCTAGCGAGTTTTTCGTCTTGCGAGGCATTCGTCTTGCGGGGCACAACTGTATAAATAAAATGCTAACAACAGGATTCTGACTTTATTGAGAGTTTTCATAGTGCATTACTTGAGTGATCCTTTCAACAATGTTGCAGATTCCAAAGTAACAGGAGTCCAGCACACTGGTGACATAAAATTAGTGGTAGGGGCGAGTGGGTAACAGGGGAAGCCATGGGCAGAATAAGAGTTTGTCCTTTATAATGCAAATCATGCCTCTCTGAGGGACTTTATGAAGGCTTTGTTACACTTGCGACATGAAGTATTTGGCCATTAGACGTCCATAGACCACAAGAGTCATCTAGTCCAACCCCCCGCAATGTGGGGATCAAACCCACAACCCTGAAATTAAGCATCTCATGTTCTACCGACTGAGCTATATTCAGTGGCAAAGGAAAAGACACAGATAATTTAAATCCACATAGTTCCTCTTCACAGAAGTTACAAGAGTGGGGCCATCTAGTGGCAGCCCATTTAGATCAGAAAAGGTTACTTCTAGGGTGGGTGAGGAGCCGGACAAAGGAGTCGCAGTAGGTAGGTGGATCTTAAACCTTTTCCTAGACACCATTTGCCCACTCCAAATCCCACAGCAGTTTTCCTCACTTCCCAACCTTCAGGTTATTAAATGCACATATAATCATCTAAGTGTTGCTATAGAATCAGACTTCTTCTGTCACACACATTGACCCCATTTTGGGATTCTAAGATATAAATTGACACAAGCATTCCATTTTGCTGACAGAGGAAGTGATTTTATTTGGCCGAGTAAAGCTAGTTTTGATCATATTTAACTTCAGACTTCGTTAATGCCTCTGATAATTCAACAAGCTCTCTGAGGTATGATTTCACCTTTCCTGTCTCTGTTAAGGGTGGTCTACAAAACATGAAACAGACTATAAATTCCATCCCAAGCAATTTACTGAATTCATGATGTTTCTGTCACATTTTATATATAAAATACTACACCGCTAATTTTAAAAATTAAATCCTTTTATTTATTCCAGAGTAATAGATGCATATACATTCAAGTATAAAACCGTGAAGCCATGAAACTACCAGCGTCATGATGACTAGATTTGGCTTTAAGATGTTTCAATGAAAGTAATGTGGTGAGAATGTGAACAATTGAGACAATCACCGCACATGCAAAGATGACAGCTTAATGAATAGGCTGTTGGCGCGGAGGTGGCAGTTCCAGCAGTAGAGAAACATAAAAGATCAAGTGTGTCTGGTGAAGAATCAAAAGGAGGCAGCATGGCGCATGGCGCCGCGGAGCTCCTGAGGGCGGCCAGTGTTGCTTGTGCTGCCTGGCCAGCTTCCAAGTCGCTGGGACCACCGCCACCACCACCGCTGTCGTGTGGGTGCCGGGGGCACCCGCATCTGGAGCTCCTGGGCCGGAGGGACCCAGGAGTGAGCACGGAGGGGGAAAGGAGAAGCCCTGACCCTGCTGCCCCGCCATTGCGCTGCTGCCGCCAAGGGAAAGGAGGAGACGTAGGAGGGCAGACGGAGGCCACGAGGAAACATGCGGCTGAACCCAGGCCCAGCCTGAGCCCACCTCCCCGACGGCTAGCGCGCTGCATTTTAAGCCACTAATGTGAACATACCCAAAGTGTGAATGTGTGAGCTGAGCTCCCAGAGAGAAGATTGTGCTCCTGCTCTGCTGCAGTGGTTTGCAAAGCCAGTGTGTTGCCCACACCTGGCCTCACGGTTTGTCCTGCTCCAGACAAACCACGTTATATCCAAGGTTTTTCTTGGGTTTATATCTCTGACAAACCATGAGCCCGGGTTTGTGTGATGTGCTTAACTCACAGCAGCAGATGAACAGGAGAACCGGGGAATGAACTAAGCAGCCACAATCCCCTTGCATTTGTACTCAGCTCATAGTATTGTGGAAAAGCATGGGCAATTTCATGGCCAAAGACATTCCTAAGTATGGCAAACAAATCATTCTGAGATCATATGGTAAAAATGCAGTGCACTCCTTTGTTGGTACATCTTAACTGGAGAATCCAGACCGTTAGTTTTTTGGAATACAGCCTTCTATCTGGACTTCAGCTGGCCAGCCATTATATCGATTCTTTTTCGCATCAGAGTGGTTGATCTGTTTAAAAGAGACGTATAAATAGCAATTCAGTTTATGGCTTCAAAATAATGTAATTGTGAAAGTCTATCTATTATTGCCATAACAAGAGAAAATAGTGTGGCTTCCAATCAGCCACAAGTGGGGGGGGGGCACTTTGGAATGGGGAAGAGCTGCAGCTCATGTTCCTTGCATTCCGAAGGTCCCAGATTCAATTCCTGGCATCTCCAGTTAAGGCTGGGAATAACTCTTGTCTGGAACCATAAACAGCAACTACCAGTCAGTGTGGACAATACTGAGCTAGATGGACCAATGATCTGAGTCAGCATAGGGCAGCTTCCTACGTTCCAAAATACACAATGGAAGCAACCCACCCCTTTTATCACTAAGCTTATGGAGAAAAGAAAACGCTAAAGCCGATTTCTCTAGATCAGTTCATGAGAACCACATGGTTTTTTTGGCTCCATCAAAAGGGCTTGGGAGTGTGCTGCAAAGTGGGATAGCTTTGGCAAAGGTATTTGCCAAACAGGGGACCCACAATTGAGATCATGTTTGAGCACAACCCCTTTCCACTTCTGACTGAGAATATTCAGGCAAAAAACTAGGTATTATATGTTTGGGTATCGTCAGAAAGGACAGCCCCATGTCCAGTTCATAGCATTCCTCTATAACGTCTACTACAATGTATCTGTATTTTGACATTACAGTCGTACCTTGGAAGTCGAACGGAGTCCGTTCCGGAAGTACGTTCAACTTCCGAAATGTTCGGAAACCAAGGCACGGTTTCCGATTGGTTTCCGATTGCACAGGTGTGCTGGAAACAATAGCGGAAGCCATGCTGGACATTCGGCTTCCAAAAAAAGACCAGAACACTCACTTCTGGTTTTCGATCAGGAGCCAGAATGTTCGACTCCCACGGTGTTCAGGAGCCAAGGTACGACTGTACATTCAAAAAATGGAGAGAGACCAGGAAGGAAAGGAAAGTCAGTGGGCAGCCTGTATACCCCTAGCTACCTTATACTATCCTGGGGCAAATATCTAAACAGGAGCACTCCTGCTAAGGGGTATGCCATATATTGTGGCATCTTTGATATAAGCATCTGTTTGACAGGAGTCAGGATTGAAAACACTTCCAGCTTCCTCTCCCTTTAAAATTAAGGAGCCTCTGGAGTAGAGCAGAGAGGAGCTAACACTAGAGTAAACTTTTGAGCATGTGATACATTTGGGGGGTGTATAGGCCATGATACCTAGCCAGAGCTTTTTAAGGACATGCAGGATGGAAATAGTAAAGCAACTGAAACGAATTTAGAAAGTGAATCAATAAACTTTCTCAGGGCGTTTTTGTTTTTTTAAAAAAACTAAATCAAATATTGACTGTAATTGCCTATTAATTCAAAGAACCACCTCCTAATAAGGGAATATGGAGCTTAATCTTGGACTTTAAGAGTTAATGTTTTGGTAGGTTTCTTTTTTTTTTGCAACATCTTAATTCTATTTTGTTTCTGCAGCAAGACATACTAAGTAGCAGAAAGAAATCAGACAATTAAGTGGTATATGGTAAAGATGCTAAACTAATAAGGCCCTGTTCTGATTTTAAGAAGAAGAGAAGAGTTTGGATTTGATATCCCGCCTTTCACTCCCCTTCAGGAGTCTCAAAGCGGCTAACATTCTCCTTTCCCTTCCTCCCCCACAACAAACACTCTGTGAGGTGAGTGGGGCTGAGAGACTTCAAAGAAGTGTGACTGGCCCAAGGTCACCCAGCAGCTGCATGTGGAGGAGCGGAGACGCGAACCCGGTTCCCCAGATTATGAGACTACCGCTCTTAACCACTACACCACACTGGCTCTCTGTTACAAAAGTGGACGGTAATATACTCTCATAATATTAGTTAAGTTACTGTGTGCAGAGGAGGGTGACCCTATGATAAAGTGTCTGGAAACCAAGCCTTTATGAGGAACGGTTGAGGGAGTTGGGCATATTTAGCCTGATAAAAAGAAGAGACTGAGAGGGGATATGGTGAGCTATTTTCAAATACCTTAAGGGCTGTCACATGGAAGATGAAGCAAGGTTGTTTTCTCCTGCTCCAGAGAGGATGACTCAGACCAATGTAGTCAAGTTACAAGAAAGGAGATACCAGCTAAACATCAGGAAGAACTTTCTGACAGTAAAAGCTGTTTGACAGGAGAACAGAATCCCTCAAAAGCTGGTGGACTCTCCTTCATTGGATATTTTTAAGCAGAGGTCGGAGGGGCCATCTTTCAGGGATGCTTTAGTTGAGATTACCACATTGGAGGGGGTTGTACTAGATGACCCAACTCTCTAATTCTATGGTTCCATTACTGTAAGTTAGCCAATATGGATAGCTTTTATTTCATTTGTTTGGATGTCCATCGTAGAACATAGCTAGACTACATGAAACACATCAGTATTTAAAGTTCTGCGGTTCCAGCAAGTGTTATCTACATCCATATACATTTTTGAGTCTCTTAATTTACACAAGTCTTACCATTTCCCTTTGTGTGTCGGCTGGCAGTTCAAAACCTTTTGCTGCTATAAAGGCCCAGCTTGACCTGAATTTCAAATTCCTTATTTCTTTACTTCCTAGATCTGCTATTGCCTTTCTCGCATCCTCCATTAACCTATGTGAGAGAGAAAGGATTAATCCGAATTTTGTACCTTTGACAACTCATGTTTGCTAAAAGCTAAAGTCTGAATAGGATAGGATAGATTTCTTCCGATATTCTTATTCAGATTTCATTTCTTCCCAAAATGTTTTCTTTAGCACATAGAAATAAAGAGCATTAATAGCATAATCCTAAGCATGTCTACTCAGAAAAAGATCCCACTGAATTAAATGGATTCATTTCCATGCATCACCTTATCACCTGCTTGCAACACTACCAGTCTTATTTATTCTGTTAAAGCCACCCTTAAAATACATAATAACATGAACAAGTTGTTGGCAATCCCTTAGGAACAAAGGATCCAAAAAAGCCAGCATAAGGTATCAAGTTTCTGCATCAGAGAAATATTGTGTTCCTGTTTTAAAATTATGCAAACGGATAAAACTAATGATTGCACAAGTATATCTAGTGCTTTTTTTTTCTGGGGGGAAAGGAGGGGGTACTCAATATGAAGTAAGTTTGTTTGTTTATTTAGGGCCAATTGCACTACCACACTCACACACACGAGGCAGTGGCTAAATGTAAGATGTGATTACGTAATAAACTCAAGCAGACAATGATCTGGATTACAAATGGCCACAACTTTAGTGATTAGAGATATAGGTGGATTTTTGGCTCAGGCATTGAGTGTATATCATTCCAGCCCCAACCCCTGAACAAAAAAAATAATTATTTAATTCAAAAAAAGATAAAGGAACTCAGTTCCCCTATGTTCCTGCTCCACCCCACCCCCCGAATATATATCAGTCACATCAGTCATGATGCTACCAGGTGACACTTTAGAAGTCTAAGTGAAGTTTAGAAGTTAATTACAGTCGTACCTTAGCTCCCAAACGCCGTGGGAATTGGATGTACCAGCTCCCGAACGATCAAAAACCAAAAGTGATTGTTCTGGTTTTCTAATGTTCTTTTGGAAGCCAAATGTCTGACAGGGCTTCCACAGTTCCCAATTGGAGGCAGGAGCTTCCTGCAGCCAATCAGAAGCCATGCTTTTGAAGTCGAACGTTTCGGAAGTTGGACAGACTTCTGGAACGGATTCTGTTTGACTTCTAAGGTAAGACTGTATCTGGATCATATAGAAATCTTTGAGTTCTTATGTTACAATGCCTCAAGATACCCTCTGTCTCAGTGTATTTTATAACCTGTTGTTTGTTGTGGTGCTATATAATTAAAAATAAAAGAAAAAGAAATATTAAAAAATAAATTTAGAATTTTAAACAACTGCTTGAGGAAATGAGTTTTGAAGCCAATATTTAACACATTCCTCAAAATATGACATGAACACCAGACTGTGGCCTCCAAGGGGTCCATGTATGTATACTGTATAGGAAAATTCAAGTGTATTTGGTGATACGGAAGGGGGGGGCATGTCTTCTTCACCTCCTTCTTCGCTACAATATATCCATTTATTTCCAATTGTCAATGTCAAAAGGGACTAAAATCTATAAAATTCATAGAAAATCAACGTGCCAATTTGCTCAATTTCTCTAGGACTCCATGACACCTCCCCTGTCCTCCAAGACCCTAATCCTGTCAAATCGCTCTGCCAAGCCCTTCCTCCGGGCGATGCCAGGTGACAGACTATGCATACATGGACCATTGTCTTCTCAGGATGTGCTTATCTGCGCATATCTCCAGCTCTGCATATTCCCCCCTCCCTCCTCCATATGTTAATCCGGTGTAACCCAACCTCTTCCTAATGTATTCGTGATGTAATCTGTGTAACCCAACCTCTTCTTAATGTATTCATGATGTAACTGGGATGTATTTTGCACTGTATTCTGGGACATGGAGGGAAATTTCAAAGTTCATGTCACCCCTTTCTCGCTGTTCAATCTCGCCTTGAACCTGTTGCGCAATAAACTTGGATCTTCTGCAGTTTGCTCCTGTCTCCGGCTGAGCTCATTTTCTTCCGCAGGGACCCGCGGACTTAGTCCGACGAGCTGGGTGGCAGAGTAGCCTCGCACCCAGATTTTACCGTAACAGTGGTAAGATGGGAGGTAAAATTTATCATACCACCACATATTTTGCTACCTTATTTCTCAAGTCTGCAAAGTGAAACCACTAGCTATGTTAAAAACAGGGCCATAAATCTGTTTGCTTACCTTGAGCTTCCATCATCATAGGTCACCATCAGGAGCAGAGATTTCTGGGGTGCTTTTTGGACAAAATCAGCCAGTGGTCTGGAGAATGCTGTTAATGGCAGTGGGGAGAGAAACCTACATAAATGTGCTATTTCCCCCTCAAACATTGTATTCTTGCTCTTTTCGGACAAGGCAGGACCCAAGAAAAATTTGAGTAAAGTTTCACTCGTGGGTAGAACAGGGTGGTCTCAGTTCCAGCGAACTGGAAAAGGGATTGTCCCTTCCCCTGACATCCCTTCCCCCCAAAACTCTTGCCTTCCAACTCAATGTCTCTCTTCCACTGAAGGAAAAGCAGCAATATAGAGAAAGTGCTTGGGATGGGAGCCTCAGTAAAGGCTGAGTCGTATGTCCATGATCCAAACAATCTGCTGTAGACATGCTCTGCATAAGTGTCATAACTGCATGAGGGTTTTTGGCAGACACTTTATAACAATATTGAACATAGACATGCCTCTTACCTCCTTGCCACATGTCAAAAGATTTTGCATCAACAAGCTTCCCAGTGTTATCTGTAAGGAAGAGAATGCATTAAAAAAAATGAAAGAAAACAAGATAGAAAAAATGTTTCCAAAATCTCCCAAACAAAAATGTTTAGTTTAGAACGAAGAGGGCAATAAGCACACATCATGCACCATGTATGCAGGTCTGTGCATCTATGTGTAGGCAAGGTGGGCACCTCTGGCCTTTGAGTCAATCCAGGCCCACCTGTGGGTCTAATTTGGCCCATGAGGCCTTTCTCCCCAAACCAATCAGATGGCGCCACTGATGATGTTCAGCTGATGTGTGGGACCTTCTTGGAAAGTCCACCCCGCGTTGATCCCTCCAACCTTCCCAAAGGATCAGCATGGGGAAGGCTTTACAAAACAAATGGTCTGTTTGCTTTTATTGGAGTTTTGTTCTCTTCACTGCTGCAAGAAAGCACTGTCCCTGACACTGGAGCTTATGTCTACTTTAGACATCAGCTCTGACAAAAACTGCTCTGTCACACAGCAGTGAGGAAACAGGCACTTTTGTTGTTGCTCAGGTCCATTCTTCAGTGCACAGGTGTGATATAGCGGGGACTGACTTAAAGCACACACCCTTTGCAGCAGTCGTCCATCGCTGTCCCTCCTGCTTAAAATGTTTTCATTGAAAGATTTCCATAGATAAGAAAGGTACACACAGCGTCTTTGTTTTCAGTTTATAGAGTCTTTTCTACAGGTCAGTTACATTTTGTGTGAGACACTGCTATCATACACATTGTGATCTTGGGAAAGAGAGAGAGATTGTTCCAGCTGTGATCTTTAAAAGGGTGGAAGAAAGTGCTGCAAAGAGTGCTCAGTCCCTCCTCTCCCATGCTGAAACGGGATCATGGAGAATACAAGGGATTTCTACAGGTGTGTGTGTGGGGAGGGGGAGACAATCCACCTGACAATCATGTGACATCTAAGTGACATGAGACTGACAAATGGATTGTCCCACCCACCTGCTAAAGTTGGTCGGTGGGGTGAGGCCAGATAAAGATCCCAGAGCCAAAAATAAATAAATCCCTGCTCCTGGTATAGGTAAACATCCCCTGACCATTAGGTCCAGTCGTGACCGGCTCTGGGGTTGCGGCGCTGATCTTGCTTTATTGGCTGAGGGAGCCGGCGTACAGCTTCTGGGTCATGTGGCCAGCATGACTAAGCCGCATCTGGCGAACCATAGCAGTGCACGGAAATGCCATTTACCTTCCCACTGGAGCGGTACCTATTTATCTCCTTGCACTTTGACGTGCTTTCGAACTGCTAGGTTGGCAGGAGCAGGGACCGAGCAACAGGAGCTCACCCCATCGCAGGGATTCGAACCGCCGACCTTCTGATCGGCAAGTTCTAGGTTCTGTGGTTTAACCCACAGTGCCACCTGCGTCCCGCTCCTGGTATAGACCACTGCAAAAGTTGGCAGGGAAGATACCAAAAATAAACACATTTCAGTTACACTGCTAAGTTTCTATCTAAGGAAACACCTAATCTATAATGATATAAATCCTAAGATCCAAACAAAAAGTTAAAGTCCAGTTGGTAAAGCATGAGACTCTTTATCTCAGGGTAGTGGGTTTGAGGCCGATGTTGGAGGAAAGATTCCTGAATCGCAGGGGGTTGGACACGAGATGATCCCTGTGGTCCACTCCAACTCTACAATTCTATGATTCTGTGAATCCATGGCTCCTTATAAAACTCACTGAATTACAAGTTGTGTTGTGTGCAAAAGGAAGAGCACTCAGGAAAATCTATGATAAGCACTATAAATGAGACAAAGCAGGTGAGGTATCACTGTTGTAAATTATAAATTTTATAATGGCCACTAAAGTCTTTAAAGAGCACTTTTAATGGGTGCTCAAACACTTTCAAGACAGTAGCTCAGCAATCCTTATGGCAATCATGGCAGACAGGCCAAGGCAAGGCCACCAGAGTGAGTTAATGGTAGAGACGAGATTCCCAGTATTGTTTTCTTGGTTCACAGTCTCATAGCCACTTTGACATAGCATTTTTATTTCTTTAAAAAAGCACATACAGGATTGTGTCTTTTTACTCACAGTCCACAATGGCAACATTTATTCCTCTTCCAACATTTTTACTTTCTTTGCTCATAAGTCTGAAATGGAAACACAAAGTGTTTATCTGGGAAATATGGCAGACAGGAGGTGCTTTCCTGTGGTATTTAATAATGAGATAACAGTAGAGGGTGATGTTAAACTCTGTCCCCACTCTGTCAGGACTTTGAAGCACAGTGTGGGGCTTTTTGAAAGCCCTTTTGCAAACAGCCCCACACTGGTCTTTAAATCAGCCCACTCACTGTCCTTTGTTTGCAATAAGGCTTTCTAACAGTTCCATGCTGCTTTTTGAAACTTCTGTTGAAACACTGCTAAAATGGATACCCTATCCCCCCCCTCATTTTAACAGTGGTTTCAATGGAAACTGCTTTGCCCTGCTGAAACAAGGTGTACAGTACTTGCAATACCCATGATGGACATTGGGCGTGCACCTAGCTTCAGCAAAGGAACCATTAAAAGCTCACTTTAAGCTCCCAGTGGTTTCCTTGAAATTACTGCCCTCACCTTCTGCCACGTTTCACATCAGGTGTAGGGTGGGTAGTCTATTTGGAGCAGGTCTCACCTTTTTCAATAGAACTTACTCCTACCTTAAGCGTGTTTAGGATTGTAGCATCAATGCACTAATGGAAAACAACAACCCACTTTTGTGACAAAACAACACCATTAGCCATTTAATCATTGGAACACTTGAATAGTTGAGTAAGCCAACTTTAAACCAATTTCACTCTCATTGCATCCTTTTCTACGGGAACTGTAGCTTTATTCCTAGCTGGATAAATGGGTAAAGTATTTGCAAGCGTCCATTTGCTAGAATTTTAGTCTGTTTCTCAAAAGTTTTTTTTTTAAACTGTTTATAAATATCTTGTGTGTAAATTGCCTTGAGATGTTGGTTTTGAAGACAATTAAAAAATTGTAATAAAAATAGTGTGAAGGTTCCGAAAATCATATCCACAGGAAGCTGCCTTGTACAGAATGAGACCACTGCCCCGTGTAGTCCATGACTGTCTATATATTAATTCCCCAAAGGCCCAAGTCAAGGTGGTTGGGGAGTTTGGTACAGTTCCCCCAAAAGGGCCCTCTTTCCCCCCAAAAGGAATGCATGAAATTTAAGTAAGGAATGCCTTGAATTAAAAATATACTGTGTCTATACTTGTACACTGAAGCACCTACAGATGGAGAGGAAAGGCATGCAGCAGTTGGAGTGATTGTCTATGGCCCCTCCCTAGTTTTAATAGTGTTAAAACTTCCTACCTTCTCATACCACTACAACTACCACTGGAGGTCCAATGGACTCTGTTATAAATAAATGGCAACGCTGGCCTTAAGTGTTGTTCAGTACTCACAGCTGATCTTCAAAACAGATCTTGGCGATGGACTTCTGACCACCACCACTGAGTATGCGATAAGCATAGCTCCCAGGCGAACATGGAGACCAGTGGTCACATTTCAGTCTTTTCGGGAGTGGTGCTGAAAAGTACATTAGATAGGAAGGCCTTTGAATACTGGGCAACCATCATTCATAGTTGAAGCCCAACACACAACTAAGCATGCTAATGTCCACTAAAATTATCGGTAATTGGTCTGACCATGTTTAACTCCACTTTGGATTGCGGCCAACATTTATTTTGTCATGTTGTAAATTATAACTGTTAAGTATAGCAGGTTTTTCTTATTCATGTGACAAGTCATCTTAACCAGTGCTGATGTCAAACAATATAGTTTCCTCAAACCTGTGGCTGCTGCCAACCCAGATCTTTTATCTGATCACCCTCAATGTTTTGCAGTCAGTGAACTGGAACATGGGTGAGGAAAGACTGAGGTAAATGTTAAGGTCAGGTGCTTCCTTTAACAATCAAGGAGATGTAGAGAGCAGATGTGGTGCAGCAATGATTGCATATTTCAGGTAGAGGCAAAGAACTATTCTTACAGTCTGAAGGGGTGGGATTTACTCTACTAAATAATCAGACCATTTTTACTTGGGTAGCACATGAGACAGAAGTCATTATTTTTTTTTTACAAAACTTCTACTTAAATAACCATGTGCCTTAGAATATTAAAATACATCCAGGAGAATGTGATCACATACCTTTAAGTTTTGGTTTCTCAGCAATGTTCTGAAGGTCGTTGAAAGCTGATGCTAAGGAGTCTTCAGGTATAATAGATGCCAATAGGGATCCAAAGTACCAGGCACAGACAGTTGCAAAGATAAACCCTCCTAACTTCATAAAATCTGAAAAAAAATTAACAAACATTTTCATGACAGTCGAGACAATCTATGTACATTCAGAAGGAAAAGTGGCAACTGCCAAGCTCACTGAGCCACAAAATATTGTTGCACGCCATCCCAATCGCCAGGCAGTGTGAGATTCCATGAGTTCCATGCATTTCACCAGAGTTTGTGTTTCCTTTGGAAATGAGGTACAGCGGAGGCTGTGACATATGGTTTATTCACACAAATATAAAACCTGAGTTCACATCATTAACGCCCCCAAAAGGTACTGTTTCTCCCATAGCCCCAGCTATGTTGATGATGGTTGCTGCAAGTGATTCCCAAACAGAGAAGATGCAAGTGTCTGAAACATGTCTAGCAAAACTGTCGCATTGGGATAATCCTCTGGCCTCCCTGCTCCTTTATAGCAAACCTTCTACTACCCAAAACAGTTCTTCTGTTTACATTTCTTAGTGCAGAAAGTATCGATCTGATGTGTAGAGAACTTCCTATTCCACTTAATTCAAGAGGGTTCTGGAAGCTTCTCTGCGTGAAAGAAGCAAGCAGAAGGTTCATGATGTTTGTGTTATTCCTTCAGAGAAGCTGAGTACAGTTGGCTTAAACTGGTTCTCTTATCTCTTTCTGTCAAGGTCATGCTGACTATAAAAGTAAGGCCAGAACCAGCCTGGGTTTCACTTTCTCTTTCTATCTCTTTTCCTTCTGGTGTGGTGCTCTGTACATAATATGCTTAGTGTTAAGGTTTAGACTTATTATAAGTTATTGCAAGTTTAAGTTAGGTCTGCTGCAAATGGATTTCTTATGGACAGGGCCAATCCTGAATGCATTGGATTTGTGACCATTATGCTCATTTGCCTTCAGTAGCAGTAAAGCTCTGCTGGATGAAATACAATTGCCTCTGCTCTAATCCCATAAACCCATAAACAGTCATGATTTTACCCTGAAATGTAAGAGACAAAACGTTTCACCCAGTGAACCAGGAAGTCCTATATACTGCATAGAATAAAAAACCTGAAGTGTTGGAAGGGACCCGAAGGATCATCTAGTCCAACACCCTGCAATGCCAAAATATGCACCTATATGGGGATCAAACCCATGGCATTGGTATTATCAGCACTGTGCTCTTACCAGCTGAGCTAAAATACTGTGTGGTGTCTACCTCAAGGCAGTTATGTTGGTTGAACAATGTCTGTTTGGAATTTGTTGTTGTTTAGTCGCTTAGTTGTGTCCGACTCTTCGTGACCCCATGGACCAGAGCACGCCAGGCACTCCTGTCTTCCACTGCCTCCAGCAGTTTGGTCAAACTCATGCTGGTAGCTTCGAGAACACTATCCAACCATCTCGTCCTCTGTCGTCCCCTTCTCCTTGTGCCCTCAATCTTTCCCAACATCAGGGTCATTTCCAGGGAGTCTTCTCTTCTCATGAGGTGGCCAAAGTATCGGAGCCTCAGCTTCAGGATCTGTCCTTCCAGTGAGCACTCAGGGCTGATTTCTTTCAGAATGGATAGGTTTGATCTTCTTGCAGTCCATGGGACTCTCAAGAGTCTCCTCCAGCACCGTAATTCAAAAGCATCAATTCCTCGGCGATCAGCCTTCTTTATGGTCCAGCTGTTTGGAATACTTGCTCTTTTTTCTTCTTTATTACCTTGATTTCCTAGGATAGGGATGGGAACCTCAGATGCCAATCTAGACCTCTTTTGTCTGGCCCTCCTCCCCAGGTCACACACCCTTTCCACAGTCATGCTTTGCACTCTGCTCAAGTGTACTTGCCTTTCTCAAATGGGTCTTTGAATTCTAATCATGTGCCTAGCTTGCCTAAATAGAGGATAGAGGGAGTTGTGGGGGTATATGTAGAAACCAGCCTATTATACAAAGGTAAAATGTACCATATATTCACTGCCCTGACCAGTTTTGCTCTGGCCCTACCCACCACTGGCATGTGGATTCCTCGTGGAAGAGGGCCCAGAAAGTAATGTGGCCCTCGGGCTAAAAAAGGTCATCCACCCTTGCTATAGGACATAGTACATAGTCATGAATTTAGGCATTATGAATTTATATAGATATCAAACTCCAGCCACAAATGATTATGGAAATATTTATTGCATATCTACAGCCTTCAAGCATTCCACACATTTTCTTAAATCGATTGTACAACACGCTACTCACGAAATTACACAAGGAATTTAAGCCTTGCCAGCAAATATTTTTCCCAGCCTAACTTTTCTTCATATTCACTTCTTTGGAGCACACATGCTATCACTATCACTGTCAGCTTAACACTCCAGCTTCTACAGAGTAAATGTTAGCTCTCCACAAACCTAATTACAGTGGTACCTCCGGTTAAGAACTTAATTCGTTCTGGAGGTCCGTTCTTAACCTGAAACTGTTCTTAACCTGAGGTACCACTTTAGTTAATAGGGCCTGTAGCTGCCTCTGTGCCGCCGGAGCACGATTTCTGTTCTCATCCTGAAGCAAAGTTCTTAACCCGAGGTACTATTTCTGGGTTAGTGGAGTGTGTAACCTGAAGAGTCTGTAACCCGAGGTACCACTGTACATACTAGCCATTTACTCATTATGGAGGGTTACAAAGAGCTCACTCGTCACTTTCTTCTGCCTTGTAATGTACACAACTATGAAACCCTCAAGGCACTACCAAAAAGCTAGCCAGCCAGATTCTGCCCCCCCCCCGCAGCAATACGCCTTTGCAATGTAACTTACAAATATAAACAAGTCAATCCAAGAGTAATGTAAACATATACATTTTCAGAAGTGCAAGTAGTCAAAACTTGAAACTGTAGAAGTTCTCCAAGTCACTTACATTAAATAAAACCTTCTTGGCAGTCAATACAGTTTTGGGTTTTAAAAAAGTAGCCCATAACTTTCTCACTGCTAGAGCACATAAAGCTACCTTATGGTGGCCAACTTTTCTACAATAGCCAGCAACCATCTAGTTCTGAAAACATATCATTGCCATTCTAGGGAGTTCTGAAATGAAGAGAGGAATCTATCCCTAGATGAATTATAGAAATGCCAATGCAGGATATAGCGCACAATGTCGTTCATCCATCCTGATTCATCTATACAAAGACAGTGATTTGTTTGCTACATAGGGCATAAACATCCACCAACCACTAGTGGGGCTTTATGGAGCAGTATGGCCACATACACAGAACAGATGCTCCCAGAAAAGGCAGTGGGAGTGGGTGGGCTGGACGATCCAATGTCAAAGCACAACAGGTTAGACTGGCTAATAATCCAGCAGATTTCAGGCCAGCTCAGCCTCTAAAAACAACAACCCAGAACTCTTCAGACAAGGTTCTTGATCAGGTGTCTTAAACCTTTTCAGACCCAATACCCCTTTAGAAACCCAAATATGCATTTGGGGACCATTTTTTAAGATAAGAAAGAACTAGAGTCAAACCCCTGCTCCTGCCCTCATAAGGGATTATTAATAAAGCGAATTCCTTTAATATCCCCACAAAAGCTCTTGGGCCTATTCGTCTGTGATATTGCAAGCTTAATAGCTTCCGGAGAAGCTCCTGTGCCTTCAAATTCTATCCACAGGGGAACACAAAGCTTTGTTATACAGTAGTACCTCTGGTTATGTACTTAATTCGTTCCGGAGGTCCGTTCTTAACCTGAAACTGTTCTTAACCTGAGGTATCACTTTAGATAATGGGGCCTCCCGCTGCCGTCACGCAATTTCTGTTCTCATCCTGAAGCAAAGTTCTTAACCCGAGGTACTATTTCTGGGTTAGCGGAGTCTGTAACCTGAAGCGTATGTAATCTGAAGTGTATGTAACCCAAGGTACCACTGTATATAGAAAGGTTCAGGAGACAGACTGAAGCAGAGAGCACCCAATCACTCATAAACAAACAAACAAAAAATTATTATTTAAAAGTGCTCAGAAACAATATTGCAGCTTGGGCACACCCCATGAAGGAAATAATAAATATTGTTGCTTACAGGACGTTTTGTTCTGTAGTGCGTGGATAGCTGAAGGATTTAGGAGAGCTGACAACTCCCAAGTTGCACACAAAATGTTGCCAAGAATAATTCAGGAAATAGAGCAATATAATGCACCCATACAATCTTGGTTCTGCAACATAGAAGGGAATTGCTACGGAATCATTAGCTAGACATTTGGCTCACAAATTGCAACACAGGCCACCCCTCCAAGTTGATGGGCATTGCCATTCAAATAGTGTCTGCCACATCTTGCGATTGATTATCTGGGGTGAGGCTTAACTGGGCCCCACAATATCTTATTCAAGTTGGCACCCCTGATGCACAATGTCCCTTAGGTTAAAACAGAGGTTCTCAACCTTTTAGCACATTAAGCCTCTGCTTGAATAAACCTCTATTTTAACCTACGGGATATCATGCCAGTTCAAATAGAGCCCATGAGGGTATGTATGGGGAGTAGGTGGGGCCTCCCACATAACTGTCAGGTTCCTGGCACCCAGTTGCAGACTGGGTGGGAAATCCTTCTGCGTTATGGAAGTTAATTTCTAAACGTGACGGGGTCAGGGCTTCTTCCCCCTCATACCCCGCCCTGATGAGCCGCGACCGCTCAACAGCGAGGAGAAAGCACTCTGTGCGTGCTCAGAGGTGCGCTTTTTAAACACCCTAGCGCTGCAAAAAAGTTTGGGTTCCCGGGAGCAGATGGGTCGAGTCTCGTCATCAAGAAAGCGCTGCAGCAACCGCGGAAGTTTGCGCAGCCTCTGACGAGAAACAGGTCGATTAGAAATAACGAAAAGGCCAGAAAAGGTCGGGGCTGGGGGTGGGGGGAGAAACTTTTGAGCTACTCACTGTTGCAGGCCGCCCGCACCATCATCTCCCCTGCTTGCTGTCCCAGGTGGCGGACGAGGAAACCGCGGCGCTCCTCGCCCTCTTGCCCTCAGCGCCGGGCGCTTCCCGGTTCACGCCCCAGCCGCCGCCGCCCTCCTCCGCCCGGGAGGCTTCTCTCGCGGGGAAGGAGCCGTCGGAAAGCGGCGCCACCAGCCGAGTGCGGGCTCGTCAAGCGGCTGACGGTTGCGCCGCCGCCACCTCTACCCTCGCCCGCAAAACGGGCTTTTGGAATAAACTTCGCGAGCGCGTCACGGGGACAGGAGTTCCGCTGTGCTCGGCGGGCTCCCATTGCCGCGCAGGACAGTCCGGCCCAGGCTCGTCTACTCGGGCGAGTTGGGTTGGAACTTGCTCCCTCCGCCGCGAAGGGTGTTTTGAGGAGCTTGACGCAGAAGGCTTCGCCCAGCTGCCTCCAAAATGCAGAGAGCATACGCGAGCCAAACAAATTAAAGGGGGGGGGGGGACTGAATGTACATTTCCAAAATATAAGATAAAAAACAAATAAAATAAAACCTACATACAGCAACAGTGTTTTGTGTGGTGTAGGCTCCTATTTGTTATGTGCAAATGGCTTTCGACGCCTATTAGGTCCATAAATTACCACATAGCACAAGAAAGAAGCGACTATTTGTTGTTGACAAACGACAGCTGGACATAAAAAAGGCTCCATTACCTTCAGTAGCTTAGGGCTTCATCAAACTTAAATCTGGCCCTGTACGCGGCATAAGCAAAGTTAGTAAAAGTACAAAATACTAAAACGGAAATCCACATGATAACATATAATAAGCAGCAGCGAGGATATAGCATACCACTAACAGGCAGCAAAATTGTCTCCACCCATCAAATGGCGGGGAGAGGAAATAACATCCTTCAGGTGCCTCACGGCAGCGGGGGCCACGGCTGAAAAGGCCCTGTAGCTTATCCCCACCCTCCATAGCTCCCTCTGAGGGGCAGCAGGAAGAGGTGAAGGTCTAAGGATAGTTCATATCAAGAGAGATGCTATAAAATATATTAACCCCCACCCCTAAACAAACAAAAGTTATGAATTGCGGGGGGGGGGGGTGCACACTTCCCATAATACACTTCTGTATGCGATGGAGCAGGCTCAGGTCCGCAAAAGGGCACAACAAGCCACAGTAAGCCATGCTCTGGTTGTGTCCAGACGAGTCTTCAGTGATGTACCCCACATGCCTCTACAGACAGCCTGAAAACTGGTTCAAAATGCAGCTGCCAGAGTCCTGATGAGTGGTCAGCTTCTAAAACAGAGTTTTCCAAATGTGTGTCACTACACATTAGTGTGTCAGCTGCTGTGTGTCCTCACACTCCTCCTGGGGCTGGAAAGGGGTTTGTTTCATCTCCGGATTGCTAGTAAAACTGAATTACCGTGTCGAGAAATGCATGTCTAGATGTGTCCAATTTATTCTTTCAGTTGCACCAGACATGTATGGCAGTGTGTCATTTTAGGCAGTTTAAACTTGCAACGGGGACTTCCAATTCATTTGGAAGATTGTATAAGAGTGCCACCTTGTGAATGATACAGTGCATTTTACTTTTAGATCAACTGAACTAATACAGACATTTTTAAATTTAACAACTAGTGTGCTACCCAACTTGCAGCTGTTATGTGTGTGGGTGTTCCATATATTTCATGAATTGAATGGTTTTGTATGAATATCTTATTAGATTGTATGTTTTTAAATATGCTGTAAGTCACTGCAGTACTTCTGTATAACATAAATAATAAACATTCAAAGGTATTTTTTTTAAAAAAATATGCTGCTTAAGACCAGAATTAAGGCTCTCTTGAATTTGTTCACGCACCACAAAGCTTTTGTAAATTATGCTTTCATATAGCTTTCTTATGTTCCTATGCTTTTCCTTGGTCTTTCAGGCACATATCTAGATGGATCTCACATCATATTGGTCCTATATTGCCTTATGAGCATCTGAGTCTTACTGCATGACTAGAGTAAATTTTCCAGCAGGTTGATCAGTATCTGTTGCTTACATCAGTAGCTGGCAGAATGGGTTTAAACAGCAGAAATGAGTTTATTCCCCGTTTGATTTTTAATTGTACAAAAGAAAGGAAATAGCTTCCACATTTATGATGCATAACATCCCCCCATTCTTTTCTTCCCCTGTATGTGAAATCAAATTATAGCTAGTATTTCTTGCTGCATTTTTCAGTCCAGCTTGCTGTATTCTTGAGCTATATAAATATTTATATTTTGCCCTTGGGTCAAATTTGCCTTCATTTATACTTAACAAAGTGCTGTAGAAAGGAATTAAATTAAGTGTCATAGACTTCAGCAAGGCTAGGGTTTCACCCAGTGACCTATTCTATGCTTACTTTATAACTACAATTTGTTTTCAAATTGGTACCAGTTCCAGGAGTTTCAGAATTCTTTCACTCATTATTCTCTTTGCATCACTGCCTGTGACCTGTGCTCCTCCAACGCCTATCACCCTGTGTGAAGGAAGAGCTTCTCATTCCAAAGACACTGCCTATTTCCATGTTCTTCCCTCCGTTTCCTCACTATGCTGTTACCTGCCTATGCTGCCTATGTAATGGCATTATGAACAGTGATGACATGGCATAAACATAAAGAGCATTAAGCGTACACACACACACACACACACACACACGAGGTTAAATTAGTTTATTAATTTAAATCAGCAGGAAATATTTCCACATACGGTACATCTGTGAACAGAAAAGCTTGGAAGTACAAAAATTATGAACAGGTAAAAAAATCTAGTAGTGACTGACAAGTTTTCTAGCATCTCATATTAAAAAAGTGTTAGGAATGCAAGATTTTGGCCCGCTGTAGTTTATTATCAAGCTACAGCGCCTAAAAGTGTTTTAAGCACTGTTTTAAGAGATGGAAGGATGAGATAACGCCTGCCTTCAGGCTCACAATCTAATAGACATGATACAAAAGGAACGGAGGAGGGAATGGGGAAGCCAGCAAGTTTCAAGCAGCAGTTCTTAAAATGACATGATCTCAGCAGGACCATCTGATCTGGACAGGTGGGGTTCCCTGTATTTGGCATGCATGCACAACCCAGTAGCCCTTAGCTAGTCTCCTGGTGGACAGCAGAGGCCAGATTGTGCTTTCCTTCAACTATGCATCCCCAGAGCAACAGATTTTGATTGGTCTGAAAGTTAGAGGTGTATCAGGATTTTTAAAAAAAGATACAGTGATACCTCAGTTTAAGAACAATCCTGTTTACAAATGATTCGGTTTGCAAACTCCACAAAACCAGAAGTAGTGTTCCAGTTCACAAACTTTACCTCGGTCTACAAACGGAAACCGAACAGTGGAAGGGCACCGGCGGTGGGAGGCCTCTTTAGGGAAAGCGCACCTCGGTTTAAGAACAGATTCAGTTTAAGAATGGACTTCAGGAACGGATTAAGTTTGTAAACCAAGGTACCACTGTATTCAGTAAGCCAAGCAACTGTACCAATTTACAGAGTTTTAGAAGCTCAGCTTGTATTATCAAAATATACAGTTCACACATTGTTGGCTAATCCTCTTTCCTAACATCTTAATGATTTGCTTGGTGCCTTTCAGTGGGGTCGCCTTCCTTTGCAATACTTTAGGAAGATTATTACTACAAATCCATTGGTTTAACCCTCCATTAACAACAACAAAAAAAGGCAAAACATACAGTGCAGTTCTCACCAGCAAACCAACACATTGCAGGATTATTGTGGTTTCAACAATTACTACTTGGGGGTTATCAGATTATCAACAAGATGGCTCCTTTCCCTGATCTCATATCTTTAGGTGTTTCAGTTTAACGCAATCCTGCATTTTCCCCCATTAACCCAAACTGAGCAAAAGTTTAGTGGAATAATTTGTGGCTCAGCAGGAAGCCTGTATAGACGTAGGCCATGAGGCTGACATGACACACCTATTTCGGTTGAGCTCTCTCTTTTCTAGCTAATCTGATGGCCACTTTGCCAAAAATGAGGAGATGCACCTCCCAAAATAAAAAGGCAAGAGATTTGAATAAAATTTGCACATGCTAACATATGTACAGATGCATATTTAGAAATAATTAATGTAATAGAAATAAAACACATTTCACCACTGTGGGGAAGACTCTGTCCAAAGTGTTCTGTGTTCCTGCCTGCTCAGTCTGATACTGTCCAGGCGCAGTCAACTAAACAGCCCTTCACATAGAGGACTGTCCTATATAAAGAAGGACACAAGGACACCCTAGTATCAAAACAAATCAGACACCTCCTTACCGTTTCAAAACTCTCAAGCCGCGGCAGACTATGTTAGGACTCCTGTCCTGACCGTGCTACATTTTTATGCTCAGGGGGCTGCACAAACACACAAAAGTCCAGCGTGTCAGGATTAGTTTTCTTTTTAATTTCAATCATTCAACACTCCCACCCTGCATTGTTAGCAAAAGATTGATATTAATGCAAAGTACTCAGCTTGCAAGGAAGATTTGCCCATGGATAGGAGTCCATGGAAGACAGAAATAGTAACGAATTGCTTAAAGCATTTCCCCTATAACACACTACTCAGGCCCAACATTTTCTTATTGGCAAAAGATATTAAGGCTGCTTCCTAGGTTATGAACACCTGTAGTGTGCCTATCTGAGGGTCTAACGCAGTGAGTGAGGCTTGCTTCTCTGAAACGTACTTCAAATTGTACGTAATCATAAGAACGCAATAACAATATTTAGACAAGTTTAAATCAGTTAATAGAATTGCAAATTCTATGGTTCCAATTTCATTCTTCTATAGGGAAGATGTACTTCAATACAACAATCCATTAATAACATATTTTACTAAAGATGAATGCAATAAGCACTTAAAAGAATATTTGAAAGCTGTGATGATTCTCCATTTTGAAGATACTATTTTTTCATTGGAAAGCTTTAGTACAACAGCATGGCTCCTGAATGGCTCCATGAGACTCAAATACAATGTGGCATAATAGAAACTGAGATAATAATCCTTAACAAGAATAAGTATATAAACATTTAAAGTTGGTAGTAACAAGAAGTTAATATTTTGTCTTGTGTGTGTGTATGTACACACACACACAATATCTATATCTATATATAGATATATATACAATTAAAAATAAACAAATCAAGCCATTTAGAGCAGCCTTCCCCAAACACCAAATGTTTTGGACTACAACCCCAAATGTCTCTGACCCACTGGCCATGCTGGTTGGAGTGGATGAGAGCTGCAGTAAAAAACATACAGAGTGCTCCAGATTAGGGAAGGCTGATTTCAATTTTAGAATCATTATGCACATATTCTATATTCCACCCCAATTTTAGTAGGCAGATTACCTCCTGTAATCTTACATGGGTGGAATCCAGTGTTGAGTGAGTGGACTTCTGCTTGCCCAATGGAACTTCCCCTTCCCCTCCTCCCTTCCTGTACACTTCCAAAGTGAGGTTCTGTTGCACGCGTGAAAATCACACATGCACTGACAGTGTCAGGTACAATCCATGGCAATTTAGATGGGAAAATTTCTACATGGGGATCCTTCCTCCTTAGTATTATGTATTGAGATGCCTTCTTCTCTGCATAGCCAAATTTATTAATTAGTATTTGTATATTTATATTAAACCACTGTGTCAATGAGGTTGGTTGAATTTCCCAGACTTCAGTTTAAGTCTGACAATGTTGATGCACATTCACAATAATAGCTCGCCACAGAAAACAACACACTTCACCTTTATTTTCAAATCTGGAGAATTCTTATAGAATATGACTGAAAATAAATGCAAATGCTCTACACATCCCCTGACAATGTGCTAACACTGTGATTTCGAGGAAAAATATAGTCAGACTCATTAAAATTCACTTTTCAAAGTAACCAAGAGCTTTTTATGTTGTAGTTGTGTACAATGGTTTCTGTGAAATGTAAAACATCCCCTTCCGAAGATGGAATTAATCCACCCATTCCTAAATATGAAGAAGGAGGGAAAGCCTATCAGGAAAAAAGGTTGTGGAACAGAACCAGCCCAAGTTGAATTTCAAGTAGGTCCCAGAGAGGTAGGAGACTCTAGATAACATTATAGGCAGTCTTGACAGACATCAAGGAACAAACTTTTTAAAAATAAATAAATATGTAAAAATGATTAAGCCTCTGGGTATAGCTCAACACAGCAGAATATCATAGATGCTTTACATTATCTAAAATTACCAACATTGCAACCTCTTTCTAGAGTACAGTTACCACATTAAACAGGTTAAACCTCTTGGCTGTCAGGAACTGCTGGAATCTCATGTGGTAAATCACTGAACTGCAGCTAGCAGCCTTCTCAGTGAAGAAACTTCTGGACTGACTCCACTCACCAAGGCTGGTCAGTGGATCCAGAGTATAAAAGGTGGGCCCTTCCTTGAACTACAAGGCATTTCTAAGCCATGGTGTGGGCCTGTCCTCTGGCCCCAACTTGTTCATCAGTTGCTACACCTAGCTTGTTCCTCCATCCTGCCTTGCTTATCAGTTCTGACAACTGGTCCGTCTCATGGGTCTTGATTCTTGGCTCCCAAATAATCTCAAGAGTGCTGTCAGTTGCCCAGCACCAACTTTGACATATATTACATATATTTTACTTCCACCTTTTCTACTTTGGCACAAGCTTCCCATTCTAATACTACCAGAATCCAACATGCAAAATTCTAACATCATGGAAGTGGGTCCCTTGGATGATCTTTCAAGATAATGCCTTGTCAAACCTTGAATATAGGAACAATCCAAACAATGTACACGGGCAATTAATAGAGAGCAGAAAAATGATCTAGCTTACAATACATGCAGGTTCCAATATGCCTTCATTCTAGTAAGAAACATCATCTTGAGATGCAACAGGATTACTTCAACCAAGACAGATAAACTGCTGTCCAAGTTAGCATTTTATTTTTTTGTAAAGGAGAAAGAGACAGGAATTGGAATATTTTTGTGGTGATCAATCAGAAGGCCAAATGGCAAGAATGTTATTTTTCTTTTCTTTTCTTTTTTAAAAAGCAATCCCTATTAACTGCTATTAACACCTATTGCAGAAGTATAGTAACAAAATGTTTTGCACTGAGTTTCAGTTCACTGAGCACTGTATATTACAGAAAACACATGATTATTTTTACTGCATTCTATCTATTCTCTTTGCCAGTAAAGCCATTAAGGTGATCCAAGAAGTCAAACAGAGTTTCTTCCAATAGCATTCTCAGCAGTTTCACAAGATACAGCTGTTGCTGAACAAAAACATTTCAGAATGGAGGTGGCAGAAAACTGATATCTGAACAAAACAGCAAAACACTTGCATTTTTTTTTTTTTTACAATGCACTTGTCCGGAAGTAGGTTCTTATCTTGCCTAATATGCTAATGTTGAAACTGTAATTAAGTTTTTTTTAAGCAAGCAAACCAAACCACATGAGCACATATTTTTGCTGCCCCTTAGAGATACTGGCCAGCTGCAGCTACTTCATGTGAGTATGCTGATCATGCACACTGTCTCAGAGAACAGCTACAACCTTGTGATTCAGTCTGAATCCTGTATTTCCACTAATACATCTTTATTTTAAAAGTCAGGGAACAAAATAAAATTTCGCGGCAAATTTGGAGTAATGTTTACAGCAGGATGTAGCAGCTGAAGGTCAAGAACAGCAGTTTCTGGTGGAAAGCACATTTCCCATTTTTAAAACAATGTATATTATTGGGCAATCTCTCCCCCCCCATCCCAATCATTCCTATTATTCTAAAAGTTTTCAATTTAGTTACAAGTTTCTTTAAAGAATTTTAACAACAGAAAAATGGAAGGGGGGGCACATGCAAAGCTGAGAGGTGCAACGTATTTCACAGTGCATTTTCTTAATGTGTTTCAGGTTAAAAATTGAACCTTGTCAGTGCTGCCACGGTTGCCTGAGCAACAGAACAATAAACTACTATAATATCTGCTGCTGGACATCTCAGTTTAGAAAGATGGATGAAAGTTGTGCTATAAGCAAATGTCAGACAGCACCATCTTCATTAGCCATATTTGTGTGGCAAGGGATCCCACTATATATCACGAGTTTGTTTCTTATATTTTATTATTGCTTATGGTTTTTTTCAAGTATTTATATTTACAGTGTCCTAACCACCAATTCAAAATGAAATCATGAGTATTTAATAGGCACTGAAGTGAAATACTGCTGAGTGAAAATCTCCAGAAAATTTTTTCATTAAAAAGAAAACTTATAATGATGCTCAGATAATCTGCCAGCATGTTCCCCTGCTTCAATTTCAGCAAAGGGCTTATATACATGCTTCAAGGGTTTTAGGTATTCTTCACATAGACAATAGCTGACAACTTACCATGTGATGAAGAGATTCTATACAGATGTGCGCACACACAACCAGCGTGTGTGTGAGTGTGACTTTAAAGAAAAAAGGGCTTGCTTTTGAATGTTACTTATAAACCAGAAAAATCAAATCGGAAGCAGGGGAGCAGAATAATTTACTTCCTTCTAAACAGAAAACAAGTTTTCTCTGACACGTGCCTTTCTGGTTTAAGAATAAAAGGCAAAACTGTACGATGGATTGGGTTTCAGAATGGCTTAACAGCTGTGCGTGATCAACATTTTGAGCCATAATTTTCCCCACTTTGTAGAAAACTCCCATCGCACATGATATCCAGATCCATCATAGGAAAAACTATGGAAGGTAAAGAGTCTCGTCCAAATGTATTTAGGGAACAGTATGGACATGAAATGGAAACCTTTGCAAAACAGAGTTTCTGACTTGGCATCACTGGTGGAACAGCTTTAGTGCCTGTGCACTAAAGCACTGTAAGTTTGTACGAAAAGCATCCATGAGGGGATCGAAATGTGATGTGCAATGGAACCAGAAGAGGAAAATGTGAAGAGGAAAGCATACAGGCCACCAGTCTATATGACAAAAGCTGCTATTTTCCACATCCTTGCTTGAACATCAAAAATCCCATGTGAGTGATCAACCAAGCACATGGAAGATTTTAATAAGAGTGTGGTAATCACTGGGATGAGGGGGAAGAGATTGTGCTGTCTCTATCAGAATTAAAGCGTTTCCTAGCTTCTGTAGTACTGGATCATTAAGTACAGAGGAAATTGAAAATCAAATAGTAGAAACACTTTACTAATTTAATAAATCTCAAGTTTGACTCTCAACTAGAAACCTATGCAAAACCTATGAGTTTTGTTTTCAGTGCTTTTGGACAGATTCCTCCCTCTCTCTACAAGTCAAAAGACTTGAGAATGGACACAGCATATTAATACAAGTATTTCAGCCTGCAGAAGCCTTTGGGAAGGGGGAAGACTGTCCTAAATGGGTTGTAGGAATGCTGCTGCCACATACTGATTTCAACACAGGCTGTCCTTAAGCTTGCCAGTACAAAGATACATGGGCAAATGTTGGCATGGCCATAGATATTTCTGCACAGGTCCTAGAGCCTTACTCTTGCCACAGAGACATTAAAATGTTCATATTCATCACCTGGCCCACCTCCTAGCTCACTGTTCATTCATGAAAAAAACACCCCTTTGCCTTTTGCAGCTGTGGCCACAGCCAAATGGACGACTTTTCAACTGAAGATTCACCTTACATTGCATTGTTTTCATTTCAATTGCTAGGCATTAGAGACATACCCAAAAGGTGTAAAGAGAGGCACTTGCCCCTACAGCCCATCTGCTTTGCAGGATGCATGTACAAAGGCTTGAAGAACCCATTCAAAAATTAGCTATGCGTGGATTCAGAACACAGGATGCTAATGTGGGTGGCAAAGTCAAATATTTTCAAATGCCATTAAGTGGAAAATCTTGAAAGGACAGCTGAAAGGAAATTGAGTAGTTGTGTTGTATTCCCGTGGAATGAATCTTTTTCTGTTTCAAGAACTTGCATCACACTTCTGAATGGCATCCTTGTATATTCAGAGGTAGTCGTGTTTTATACTAAGGCTGCACAATAGGTTTTGGTTTCAATGTTTTTCCCTACTTCATTTCTCCTGAGAGTTACAAAGAGAGATCCATTGAAAGTGCAAGATACTCTCCTTGGTCTGAAGGGATGGGGGGAATATATTTAGTCTGTATTGCTAACCTCCTTTTCCACTGCCCACTGATGAAGGTTCACAATCAACCTACTGATTTTTTAAAAAAATATTTTAGAATAGGGATAATAAGAAAAACAGACATAAATAAAGCTTTTGGTTCATCATTATGATTTGGCATACAAAATTTGAATAACGGCTTACCAAACACATTCAAACATTTTTTGTTTTTTTCATAGAGTGGGGTGGGGATGGGAATAGAGAAGCCAATCTTTTTGGAACTATGGAATAAGTATTTAGCATTTAAAAAAATGTACTTATTGGCTGAGCTGCATGATTGTCAACTAGAAAAGCAGAGTAGCACTTGGAGTGATTATACAGTATATGTATTTGGTTCAAAAAATTGTTAGAAAAAAAAGCTTAGAAATTATGAGGCAGCAGAATTGGAGAACATCTTCTGATGAAACATGTGCTTAAGTTTGCAAGGAGTGAAGCCTGGACTTCTACCTTTGGTTGGAACAGCCTGTCCATAGTACTGCTAAGCAAAGTGCAAGTATTCCTTGAGCTTGGACAGAATTCTTCATTTCCATCGATGCCGTACTAAGGACGATTCATCATTTACAATATCATTGTCAGAATAATGACGACGACAGCGAGCAGGCAGGAGCAGTAAGACAATGAGCACCAGAAGGACAAGTCCGCAGAAGCTCATCAGTGCATAGGACACAATCCACAACAACGGTTCATGGAAGGATATTGTGGACACACAGGTGCTTGCTACATCCGTAGTTTCAAAAGGACCTTCGATCCCAGAAACTGGAGAACCTCCAATTTCTAAAAGAGCACAAAGGAATGAGAGAGACACAAATATTTAAAAGGTTTACAGCTTTTAACTGTTATATGCATGGAAATATTTAGGGCTGGGTACACTAAACCATAGTTTGAAACTGCAAGAGTGAGTCCAGACAATTCTCAGGCTTGCAAGTTCTGAAGCATTCACTTCCATTTTAGATTAAACACAGCTTGCTGTATTTTCTGTTCATTGAAATAAGCTAACTTCAAACCATGGCTATGCTTGGATGATCATCTCTCTGCTTAATAAGCAAAGATGTGGAAAAGCTGTGTTACTCTACAAGCAGCCACTCACTCCTTCCTTTGTGAGGTGCAGCCATGAAGTCTCAGTTTGCTATTGTTTTTCTGTTAGTTTCTTGGTTCATATGTATCAATATTAAGCAAATTTAAAACCATTTAAGATCCTGGATGGTTTGGGATAATCCAAAAACCATCATTTCACAGTTCAGGAAACCACAATTCAGACTTCATGGGTTGTTTTCTGGATCATGGGATGTAGCTGAGTATAGGTGCATGAAGCTCGTTCACATCTCATTTTATTATGCCAAGCTATTGCTGTTTTGAGACAATCACAGTTTCCAGTTTGGCTTGTTTCAACAAACCATAGTTAAGATTAAACACAGTTTAATGTTCAAATGCAATGCTAGAATTTAGTTACTCTAAAGTGGAATTCAAAGCTTCTGATCTCCTTGTGGTTGTGCCAGAGGCAGTTGGAGGCAGGAGTGCATAACCCCAACACTATCTGCAGCTAATCTTCGTAACACTAAACCATGGTTTAATATGGAGAGAGCAATCCAAACCTGCCCTTGTACTGGGCTGTAGGCTTGTTTTTAATTGACCAGAGGTGTTCCTCCACTTAGCTCGCCCAGTTGAGCCAGCCTCCCAGCAACCACCCACAAGTGGGAGGCCTGTTGATGGTACTACTGTCAGCAGAAAGCCCCATGATGGGACATTCCAAGGATGGGCAAGGTGTGGGAAAAAGCCAACCTGGGATCCGCTGGACCCAATCGCTGTGCCATTCTGAACTGAACCAGATCACTGTGCCAGCCTGGAGCTGATGAAGGGATCAGACCCACCCAATTACGTCCCCCCCCCAATCTTCCACAGCTGCTGTTATGAGCAGGCAATCTGTGGACTCTTCTGCTGCTCCACAAAGCCCCGTGAGTGGGTAGGTTTAGGACTACATATGGTGATAACACTTAAAGTTCTCCATTAAATCCAAGCTAAAGGAAGTGTGCATATTGAAGAACAACCAGATAAATATATAAACAAAATCCAGCTACACATTAAATTAAGCTTTTTACTGTAGTTTATTTCCCATTTGGTCATACTACTCCCACATGAAAGTCACACGGAATACAAAATTTCATCTTAAAATAAAGTCAAAGTGAACATTCTGTTCTCCTTCTAGCAAAATGAATGATTTCAGGTCCCTGTTAACTCTCCTGTTCTTGTACATCAAAAGGTTTATATTCCATCTATTGGTTTCCTACTCACCTAACCTCTCCCCTGCCTAGTAATTTATCTGAAATGGGAAGATATTACAGACAGTTTAAGACTATCAAGTAATCTTATTAGAGCTGCAATAAGAGTATTAATAAAACTCTATATTCAAGTACTTCCAACATACATTTGGGCTTTTCATTTCCAAAAAGCATCTTATTTCAAAAGGGCAATCACATTGATTCATATTTACTTTACTGAGAAATGTAACAGCATATTTGCTTTATTCAGAAATGTAACAGCAAAATTGCTTCTCATACTGCATGTCAAAAATTAATATTCCTTTCCAGAACAAGCCTGTACTAATCTGAGACCATCATGCACGTGTGTGTGATTCAGGTTCAGGTATAACCAAGAGGCCTAAGCTGGAATTCAAATAATTATTTTGGGGCTGAAGCCCAACAGGATTCCCACCCCCTTCTGAACAAGAAAGCTCCCTGCACCATGCTAAATTGCATTTGACAATTCCCTCAGTTTCCAAAGTAATTTGTAATAGGGAATAGGAATTGAAGAAAGGCGAGTCCATAGTTCCCCTGGGCACATGGGACTAGTTGTGTGGATACCAGCCCAGCTCACTTCTGAAGCTCCTCGGTGGCTTTTGGAAAATAATCTGAATGCCTATCCTACTTTATAAGATTGTTGTGAAGATTAAAACTGCAACCCACACAACAGCGCTAAAAAATAATTTGCAGATTCGCAAACAATGTTCGAAGTATTCGGACAAGGTTCTTTTATGTGATTTTTAAAAAGCAGATTGTTAAACTTATATTGTGAACCACCCTGAGATCTTTTGAGGAAGGGTGGTACACAAATCCAATAAATGAAAAAAATAAAATAAAAATAGAAGACTTCAGGTGCTACCTTAAATTGTTAAGTATATGCTATTCAGAAGTGGTCTCTTACCAGCACAAGTACTTAATGCAAAGCCCACTCTCTTTTGAGCTCTATCAAAGATGACATAGAATCCTTCCATCACTGTCGCGCCAATGACCAGGGCATTGGTAGAAGAGGAGATGCCAAAACGATAGCAGCGTAAATTCTGACCAGTCTCAAAAGCAGGCTGAATATAAAGCTGTTATTTGGAAAGAAAAAAAGGACAATTAAGGAGCAGCAATATACCTAAATTTAGAAGATTAGCGGATAAGATCTGGACACACAACAGCAGCCAAATTACAAAGGATGGGATAATGACTCCATTAACTATAGAAATGCCGGGTTTTAAGTTGCAGCTTGTCAAGAGCTCAAAGTGAATAAACCCTATTTACTTTTCACACAGAAATTTGTATACTTCTTTCCACCATTCCTCACCATCCACAATTGACTTCAGCTGGGTGTGTGTGCTCATGACAGCCTCTTGTGCCCTCATTCCTTCTGCAACTGCTACACAATAGCCCTGCAGTATTGCCAGTTAGGTATTATTATTCAGTGGCTGCCGCTGCCACCACCACTACCACCATCTTTTGGTAACCTACAGCCCCACAAACAGGAGTGAAAACTGGAGATCTTGAATTAATGGTTAAATCCTGGACCAGCACAATTCACTTCTCCAGTTAATTCCTTGCAAATTTGCTCAGTGTAAAGCCAGCTCCCCCCAGTCCTCTGCTTCTCCCTCAGAGTTGGAAACGTTCCTGGCTTTACCAACTCTGGTCTTAAGACTTCCAATAGTGTGAAATCCAAAGTGATCTAGGCAAGTGGAGATTCCCAAATTCTGAGGGTGGCCATCACACACTTGACTCCACTAGTCCAAATTGTGAAACTTTGTTAAAAATATATAAGGAAGAGGGCAATAAGGTTCAACAGTAATATTAAAAGCAAAAAAGAGTCCAATAACTCTAAAAGCAGACTACGTCAGTCCTAATTACTAACAGCACAATTATCTCAGTCTACCTACAAGTGGACAGGAAGGGTGGTCAACTTCCTGGTGGTGTGGAAGATCTGGCCTGGATCCCTGATGGTTAGAGGGACCAAAGTGCCAAGAGCAGCTCAACTTTTAAAAGATCTGTCCCCTCACCTTGGAGGGAGTGACCTTCTGATCAATGAAAGCCAGAGTAAATTTTTCTGAAGTATGTCATATGTCCCAGGTAGGCGTTTTAAGCACCCTTTTGCATTTGGGATATACATGACAACCTGGCTTAGAGAAATGGTGGAACCAGGAGAACAGGGTCCTGTGTGACAAGCTTGCATTACACAAATCAACGGCAACAAAGTTACTGAAATAAGAAAAACAACTGCAATTTTGTGTAGGATATACTCCAAATTAAAACTGATCCAGTCTCTACCTAGCCATGTGCATGTATTTTCCTAAAATAGTGTTAACAATATATGGAAATAAGTTAGACTTCAGAATGCACAATGCCATCAAGACAAAAACAGTTCCCTATGTTACTTGGCTGCTCATTAAAAGTTTAAGCCTGGAATTACAAGTGAAGGCCATTTCAAAGTCACATTTGCTTCATTAAAGCTGCTTGAAAGTACGGGCAAGGAAACACTTAAGCTTACAGAAATATTTCAAGATAATCAGATTTACATGAATAATTTCTGGACTCTCGTCAATCGGCTTCACAATCTTTGCATACTCAGATGATAAAGATCATAATAGCTTCATAAAATATCACTTCATTAATGCTCTTGTGGGGGGGGGAGAAGGAATTTTAGTACTTCCTCCCCCCGTGAAAAGAATTAACTAGTTAGTCTAAAAGCAGATTTTCTTATAAATTGGCTAAGACTAGTTGGACTGCATTGTGTTATTCCCACAAACCAAGGGGCTAGTTCAAACATCATGACCCCACCCCCCACCCCCGTGTAGACACTTCAGGAGTATAAGTGTCTGCTGTCAGGATCCTAGCCAGATTGAATTTATTCAGGGGTGCTCCACCTGTGCAATGACTGAAAAGACTTATATAATGGTCTATAACACCAGCATGGTGCCAAAAGACTGTCCACGAAAGTCTACTGGCAGCGAGTCTGGCAAGAGACTTGCACATTTCTAAAAAATTATCATGTGTGAACCAGCCACCATTTTTCTGAAAATGTAGAATCACAAAATAGGAATAGGCCTATTGAATACCGCATTTTTCGCTCTATAGGACGCAACGGACCATAGGACGCACCTTGTTTTAGAGGGGGAGAACAGGGGAAAAAAATTCTCTCCCTCTCTGCTCAGCGCCCCTTCAGCGAAGCGGCAGGAGAAACAGAGCCCCTTCCATTTCTTCTCCCGCTTCGCTGAAGGGGCGCTGCGCAGAGAGGGAAAACTGTTCAGCGCCTCTCCAGCGAAGCAAAGCCTGGAGAGCAAGAGAGATCTGTGTGCACCGACCCCACTCGCTCTCCAGGCTTCAGGTGGCTATCCGCAAGCCTTCGGAGCACAGCGGAAACTTCGCTCCATAAGACGCACACACATTTCCCCTTAATTTTTGAAAGGGAAAATGTGCGTCTTATAGAGCGAAAAATACGGTACAATCCAGATTAACAAAAGGTCCCCAATCCTGAATTTAAAACATTTGGATATGTAATGGATGTGCATGGTTCACTATATTGTCATAGCTGATTAAAGGACTCGCATACTCCTTTAGTCTTCTATGTTATGGACTCCATGGCAGAGTCAGCAAATGTACAGAATGGGAGGGGGTTGTGCACATTCAGTACAATATCTGTATTGAATTTATGCTTCCTTGAACTATACCCTTGTAGGACCATATCTGGGTGATTGCAAACTCTGGTTTTCCATGTCGACGTTGAAATGACTGTATATGGATTGGGGGCGTGGCATACTGACATAATCCTGTCCTCCCATTCCAACTGGCTGGATATGCTAGCTTACTATTTTAGTAAGTAATAACTATGTCCTGTGAACAGAGTTATTGTGTTGCCGCTGAAAAGATCTCTACAAAACGATAAGCAAGCACTGAACTATTAGTGATGAGGAGACCAGCAAGATTCCACCAAAGGGCAGACAACCTTATGAGTTAGTGTGGGAAAGAACAGCAGCACTATAAATCCTGTTTTTAAAAAGGCAGTATATACAAATGCCAAAATCTTCAATGAAGTACTCATTAAGTGCTGTACGATCAATGAAATTATTGCTTCTCTTGACGAACACTACAATAAAGGGCTTGTTCAGACCTGTGGAAAGACAGTGATCCTGAATGATCTGCTGGAATTTTCATCTCTCAGATAGATAGATATTTCTGGAAAGAAGGTCCAAGGCTGTTCAGTTTTAGCCCAGCAAGCAAGCTGTACACCATTCCAAAATCCAGGTGAGAATTCTTGAATCTATACAGAAAATGGAGGGGGTGGGGATGTTAGGCTGAATTAATGAGATCCTGTTTTTTGTCACCTATGAACAGGCACAGTCTTGAGGAGAAGCATTAGCAAAATTCCTGGAAAAGAAGCAGCTGGGAGCATGTGATCCTGGTTTCAAAGGGCAGTGGCAAATCACGCTGGAAGTGGGAAAAGTATGCAAGTGATACAATAACTAGGAAGAGTCCATCGTATCATGACCCCTGAACAATAACTAGCCTTGATTCTGTTAGCTACCTTGCTGATTAAAGTCTCAAGCTTTTGAAGATCAAAATGTCTTTCTGCTAAAAAAAGAAAAATACATCTGCCCACTTATTTTATTGGACTGATAATTAACCCTGTCAGCCCTTTCTTTCATTTCACCTCTACTGAATTAGCATCTGATTGAACTTTGGAGTTCCTTACACACTTACCTGGGAGAAAGCTTTCAAAAGAACTGAGTAGACATGTGTTAGCATGAACCATTTATTTCAAGTGCAATAAGAACATATTCAAGAAAATAAATATGCAAGAACATAAATCTATATAACAACCCATGCAAGTCAGGCTAACTTTCTTTCCCACATTTACAGTTTTTGAGAGGCACATAATACACCAATGCAAATATACAAATACAGGATAGGGCAAATACACTTCCTTAAGCAGAGTCCTTTGTGCTCAGTGTTTGCTTTCTGAGGCAGCTGAAGCTCTTATCACCTTGTCATTAGCAAACATTCCCACCAAAACAAATATGGTTTGAGTGAAGAAGAAAAGGTCAACTCCACAGTCCTATTGTTCAGCGTGTACATTGATACTGAGCACTTTATTAACAAACTGTCAGACATTTCTGACAAAAAAAGGATATGCTTTCACAAAACCACCACCCTATTCTCATACAAGGGATGTCTTCAGCTGCTCCCTTCCCAAAACACATTTGCTAAGCTGCTACCATCAGCTGCTTCAACTCTATTCATTGACTCTGCAACAGACTGTAATGCACAATCTCCAAAGACACTGTCCTCTCTGGGGTGTGTGTGGGTGCATGCGCGTGGGTGTGTTAAAGATATGCAAAAACAAGAGAGAGCCTGTCCTTGTTTGCATTTTGTAAACAATAAAGTGAGCCTCACCAGCACATGGCATGTCAGGATGTGTACTATATGACAGCTTAGTGTTCATGAATTTATATGCCAACAGGACAACTCCCAAATATTTAAATTCTAGAGACCCTGGGGAAGGTAAGACATAGCACAGGAGAATGACAACTCCAGCAACTGACACTGAAAAGGCAGCAGCAGGGACAGTGATTGACAAGAGAAACATATCTGAAAATGAGGACTCTCTCTGGTAAACAGGGACAGAAGAACATACATATTTCAAAAAGAAAAAACAGGAGAGAGAAGCTACTGCCCCTGAAATGAAGTCTCCCTAAATAACCTGGAGCCAATATTAATGTCATTTCAGGAATAGACCAAGACTTTCCTTTTCTCCTAGGCTTCTAAAAGGACTTTTTTAAAAAAGTAGTGTAATAGCCAATGTTAGTCATATTTACAGTAATGATTACAGTAGATCCACTGAAATCAACAAGCTTAGGTATGACTAACACTCAATATCACACAAAAAAGGTTTAACACTTTAAAAAAATCCTGCGCCCTGTAAAGTGATGCTTGGCTCTTATGTTTATTTTGTTTTATTATTACATTTGATGTTTTCATATCATATTATTTAACACCTAGAAGTGACAGGATATGATGATTAACAAATTGAAATAGCAGTCCTAAGTCATCGTATAGTGTTACCCCTAGTTCCTACTACATTTTCCCCAAATTGCATTAGAACACTCCCCCCCCTTGATAATATATCACTAGTGGAGCAATTTTGCAAATATTATTATCCATATCCATCATTGGATCCAGATCTAGCCATCCTTACTGCAGATGCACAAAAATCATGTAAAAATCTGCCAGTTTCCTACTTTCGTTATTTGTTAAGTGAGAAAAAGCCAAATTGGTGAATAGGTTTACCTGGAATCATACGGTTAGTTTCACACTGAGCAATTCAACCTACAAGGGGTGCTGAAATGTTCTGTCGGAGATTAGAAGAATTTAGATAGGCTCTTCTGACATAAGATCAAAGCACAGCCTCCATTCATTATTTCTGGGCTCAGTTCCTTCCTTCTCTTTCTTTTCATTTAAGAAAACAGCCAGTGGGGGAGTCTAGTCTCAAGGGAGGCAGACAGCTTTTCACTTTCTAGTGCACGTGCTACTGCTCCTTTTCTGTGTAGGACTAAAAGATATTGCCCCATGCATTCAGTGCCAAGATGGCATTCAAGAGCAGAGGGCAGCCCTTCCCAGTGACAATGTCTCCTCCCTCCCATCACTTATCTCTTTGCCTTCACAGCTACTGGACATTTCCCCGCTTCATGCTTTTCAGAAGAAAAGAAGCTCTGATCGATAGAATATGAAACCTGTAGTTTATCCATCCTGATTCTGGTTTACCTTCCTGCTATTGATCAGAGAGGAGAAGGAGAAAATATGTTTCCACCTTCCTCTCCTCTATTTATTTAATGTGCAGTTTAATTCCTTTCTAATATATAACAGGGAATGAGAAACCTATGGCTCTTTAGATGTTGTTGGAATACAACTCCCATAAGTCCCAACTGTTGGCCATGTTGGCTGTGGCTGATGCAAGATGGGAGTCTAACAACATCTGGATGACCTCAGCTTCCACACCTCTGAAATACAGAATACACACTATATTTTGACAAACTACTTAGCTTCTGCCGTAGCACAATGTGCACCGTGTGTATCAATCGGGGGTGGGGGGTGGGAGAGAGAGGGGCTCACATGTGAGTGGACTTCCCTTGTGGCAGAGGTTTAGAGCCAGAGCCTTGGTCATAATTTTGGATTCTGACAAATACACCAATATAACAAACACACACACTTTTTTTTGGTAAATGCAATCCACACACTGGGCCTTAAGCCACACATAGATAAAAACCCATTAGAGCAAACAAGATTGTTCACTGTCACAGTGTCTCTTTTTAAGAGAACAATAGCCTGTGTTGCAAGGCAAAAGAGCACTTATTTTGGGAACGGCTGCCAACAAAGCCATTAGGTTTTAGCCCAAACTCCTCAAAGTTTGGAGAAGGACAGAATGCTTCTACTCTGTAAATACATTAGAGTCAAACAAAATCATGCCATTTTTAAAATGGTGATTAAAAATTAGTTACACTTCCTCACCTAAGAAGTCTCCTCTACCTGTGATGGAAAGAAGTGGCTTAGTGGCACCCCCCACTGAGAAACTGCTGTCCTAAGACAGCTGTTTAACAGTTCCTTTAAGGAACAATGTGTCTCATGAGCTGGAACTTACCAAGGATTTCTGTATAATTGCTCCCACAACAGCACTGAAGACTTTTTCTGGCAGGCGCAGGAGTGTGGTGCCGCTGTCTACAATGGCTTTATCCGAGTTGTACTAAACAGGGGAAAGGGGAACAAAGATATCAACATGTTGTAGCAGCAAACTGCAATGGAAAGTCAATAAAAACCGCTCCTTCTGGTGGTGCGATGGCAGAGCATAGGGCCCTCTGTGATGTCAGCTCCTCTCTGCACACCTCCTCCAAATCCCCATTACAGAGGCAGTGACATTTCTCAGCTGCCTTGAGCCCAAGCAGGATTCCCCCAGCATAGCCTAAGCAGAAGTTTAATGGGAAAGCCAGCTCTGACCCCAGGCTCAGTTGGTCCTGTGAGATGTATTGTCTGTTGGACAGGATTACAAACATCATACTTCACAGAAGAGTCTCAGCTGACAACCTGAATTTGAACAAGTGGGAACTATTTCCATGTCTAAACTGGATAACTTTGTCTGTAGCAGGTGTGGACAGATTTCAAAGTTACAGGAGCTTACCTGCCTTGGAACCCCAAGTTCCAACACTGGAACTGGGCAAAAAAATAGCTCTGGTGTGTGGGCGTAGGTGTGGGTGTGTAGCCTGTTGGATGATTTCCATACATATCTGAATTACGATACATTAGGGGTTGTAGCACTAAATTCTAAAAATGGGAGAAGAACTGCACAAGGACTTAGTCAGAGGGACGCAGAGGCAGAAAGACGAGCAGTTAGCACAAGAGCCAGCCACTGAATCCATGGCAGATAAATATTGTTGTTGTTGTGGTTTAGTCGTTTAGTTGTGTCTGACTCTTTGTGACCCCACATATATAATAAAACATGTCACCAGGGCCGTCTTAAGCATATCCGGAGCCGTGGTGCAACGATCCCTCTGGCGCCCCACCCCACCCTGTTTCCCAACATTGTCGACCTTTTCCCAAGCTTCTGCGGGGATCGCTCTCCTCCCACAGAGGCTTGGGAAGGAAGCTGCATGCCCACCAGCCATATGGTTGACGGGGCGCAGCTGGCGGGCGTGCAGGAGGGAAAGAGGAGGCTGCTGACAAAGCCGCACAGCTCCCCACTTGCTGGGGCGCCCCTGAGAGGCCAGCGCCCTGGCGCAACGCGCCAGTAAACCCAATGGAAAAGACGGCTCTGCATGTCACATTTGTAAGACAGTAAGACCAACAGCCCAGTCTTATGCCGGTTTACTCAGAAACAAGTCTTAATCAACTTCAGTGGGGCTTTCCCCCCAGTATCTATGTATATATGATTAATTATATTTCTAATCCATGTTGCTATTGTTGTTATGATTGGTTTTAGTACCCACTCTTCAGTTGGTCAGGTTAGAGCAATATAAAACATGATAGAAATATGATAGAAAATGATTTCAACCTTAGACGTTAAAAAGCAACCACAGTTACTGAGAAGCTGAGTCTCATCATCTAGGAGCACAAAGATTATTTTGCAAAAAATAAAATAAAAAATTAGGGTTCTTTAAAGATAATCTGAGGGAAAGGGGGTAAATCTTTACTTTTCTACCTTTAGTTAGCAATAAAAATTGGCCAGACTGGTCAGTTTGAGGGAGAACTGCTTGTAGCAGACGAACCTGCACACCCTCCAACATTTCACAGGCAACACTAGGGATGCCAGAGTACATGACAACTCATGAAAGGATCATGGGAAAAGTCCAGTAGAAAAGAGATCTGGGGAGAGAAACCGAGGCTAGCAGATGCATGCAAATGAAAAAAAGGCTGGCATCTGCAACAGTGTTTTTCCTCCCATCTACACACTCTAACTTAAATTTGTATACTCTGAAATAAATTCCTTTTCAACACAACTGAAGTATATTTAGGATTCTACACTAATCCAATTGTTCTCCACATTTACCAATTAGCATTTTACACTAGATTTTTGGAATGCAGAGGTGGTCACCCTCTATACATTAATGGACCACAACTCCCACCCTCCCTAACTATTGGCCATGATGGTTGCGATTGGGGGAGTTGGAGTCTAAGACCATTTCAAGGGCTTTTGCACCCACCAACCCAGTGCTTCTACTAACACCATATTGGCCACCCCTGAATGCAGAAAGATTAAATTGTGCTTCCTTGCTATAAATACCTCTTTACAGTCCAAGTTAAGGTTCTCGCCTCCAACTTCCAATTTGAGTATTTCAACCTGATAATACCACTCTTTCTCAACAGGTGTGTACCAGATTTCCCCCTTGTATAGGCTTGGTTCAATTCCACCCAGGACCTGAAAAGGAAACAGTGGTTGCCGCACAATCAAACACACAACAGTAAAGATATAGAGCATGCATGTCCCCCTGTCAGATGGTGCTCAGGGGACTTAAGGTGTATTTACACGCATTTTAAACCCACTTGTTTAACATATGCATTTAACATATGCATTGCAGACCCAGTCAGGTTTTTTTTAGTGAAACTAAATTAAAGCAGTTTTAAAAAATATTTTAATCAGAACATGGCTAGTCTTCTGCTCAGACTTAAGACTGTGTCTTAAGATACATGGGAGAACAGAATTATAGAAGGTATAATTTCAGGTATTACCAGTTATGAGTAATAAACCCAGGGAGGTCAGACATTCTCTATGTCACAAATGCTATTAAAATGACTGAGATGCTTTATGTTTGTTTACCTCTCTCTCTCTTTCTAAAGAGCAAGTCACAGACAGTTTTTAAATAACAGGGAAAAGTTGAAATAAAAAAATTGCCTAGTAGCACCTTAGAGACCAAATAAGTTTGTTCTGGGTATAAGCTTTCGTGTGCATGAACACTTCAGAAAAGTTCTCATCTTTGTACATTGACTAAGCTTTTAACAATATTTCATTGTTAAGCTATTTGGAATAAAGGCTGGCAATGGGAAATAAAAAAAATAAGACAGGAGGAGAAACACAATGCAAGAGTTAGGGCAACTATGATGCAGTTTTATTACATCTCCCCCTTGTTAAGGTCAGGCAGCAATTATGGGGGAGGAGGCTGGGCATGGGCATAGAGCAAATGCAGATTAGCATGTGTACATTTGTGACCTCCCCTCTCAAATGGTTTTGCCCCATGGTTTAAAATATTGACCCAAACAGTATATCCATACACTAGGCCTTTTCATTTAGGAAAACTAGTGGCCCAAGTAACTCTGAGCAGAGCAGAGACTGCTTGTTAAACTTGAACTTTATGGGAAGCAAAACCATGAACAGCTGAGATATCACAAAATATATTGGGGGGGGGAGGCCTCACTGATTTTAATGGCTGTGGGTCACGTTTTCTTACGGAGCTATCCAATGTACACTTACTTGGGGGTGGGCCCCACTGAATGCAACAGGACCCATCTGGGTAAGCATGTATAGAATGGCACTTTTTGTGCTTCTTTTACAAAACAAATTCTATATAGAATGCTGAATGTCAACTGTGAGGGGCAGGAATGGACAAAAATAGAGCATGCAAAGACAAAGAAGCACTTCTTAATCCACTTTAGCTAAAAGAAAGAGGGCGGGGGACACAGTTTCTTTTAGGATACACAGAATATATATATTTATGTGACACCAGAAATGTATATCCATTGACATGGAAGTTACAATGAAACCAACAGACCAACCAACTTTGCTTACATGTTGCTTGGATCTTAAAATCTATGTTCACACATAATACAGAAATAGGACTCCCAACATGAGTGAAGGGTGTAAAGGTGCACACAGTCTTTTCTGTGGTGCTCTGATCATTCTGGGTTGAATGGGAAGGTCTATTACTACACATTCAGGTGAATGTTCTTAGAAGGTTTGTGTGGGGGATTCCAAGCAAGTACACTGCTTGGAATCCCCCACACTTAGAAGCCCCCTCCAGACATTCCCACTCAATGTGAGAAGGTAAGGACTGGGGCTAGAGTGCATGGTCAGGGTGCATAGCCTTTCTCCTCCCTATAACATCTGAATAAGGCTGCACCATCCAAAGTTCTGGATGCTGATTTTACTTATCATACTGTTAGCACAATAGAGCAGATCTTCAAATTCCCACAGGCAGATTTTTTTTATTCACTATTGGAAAAATCAGTAAAAGAAACTTAATGTGGATAAGTATGAGAAATTTATGCATGCTTCTCTAATTTAATAGTCTGAATGGAAAATTGAGTAAGCCACTCTAAATCTGTTTGTTTTGCCTTCTAATGGATATGGTAATTAAAAGCATAATGCAATGAAAAGGACTGAATTCCAAGTAAACAGGCTTAAATTCACCGCATCACAAAAGTGGTAAAAAGTCACCAATATTTTCTGTTTCAGGCTGGCAGATACCCACAAGACTACCTCCATTGGTACCAGTTCCAGTAACTGGCAATCCAGCTCCACACATCTGTAAGGAAAATATATTGGGGATCTTTGCTTGATTCACAAGGGAATCAAAAAATGTCTCCACAGAACTTGAGGGCTGCAGCAAAAACAAAACAAAGTGTTAACTGTGTATAAATCAGGTGTCTGTTCACAAGTATACCCCCCCCTCCGAAAGCATTTTTTTCTCCAATGCCTTCCATATAGAACCCATGTGAATCATTTTGCTGGATAAAATGGTTAACTCGTTTACATGTAAATTAATCATGCTGACAGAGATATTATAATAAACCAATGTTTAATCTAATGATCCATCTGTAGATGTCTGTCAGAAATTACACCAGATCTAAATCTCTCTACATGTGATGGGATTAAGAGTGTGCCTTACACCTCCTCACTTAACAAACATGCCTGCCTCACCTCCAGCACCACCAGGGCAGTGTTTCTCATATATATATTCCAATGCATGTATTTCCCAGCTAAAATCTAGAAATTGCCCATGTATTCTGAACCAGTATTACTATTTTGCAAGTAAGAGCATATGGTTGGGTATAGGAATGAGACTGGCTTCAGTCTCCTTCACATCGTCTTCGACAGAATTATTCTAGTATACAGCCATACCTTGGATCCCAAACGCCTTGCGAGTCGAACATTTTGGCTCCCGAACGCTGCAAACCTGGAAGTGAGTATTCCAGTTTGCAAATGTTCTTTGGAACTCGAACGTCCAATGTGACTTCTGTGGCTTCCGATTGGCTGCAGGAGCTTCCTGCAGCCAATCGGAAGCTGTGCCTTGGTTTCTGAATGTTTCAGAAGTCAAATGGACTTCCAGAATGGATTCCATTCAATTTCCGAGGTACCACTATATATGCGGTGACTATTATAAGGAACTTTGGGGGGTTTCATTTGTCTTCCAGCAACTTGGATGTCTTTAAAACAAGATTAGATAAATTCATAGAGGACAAGGCTGCTTGCCCTGATGGTATGTACTCCCTCCAGTGTCCAGAGGCAGTTGCTGGGATTCATAGGTGGGCAGTGCTGCTGCTGCAACCATGCCCTGCTTCCAGGCTTCCCCCAGGTACCTGGCTGGCCATTGTGAGAATGGGATGGTAGCCTAGTAGGATCACCATATGCTCTTAATGTACGAGTCGGTAGGTAAGCACTCAAATTACCTTAGCCAAGGCATCATAGGCAAGTCCAAGGATCCCATGCCATTGAACACCTTTCAAAAAGAAATTCTCTGACTCAGAGATGGTTACAATGTTGATGGTAAAAGTGCCGTTGATTCCTTTAGGGATGGTAACAACATCTGTGCCGAGAGTCCCTATCCAGCTTCCTTGGGTATATTTAACAGAGACCACAGTGCCCAGTAACTTATATGTGCTTGATCTAAGAAAGGAAGAAAGGGGCACTGAAAACTTACAAAGCAATGCTGTATTGTGCTACATGCTACAAATTATCATCTTACGTGAAATATTTATATGATTTGAAGAGAAACCATGGGCTTCATCCAAATTCTGCAACATGAAAAAGTGAATGATGTATAAATCATGAAAACTCAAAAAAATTGCACCTTTCCCTCCACATATTCCAAAATGTCACATCAACCAGAGCAATTCCTCCCCATTTCAACTTTCCACTTAAATGTAGTGTACGTTTTTGTGTTTACAGTATAAAACCACCCTGTGATCTTCAGATGAAGGGCGGTTTATAAATTGAATGAATGAATGAGTAATATTTTGATCTACTAAAAAGACAAGAGAGACTAATGCTTGATTTCAAGTATGAGCTTATGACAAAATGAAACACTTATTTCAGATATAAACTATATTCATTTTCTTCTAAAATATCTCTTTGCAGAAAATGTCATATATGGCCTCCATTTCCTACATATGATTATGGAATCAAATGTGTATTAGATATACTTTAGCAATATAAGGATGCCCAACTGCTAGATGGTCTGAGAAGTCTATTAGACGCTAGTCTAAAAACAGAAGAAGACAGCCAACACTCCATCTATGGGATAATTTTTTTCTCAATACTACTTGCATTAGTGCAGAACATAGCGGCACTGCAATTTTAACATGTTTTGCATTAATGTATTTTTGCTCTAATGTATTTCAGGATTTCCTTTGACAAAAATTAGACCTTTGTCTAGGCATTAGTTACTATAATTTCAATTATACCACCAATAGCTCCCTTGAGCTTCAAAAATCAATGCAAAAATAACAGTTGCTCTGGGACTTTTCAACCAGCTATAATCCATTGAAATATTCATTCATTGTTGTAATAGCAATTTCATACTGCAATTTTACAACCTGTCTGTATCTTTCTTTAAGCTTATTAAATACATACATGTGCCTAGTAAATAGTATGTATAAACTACAGAGCAACTATTGGCACACTATTATTTTATATCTATATGTATGTGTGTGTGAAAAATAAAAATACAGTACATGGCTGTATTCAACAAAATCATTGCACTAGCAGAAGCCTGTGTAATTATTCACCCCGTGTAATTATTCACCCCCATCTTCCCCTTCACATCTACTCCAAATGGGCTCTTGAGGGTCAGGAGAACATTCAGAACAGTGCATGGGGGAGAGTGGGAGATTGTTCCATTGGACGAGCAGAAACGTTTGCACTGACAGAACAGTCTCCTTAGTGCTATGTTGAATACAACTCCAGGTCTTTAATTCTGCCACATCAACAGACCCTGCTTAATGGAAACCCGACTGGCTCAATGCAGCAACAGTTATGGCACTAAGCAGCTCAGTGATAAAACTGACATGAACTCCATTGCACTCTTATCATCTGATTTCAAAAGGCTGATCAATACATTACAGCAGAAGTATATTGTGATATTCCAATAACATTTGGCAGCACGGACACACTTGTTGCTCAGTCAGTGACATAGTTCCTTTAGATGCAAATATCTTTTTGCCGAAAGGGAGGGCAATGTTGGACATGTGAGCCACTTATGAGGTTCTGACACACATAATACATCATTAGGGCGTGTGTGTGTGAAACCGCACAAGGATACAGCTCTGCAAATATGGAGATGCAGCCCTCCACATTAACTACGGTAAAACAAGGAAAACATTTTATCTGTGTTCCTACCTGAGAACTAATCACGTAATTCAAAACTATGTTTTTTTCCAGCGTTATTTTTGGAGTACTTTTTTGTCAATAGAAATATTGTCAAGATGGAGAGCAATACACTTACACTTTTGTGTTGAAGTAGGAGGTCAGATCTGCATTTGGTACTCCTGCAACAGCAAAATTGCTACTTCCAGTGTCAACCAAAATATTTAGCTGCATAAAAGAAAAATAATTATTCATGTCAATTACAATATATAGAAAAACCTGGACATAATTTTAGCCTGCTTCCCTACTCAAGCTCTAACTATGTAAATCAAAACCATGATTATTATTTTTTCAACATTATGTTTTGATAACTTTTTTTGTGTAGTGAAAGTATTCTCAGATCTTTAAAAACTGATAGTGTTAAGACTTTTAAAGCATGATTCTGTAATGTCAGTCCCCTCAGATCTATACACAGATGCCTAGGATCCCACCATGACACATCTTTTCTCATGTATCTATTTTAGTTTTGTACATATATCCATTTGCAGTTTATTTATAAAAACAGGAATGAAGTGGCCATGAGCTGGTATTGAGAAAACTAATCTTTTCTGAAGTAGCAACATGAGAGATTTGAGGCTGAAGTACAGGTTAGAGAAAGAAAGTGTAGGGAAATAAGCAGGAAGTTGAAGGAAGCAGGAGAAGTGGAGCAATGATTTTCATTTAATCTGAAAATTAGAAATATTTTTTAAGAGGATCCTAATCTTTGCCAATAGCTTGCTGCTGTTTTCAAGACCTTTGCTGGCAACCTTTCAAAGAGTCATCCTGCTAGCTTTTCAATGAGCAGGTACCTGAAAAAGACATGTACAGTGTATCACCTTTCCTTTCCTTGCTGGAATGATACCCGCAGGACCATTTTTGGACCAAAGAGCATGATGCAGCTCAGGAGTGAAGAACCTGAAACCCTGCAGATGTTGGATTCCAGTTTCCATTACCCACGGGACACACCTCCAGGCCTAATGTAAGTGATTATGCTTTCTAACTTTGATCATTGTTCTTCATATTTCACTGTAGAAGCCAGCTTTAATTTTAATTCATCCCCTTTAGTTCATGGATGGTGAATCTGTGGCCCTCCAGATGTTGCAGCTCCCCTCATCCCTGACCACAAGCCAGGTTGGCTGGGGCTGAAGAGACCTGGAATACAACAACATCAGGAGGACCAGTTTTCCCCATTCCAGCTTGAACTGTCAGTAATCAAAACAAGTTATGGGTATAGGAATGGAACTAAGAACTCAATGAGATTAGGAAGAATGTATTTTACTAGTGTTAAGGCTAATAAAACGCAATCACAGAGAAAATACTTGGCTATTATGGAGTACCCCAACCTTTGAGAGAGACAGAGGCATTTTAAGAAACAAAATGAAAGCTACAGGGATTCTCACTTCCTAACTACAAATAGTTCTACAAAAACCAGGGTTAGTAAATTACCAGAACTGTAAAGAATGTTTTTGAACTACCACCCTACAGAATTCAAAGATACTTCTTTTAAAGAGAATTTGACTGCCCATCTTAGTGTGCAGTACAGTATTAATCGTGTCTACTTCTCCAAAGAATGTTCTCCACATAACACAAACATCATACTGTAGAATATTAAAGATGCAGCCCACTCTAGTATGACTAAAATTCACATGACTAATTGCCATTCATTCTAACATTCCATATCTTTAAGAATCTGGGATAACTAGTTATAGGCAGCTGAGGCAAACACTGACTTATTGTAGTCCATACAATGACGCTAGTTAAGCTCATGGCCTATGGCAATTCTTCCTGGTTTGCAGAGAAAGGTTTGTCGCTTTTTCTTTTTTCTTTTAAAGAGGATATATTACTAACATTGCCTACCAGCCTTGATTACTTAGGATCTGGGGAAATTATTGCAGTAGGTGTATGTGTGTGCGTCTAAGTGTGAGACTGAATTCATAACCTTTCAAGAAGCCAGACATTGCATGAATGTTATATAAAAATACAGAGATCAACACTCTAGATATTGTATACATTTTGAAGAGGCCGCAAAGAAAAAAAGATATTTACATGGCGTTGGGAGGCACAATTCTGGCCTGCTTTGGATAAGTGATGCTACAAGTTCTTCAAGATGTCAACCGTGTCATAGCAACATCATGGGAGGGGTTTTTCTAGGACAAAGATCAAATTGTGATGCTCCCTTTTTATTTTTCTTATTTCGCATGTTGTTTAAGTAATACTGTTATATTTATAGTATTGGAATGTGGGTTTTTGTATGTTGTTATATTTGCTATTGTTTTGCTGTGTTACTGTGAAATTGTTTCTGTATTGTTTGTTTGAAATGCATCCCTGCTTCTTTGTTGTAAGCCACTTTGAGCATGGTGTGTGTGTGTGTGTGTGTGTGTAAAAGCAGCATAGAAATAAGATGAATAAATGAACAGTCCAGAGTCCAAATTCACTGTTGCTAGCACATCAGAACCCTATTTAGGCAGTCAAAACTTCACAACAATAATTGCCGGGGCATGAGGTGGGCGACAGTGCAGGGCAAACACACACATTCCTGCTCCCACCATCCCACCAGTTCATGGGAACATTGTATGTGCATTCAAGCAGGCTTCCTTGATGTTGAAATGATTCAGTTTGTAGACAGCCTTGGATAGGGATCGACACAAAGCACGATAACAGGCTAAATAAGCAGGATCACACTCCCCTCTCTTGTTTTTGAATGCCCAAATAGCACTTACACTGAGAAAAGATAAGAACTATATTCTTAAATCTTGCTGTTAAAGTTTTATAAATATAAAATCTAACAAGCAGTAATGACATTTCAATACAACCCAGAAGAATCCAGCTGTACTTTAATAGTAGAAACTGATAATTCAACACATTAAAATAAATGCAGTGGTTTTAACATATACTTCTTAAAATTTCAAACTAGGTGAGGTAGATTAATATCTGATTTTTCCATGCACCCGTCTTAGTCAAATACAGTAAGTTATTGCTGTGCTAACACACACACCTACACAGTTACCTTCCTTAAAAAGGGAAAGCCGAGTGTTGGTCTAAGGCTGGCTGGGTTATCTTTGCATAATGATGTTTTCTTAAAGAGTGAGTAGATATCTACCCAAACAAAAACTTGTTATCAAGAAGCATTGTCAATTAGTCAATGCCTCATTTAACCAAGGATAATAACCATCCTTACCACGTGAAACCATCAGCCAGCTTCCTCCAGCAATGCCTCACTAAATTGTACTTTTCCATAGTCACCTCAAGTAGCCAGATAACATGTTCAACTTGATTTAAATAAAATAAAATAAATTTGGAATATCTATCCCTTATCATTAGGGTTTGTATTAGTCTTATTAAAGACAGAAACAAGAAAATAACACATGACCATACACGCTTTCACCCAGAGAGAAAAAGCATTTTTAAAATTGTGCATTAAAAGAAAATCACTTAAAATGCATGCTTTTACCATAAAACAGAATTCATAAAATACAGCCATACAAATTCCTTCGCTATCTATGACAAGAAAAACAAACCAAAAAGCAAATCCCGTTGTTACAGATTTATAGAAGAACTATCTCTTCCGCAAGGTCAGTTTTTACAGTCCCATTGTTAGCCTTGCCATGAAGGGAGACATGGTGAGAGCAACTGAAGGACTGTCTGACAACATAGAGTCCAGGTGCATTTTCAGCAGTAAAAGGGCAACCCCCTCAGCCTGGAAACAGCAGTTGTGTGACTAAGGCTACATACACATTAGCGGTTTAAAATGCAGCAAAGTTGATTCCCTCACTGTATTACAAGTAGTCACATTTCCACAGTGTTGTACACACCAGAGGCAGGGCAGGGATGTCCTCACCTGATACACACGACCCTTTTGATCCCCCCCACAATTGTGCTTCCCCCCCAACACATTTCTATTCATGTGTCGTCTCCACATGCCAGATGACAGTTTATAAAGTGAATGTGGCTAAGTTTTTCCTTTTGGAATGAGAGTTGGTTTGAGAGGAAGCACATCAAACAGCAGTACAGTGGTACCACTGGTTGTGAACGGGATCCGTTCCGGAGGCCCATTCGCAACCTGAAAAGCCCGCAACCTGAAGCGCCGTATCTGCGCAGATGCGTGAAGCATGATTTAGCGCTACTGCACATGCGCGAGCAGTGAAATTCGGAAGTAACCCTTTCCGGTACTTCCGGCTCGCCACGGGATGTAACCTGAAAAAAAGGTAACATGAAGCAAACATAACATGAGGTATGACTGTATTTCTGAAGAAACTATAGGGCAGCTCTGTCTAATGTCCACACAACTTCATACACCACTGGAAACAGAGCAAATAGTAATGTTTGCACAGCCCAAGGCCATAGTCCTAGAAACAAAGAGCTGGAGGTGGCCTTGTAGGCAATCCCATCAAACCCCCCCCCCATGTGATACAGGAAACCCCAAGCTGGAAATCCAGTCCTGCCTCTACTTGAAGTCCTACAATTAAATGGTTTCATCCAAAAGTTGCTCACTTACCTGTAAGTTAGGTCTCACTAAGCATAGTAGGATTAATTTTGAGTAAACATACATGGGATTGCACTGAAAGTTGGGGCAATCAAAAATTCTTTACTGGTGCACCAAGAATTCCAGAAAACAGGTTACTCATCCTGTATTGCAGGCAGTTGCACTAGATGACCCTTGAGGTCCCTTTCAACTCTACAGTTCTATGATTGTATGGTTAATTTTCGATCTACAATATGAAAGTGTTAATTTTTGTTTAAGGTAGAAGGTAAGGAATCATACTGTTTCTGCTTACGTTCCCAGGAGTTCCTGGTACATCTAATCACTACTGCACCCTTAGTCAACCCAAGATGTCATCAACCCAAGATGACTCAAGGCTGAAATCCTAACCATGTCTACTCAGATATAAATCCTACTGAATTCAATGAGATATGCTCCCAAGTACATGGGGTTAGGGCTGCAGTCTTACCCAAGTTCTAGAAACATCATTCCATTTTCCATTCCAACTTTTTACAATCCCTTCTCTGTCCAAACCTTGTGTGTCAGGATAACACTTCATGCATCTGATAAGACCTTGGCTTATGAAAGCTCATTCCATAATAAGCTGTAGGCTATTGCATACAGCAAACCTCAACACAAGAGGTCTTAGCCAATGGATGTCATATGAGTAATAGCTGTCGTTTAGGCCTTTCTTCCTCAACCTCCTTCTAAAGATCTAAGCCAGTGGTCATCACCCATTTTCTGGCGAAGAATTCCATAAATTAACTAAGCAGTAAAAGGTACTTTTGTCTCTCTAACATAAAGAAATGTCAGCCAGACTGACACACAGTATGTCTTTCTGAATGCTTATTTTCTGGTGACAGAGCAGAGGGTTCTTAAGATTCTGTAGTTAATGAGCAGCCACCAGAAGTCATTCTAATGCAGTGATTTCTGCAAAGGGAAAAAAGCTGGTTAATAGGTGGGAAAATTAGCAGCCAATTTAAAAACACTGGCTCATTTAACACAACATTCTCTAATTACATTATCAACCCATCTGGAAGAACTGCTTGCAACCATAACAGAAGACTGCTAAAGCACTCTAACTGCTATAATGTGTCTCGTTTCCCCAAAGTTACTGCATGTTATTACTGGCATAGAGTTCATAGATGCGAGTCTTTCACTTCATAGTAATCATATTGGCTTTTGGGGAAACACAGAATTAGTGAGCATAATTTTGTTTATTATGTGAGATCAGAGTATGTGAAGCAGTGGCAGCCTCGTTTTAATGAAATCAGAATATAGCTTTTGATCTTCCAGTTTCTTTCAAGTTAACTAAAGTGTGGGAAGAACCTGTTCTTGAAAGTCCAGTGTGGGCTAAATGAAAAACTGCACAAAAGGAGAGTATTTGTTGGTATGATTAATATTCCACCAACCCTTTACAAGGAAGCCCACAAAATAAAATAGTTAAACTTGGTCCAATTATTATGCTATCTGCATGGTGCAGTTGTAATTTTTGCAAAAGCCCTTTCTCTGGTCACCCCTTTATCTCTGATGGTGGCAGGAAGAATGCCCTCAGTAAAAGATATCAAGATCTGAGTAGACTGATTACATAAAAATGAATTTAAAAAAATAATATTGAGAGTAATGTCAGAGCCAAAGTCCATTTTCTTCTTTTAAATGCAGCCACTGAGGCAGGGCGGCTAACTTGAGCAGAGAAGTGGTTGTGGGGGTTAGGCACATTTAACTCTTTGCTCCCACATCACTGTCCTGACTGGAACATCACCAGATTTGTTGTTTGCTCTATGTTTGGGGATATATATCAGTAAAATAGCATGGGGAAAGGTGTCCCATCATATATTGCTTCCCAGTCAAATTAGCTCCCCCCAGGTGAATTTATTAAAAAATAAATAAATCTATCAGTACAATGGAATTCCTGGTGCATTCTGGCTCTCAGGCTCCAGCAGGCTTCTTTAAACAAAGCAGGCCACAGTTAAGCCACTATTCTTAAACTGGTCATTTCCACTCATAAAGGGAATCCGTATCAGGAATGTATCCATCACATTTCAATAAGCGGAGTATTTCAGGAGAGAAATGTGTATCCTGGGGTATACTGCACACAGGTGGAACAGGTAATTCACCAGCACCTTCTACTGTCCCTTAAAATGTACCAGCAGCTACTGGAGCTTACCCATGCTGCTCTACACCTGTTTGTTCTGGTGACTTTTATTCTGAACACATTGTCTTTCTGTACTCAAAATGGCAGGTAGTAAATTAACTTGCACCTTTCCTGCCAGCTACATGGGAGTGGGTGGCAGAAAGTCAGAACATTTCTGGTAAACTGCCCTGTGCTTTATTTTAAAGAATTTTAGAGTGCGAGCCTAGATGTGTTCTCTCAGAAGCAAGCCCCATCAACTGAAATGGGACATGGTCCCAGCCTCAGCTTTATCTGCAAAGTTGTTTCACTGCACTTCAGATATCCCATTAAGCAGAAAAACACATTTATGCACCCTGATTCGAGAAGAAGCAAAAGCAAAATCCAGGTAGCAAGAAATCTCTACTAATGCTGTCTTGATTGGGCACATTATGGCTTTACCTGCTAGCTGCTTCCCTCTCCCTCTAATGCACCCAGAGATATTTCCAAGTACAAGAATTTGTTCAGTTAACCTTTACGAAACCATCATGGGCACTTCAATCCATTAGAGGTTCTTCTCAGAGCCGCAATGGATCAGTAGGCATTGAAGGAACATAACAACATGATTGTTTTTCCACTTAAAGGACCAGATGAGAGTCTGACTGTGGAGTAAGGCTGGCTCATCTCACAATGATTTCTTGTGCTCTGAAATTTCTATCCACATTTACTTGCAAGGAATACTTACATTACTTTTAAGAGCTGCATTTAACAAACTGCATTACTCATCTGGTTTTGAAAGAGACAGGAGTTAATAATAGGTTATTTCCTAATTGGACTGACATTTATCTAACAATGTTTACCTCTAAGTAATCATCACTGGTTTCCAATGGACTTATTTCCAGGAAAGTAAGTTTAGGACTGGAGTCCCAAGGCCTAACCAATAAGATGCAGGCAATCTGTGATTGAATCTCCTGATGAGTTCACTTTAACCAAAAAGCAGCTGAGGGCCACTGTGAAACTAATCAGAGCTGCAAGGCTGGAAGAGGGTGTTCAATCACCTCATGCTACTTCCCACCTCTAAATTGCAACCCCAAAGCTATTAGTCCTCCAGAAGTGTGCCCATATTGTTTTCTGCTACAGGGTTAATGGCACAGGGTGGGGGGATTTAGAACAATGAACCATTAGGGCAGAAGGCTAAGACCCCCACCTTCTCCTGGTGCCACTGATCTGATTTAATGTGGATCAGCTGCTTTTAAGTAAAAGGGAGAAGACTGGGAGCAGAGGTCCACAGTGAGTCTTGGTAGTTAAAAAACAACCCACAATCACCAGAATCCTGCCCTTTTCTTTGTCCCTAACCTTGTGCTGTGTGTCTACATGGAAATTCAAAACAGTGCCTTGTCTCCCTTCCCCAGCTCTGAACTGGAGAGGGCGGCAGGGGCTTACAAGTTTGGTGCCATGCTGTTGAGGCAGTGCATATAGCTGGGGCTGGCAACCTAAGGCCCATGGGCCAGAAGCAGCCTATGGAGGCCATTTAACCAGTCCATGAGCCGCCCGCTCGGCGAGTCCCCAGGCGTTGCGCTAAACTGGTGCAGCATGGCATGGGGACTGGAGAGCCAGTGTGGTGTGAGAGCCAGTGTGGTGTAGTGGTTAAGAGCAGTAGATTCGTAATCTGGGGAACCCGGTTCGCATCTCCGCTCCTCCACATGCAGCTGCTGGGTGACCTTGGGCTAGCACACTTCTCTGAAGTCTCTCAGCCCCACTCACATCACAGAGTGTTTGTTGTGGGGGAGGAAGGGAAAGGAGATTGTGAGCCACTTTGAGACGCCTTCGGGTAGTGATAAAGCGGGATATCAAATCCAAACTCTTCTTCTTCTGCACATGCCCAGATGCCGGAAATCATGTCTGCCAGGCACAATTTCCAGCATCTGGGCATGCGCAGAAGTGATTTCCGGCACCGTGGACATGCACAGATGTGATTTCTGGTGTCGTGCTGTGCCGGTCCGGCCCATGGAGGATCTCCGCGGGAGTGATCTGGCCCATGCCTGGTAAGCCTTGCCGACCCCTGGTATATAGCATAGTTGGCAATGCAGTGGCCAAACCAGTCCCCAACAGGAACTGGGGAGGTGGTGGGGATTGCCACACAATTTCAGGCATGATCCCTGCCTCATCTCCAGTTCAAGAGTTAAAGTCTGGGATGATCCATGTTCACCAGAGGGTTGTGGCATTTTCACCAAAGTGAGCATAAATTATGGAGACTTGGTTGGGAGATTTAATTGCGAATCATATTCATATGTTTCTTCAGTGCCTACTGCTCCACTGTGGCTCAGGAAAGCAAATCCAATAGCATGAAATACCCATGATGGATTCATAAAAGTAGACTTTCCAAACCAATTTCCTGCTTCTATTCATTAGCAGAAACTGCTAATTAATCTAACGGCGGTTTTTTGTTTTTCGTTTGACAAAAAGAAACCAGAAGAGAGGCAACCCAACCTGTATCTGGAACATTTTACAAAGACACACCCCACATATTTATTGAAAAAGCTACAAGAGAGAATATTCATGTATCAACAACTTGCTAAAAGACAGGAAACCTGATACAGCTTTTTAAGTGTCAACATTAAAGGGACAGGAACTGGAAATCCTCCTGGGTCTGAACTGACCAACTGCTGCTTTTTAAAGCACACATTAACTAATGACTAGGAAAGTGGAGTCATGCATGTAGAATGTTTATTTAATATCACACAAATTGTTCAAAACAGTGCTGAAACTGCAAGCAAAATTTGATAAGACAGGCACAGAGTAATCCATGGTGGGGGTGGGGGCAGATTGTACCAGTTACACTTGTACAATGTTAGGTTACACAAATATCCACCATCCATTACTCACCTTATTATTGCCCTTTCCACGCCTGAATATCTATCTTATAATTAACACGCCCCGGTGGCTACCAACTTTGACATATGGACAGCTAATAAAAATGCAAGTAGATGCTTTTCCTGTTATATTTGCAATGTAAACATTTTATTTAAGGAAGAAAAACATAAATGGGATCTGAAACAAAACTTTACACTTCACCACCACAGGTGACAAGTAGGAAGGGGGCGGGATTTCATTCAGTTCTCATTTAAAGAGAAACCTACCAAATTCATACATTCCTAAACAATTTACATGAACCAAAACATTGCCATCCTTTGACATTCACACATTCACTACATTGTGCAATGTAGTTCACCAGCCAAGCACCACACACAAAAATGCATATATTAGATACACACATTAGTGAAAATCTCAGCTTCTTTCAAGATGAATGAAATCCATGCTATGAATCAAGCCACTTCCTTCTGTGCCAAGGCCACCCAACAGACTCCAGCAGTATTACAGACTGTTAAAAAGTTGGCCTTTCAAGCACAGTAGATCCTGATGGATTCAAGTTACCTTGTAGAACAGGTTTAACAAAGCAGTCCTTTGCATTTGTTTGGCACATCAGAATCTGAAGTACAACAGACTCTTTACAGCTGGTGTTAGAGAGTCAAACTTCTATTCCTTCTATTATGTCAGAATGATGAACAGCAGCCTACCACAAATCAGAACAAAGATTTTCACCAGTAAGTGATCGTTCAAAGAGCTGAAAATGCACTCTTGTAACCTGTTAACACTCTAAACCTTATAAAAAATGGGCAGGAAAACAGTATCAAAGCGTAACCAATCCACATTAGTAAACAATGAGTATGTGTCAAATGTAAGTTAAATACAACCATGTGAAAAGTTTTGCATAAAAGGATGCTTGCATCATGCCATGTTTGTAATCACTTGGCAAATACAGACACACCACTATGGCCAAAGCTAATATTTATTCCATCCCTGAACTACTACAACTAACTATAGCACTGATTCAATACGACGGTAGAATAAAGTATACTAATGAAACCAAAACATCATAAATTCAAAACTACACATTATATTTGATGCACTTTATATGCTATGTAAGAAGTCTATGCTCAATGTAATTCTAAAAGCACAACCCCTTTTGGCAATATTCAATACTTGTTTTATATATAGCACTTTTTTAGTTTCTGCTGCTGCTATATAATTTTGCTGTGTATCGCCAACAAGCTATTTCACTTGTCAAAGTCTTTGTGAACAAACAAAAGGCCAAGATATAATTCTTTGAAATGCTGATCTTTCTTTACTGAATTTAAATGCCACCCCTCATCCCAAGGGAAATCAAATGTTTATCACATTTGTTATCACAAAGATAACCCATTATTTTTAAACCATCATCTTGACAAAGCCATTTTAATACAAGGATCTTTTGATTATTTCACTCTTATTTTGTTTGACAGTAACTTAGTGAATAATTGAAATTTCATCTTTTTTAAAAAAAAGAAGAAGAAAAAAGAAAAGGCTAACATTTGGGAATATCTTAGTACTATAGGTAGAATTTGTGAGTGAGTTCAGCGGGGTAGAGGTTGATGGAGGATAAGAAAAAAAGGGTGTGTTGGAAACACATGGACCAGTTCTTTCTATTTTATTTTCCAACATTAAAGAGCCAAAGCCAGTGTTCAAGTTTACGCTCGTGAAAGTTCCTGGAATGGAAGAAAGAACAAAATCTGCTATTATTTCATGCCCACATTTGTGCTCTGAATGCATGAAGATTGATGTGGGAAGAATGTTACAGGCATGATGACTGCTGGGCGGATTCTCTAACTATTTGGAAGCATTCAAAGTAGATCACCACCTCGTTCTTTTAACATACCATAAGATTCAGCGCATGGCTTCAGAATACTAAACTATGGGAGCAAGAGGAAGGAGAATTCCCTGCCCCCTCTCCCCACAAAGCATCTCCCTTAAATAAAGTCTGAAAATTGGGGCACGGTGCTGCTCTGGAAGAAAGGATTTGGGGGGAAATCACATGGAGGCAGCTTGCACAAAAGGTGCATGGATAGCAGACTGAAATAACAGTAGCCCTAAGCATCAATTCGAGGGATGCGGGTGGCACTGTGGTCTAAACTACAGAGCCTAGGGCTTACCAATCAGAAGGTCAGCGGTTCGAATCCCCACGACGGGGTGAGCTCCCGTTGCTCGGTCCCTGCTCCTGCCAACCTAGCAGTTTGAAAGCATGTCAAAATGCAAGTAGATAAATAGGTACCACTCTGGCAGGAAGGTAAACGGCGTTTCTGTGCGCTGCTCTGGTTTGCCAGAAAGGGCTGAGTCATGCTGGCCACATGACCCGGAAGCTGTACGCCGGCTCCCTCGGCCAATAAAGCGAGATGAACGCCACAACCCCAGAGCCGTCCCCGACTGGACCTAATGGTCAGGGGTCCCTTTAACTTTAAGCATCAATTCAGTACCACCAATGCTAAGCAAGGTTAATCCTATTTCCCATGAATGCAAATATTTTGTTGCCAATTCTGGAGGACAGTGGTGCTGTAACAATAATTAATAAGGAATGTACATTAAGGGTAAAAAAAACAAACTCTTGAGAGTCCCATGGACTACAAGAAGATCAAACCTACCCATTCTGAAGGAAATCAGCCCTGAGTGCTCACTGAAAGGACAGATCCTGAAACTGAGACTCCAATACTTTGGCCACCTCATGAGAGGAGAAGACTCCCTGGAAAAGACCCTGATGCTGGGAAAGATGGAGGGCACAAGGAGAAGGAGACGACAGAGGATGAGATGGCTGGACAGTGTTCTCGAAGTTACTAACATGAGTTTGACCAAACTGCGGGAGGCAGTGGAAGACAGGAGTGCCTGGCGTGCTCTGGTCCATGGGGTCACGAAGAGTAGGACACAACTAAACAACAGATAAGTGGAGCTTCTTTATCCTCCCCACTGGTCACCCCCCCTCCTGCAGTTTATATAGGTACTGTCCTACAGTTAGGAACTGCATATTGCAAGGGACTATTACAGTTCTTTGTAAAATAAAAGGCTTTCAAGAAAAAATAAAAAGCTCCATTCCACAAAAGGCTTCTTCAGTACAAACTCCCATTTATTCCAACAGGCTTCAGAATCCTGGAGAACATTCGGGATTACACAGTTTAGCCTTATCATCTGACTAGTCATCCTGCCTAATAATGCATCCCTTAATCACATGAGATCCCATGATACTGTTGAAAACTTTTCTCAGCAATGAACTCATGTGCACTTGCAGAGAAAACTCACTGCTTTAAAGGATTGATATTTGAAGCTTAGATTGTGTTTAACATCAAGTTACATTTTTGATAAAACTTTCCTTTATGTGGAATGATGATCAAGTATTTAACCCACCAAGAAAGATGGGTGCATTTGAGAAAGGAGGCAAGTTGCCCTGTCTCTTACCAGCCAGCGAAAACAATATTTTTAGAGATATGCAAGTAAAGATCAGAGCTTTATTTTATAGGTTATAGTCCAAATAGCTACTCAGAAGTTAACCACATTGGAGATTACAGTGGTGCCCCGCAAGACGAATGCCTCGCAAGACGGAAAAACCGCTAGACGAAAGGGTTTTCCGTTTTGAAGTTGCTTCGCAGGACGAATTCCCCTATGGGCTTGCTTCGCAAGACGAAAATACCTTGCGAGTCTAGAGATTTTTTTTTCGCTTTCCCCCCCCTTTATCTAATCTGCTAAGCCTTTAATAGCCTTTAATAGCCTTTTAGCAGCTAATCCCATAAGCCTTTAAGCCTTTAATAGCCGCTAAACAGCTGATAGCGCTAATAGCGCTAATCCGTCAATGGGCTTGCTTCGCAAGACGAAAAAACCGCTAGACGAAGACTCTTGCGGAACGGATTAATTTCGTCTTGCGAGGCACCACTGTATCCTCAGTCAAGTGTGTATCTAGGAAGCTTTATTCAAGTCCTATCTTTCAGCCTCAGCTTCACATCTGCAATATGAGCATATTGGTGCCGATCTACTTTACAGTGTTGTTGTAAGGATTACTGAAACAATGTGAAACATTTCAAACACTTAGGAAGCACTAAATAAATTATACGTCTTATGAATGTCCTCTAGGGGAAAAGAAGCGAAAGCCATATACAGTGGTACCTCGGGTTACAGATGCTTCAGGTTACAGACTCCGCTAACCCAGAAATAGTACCTCGGGTTAAGAACTTTGCTTCAGGATGAGAACAGAAATTGCGCAGTGGCGGCAGCGCGGCAGCAACAGGAGGTCCCATTAGCTAAAGTGGTGCTTCAGGTTAAGAGCAGACCTCCAGAACGAAATAAGTTCTTAACCCATGGTACCACTGTACAAGTACTTGGCAGTGTTAAGGGAAGTCACAACAAATGCATAGAGGACAATCCTGATACCTCCAGGATGAGAGACTGCAAGCCTCTATATTCCAGGTTGTGGAAAGCCACAGCATGCTCTGCTTGTGGGATTCCCAGAAGCATCTCTGGTTGGCCACCGCTGGAAAGAACTGCAGGACTAGACAGGCCTTTGGTCTGATGCAACAGCACTCTTCATATATACTGTAATATATTTCAGTTTCATGCCATTCTTCTGTGCTTTTTTTCTACCTAAAAATATTGCCTGGACCTATAAACAAGGAATAATTTTAAAATAATGCATTGATCTCACCATGCATAACAGTTCTCGCTTATTTTCTTCTTTGCCTGCCTTTTGCCAGAATAGCAAAATGTGCAGGAAATGAAAGCAGTAATGTGGAAAGTGAACTTTGTTCCCTTTCTAAACTGTTTTTTTGTTAGTCCTACATTTACACAGTATCAGCACACACCCTGATACGGCAGCAACGTATTTGCAAAAAGAAATATGACTTCACACAAGGAAGTGTAAGTTAGTTCACCACAGGATGGAATTAAGTTACAGTTCTCAGGCCTGAATTTGGTTGCAGCATTTTCCCCAACCTTGAATACTTAGGTAGAACAGCTAGATCTGAATGTAAAAGGCATGCAAATTGAAACCAGTTCAAAGAATGTACACCTTTAGGCGCCAGGCAAAAGTGTTCCTTTTTAACTTTGGTTGATTTGTTTGACATCCTATGCCCTTTTAAAATGTGGTGGGGTTTTGGGGGGTGTTATTGGGTTTTTTTTTATTTTGATTATGCATTTTGTGGAGTTATATTTTGATTTTATTCTGTGAACCGCCCTGAGACCTCCGGTATAGGACAGGGGGTGGGGTGTGGGGTTACATAAATAAATAAATAAATAAATAAATAGTTCTCTAGCAACTGTAATTCTGTAAAAAAAAGAAAAGAAAGAAAGAAAGAAAGTACAAAAGAGCTCTAAGAAACAATACTCACAAGCTTCCTAGAACTTCCCAGGCTCTTTGAAAGAAAAAATATCAGAGAACAAGCAAAAATTTCCTGCCAGTTTTACTTTCTGGTGTAGACATGAAAACTAGAATATCAGAGAGCTGCAGAATATGGGACTTATGCCAAACCCCCCCAATGTTATAAAGGGTGATTTAACCCTTCCCCAGTTGCACCCCTCCAGCTGCTATTAGCACCAAAAGGATGGAGACTATAGGTAGTGTTACCATATATGTACTTTCCTGTTACAGGGAACAGTAACTGTTTTAGGAAGGGTTAATTTTATCAGGAAAATGGCACACAGAAAAGGTTAAACACCCATTAATGCTGCTACCCCAATCCAATATAAGGGCCCCTGAGGCTATTTTAAAATATTAGGAGATCTTTTTCCACCCTTAATAGGGCAATGGATTAGGCTGAGATCCATCAGGTTTTGTTGGTGGGAAACCATGGTGGTGTTCCCCAAGGAATCTGATAATTCTGCCAAATTTCCTGCAATTGTGGCATTTTAAGTGCTGAAGGCACAATGTTTGTTCATGTTCAAACTGTGTATGCCTCTTCCCCCCACCCCTTGCAGTCGTGTCAGTTCCTCATACAGTGATATGAGTGGCACCAGAAGGCACAGAGAAAAGCAACATATGGCATGCTCAGAGGAGTCCTTCCTGTCTGGGCAAGATTCTCACAAGCCCATACTCATAATTGGATGAATTATAACTTAACTGTTGTTGTCAAACACACATTTCGGCTCAAAGCTGTCAGTTCCTTACTATTTCCGATCTGTTTTCATAGGTAGGCAGCAAACCAGGTTTCTTCTGACTGTGGACACACAACCATTTCCAAGTCTCGCCACCTTTCACACCATTAACCCTTTGGCATATAGATGCTTGCAACTAAACAATGCTTCAGTGATCAGGGAAACCATTTTAAAATGGCATCGTGTTCCAACAGCTACTTTGAGAATCTGCTTTGACTGATGCTTCCACATTATATATTAATCCTATATAGTAAATAGTGAGCACATTCTCCAAATATGGATCCTTGAATTACCGGTACACAAGGATTATGCAGTATCCACACACAATGGGAAGGTAAAATCAGCAGGCTTGAGCACAAACACATGCCAACAAAAATCATTTAGGAAAAACCCTAAAGGGGGAAACCAAAAAACAGCTCAGTGGTTACAGAATGCTGACTATTGGGGCAGGATGGGAAAGAGGGAGTGCTGAAATGGGACAGAATATCCTGAAACAGGGCATGGCTGGCTGGCATCCTGAACTTCACACTGCAGTATTTTGTTGCTTCTCCCACTTGTGCTTATACAATGTCAAAGCAGAACATGCACTGAATCTAGTATATTACATTGATGTGTCACACAGGTCTGTGGGGTTTGGGGAAAGGGGTAAAGATGTTAAGAGACATTTTGCATTAGATGCCACGGATATCTTACTCCATGCATCCTACACCAAGGATTCCTGGACTCTAGGCATGGCAAGCTTCTCAAAGTCAAGAAAGAAAGGTTTAAACTGCCCTTGCCAATATAGGAGAAATGCTTTGTGCCCCTTGTGTTCAGAATGAGTCTAGTTCGATAAATGGAAATAAGGTGGCAAGGAAAGCACTGCATGGAATAAAATGCCCTGCAAAATGCAACAATACTCAGTGTTTATATGGCAGCACACATATATTATGTCATGTAATGACACCATCATGTAAAGTGAGGATTTTGCCCCATTGGCCTAGACTCAAGGAACAAGGATTTTGTTAAGAGCCTTCAAATCCGTGCAGAGTTCTACTCACTGAAATGGGCCTCAAAAAAACCTTCCAAGTCAGCCTACCAGCATGGGATATGAGTTGGCCATATTCTGCCTACAGATAGGATTAAGATGTGTAAAATGTTTAGGGGAGGAGAGAGAAAGAATGTCAGGGACAAACAGACACACACTGTCAACAGGGGAGGCCCTCCTCATACTTCAAGAGTCCAAGTTGTAAAACTCTAGCTTCCCCCTCCCAATGGAGGTAACTAAGAGAACATAATATAACGATCAGTCTGGCCACAGTAATGAGCTACAGAAAGATACTTTTGATCAACATTTAGGCAACAGCATACGATACAGTTTTATTATATTACCAACCAAGTCTCCTTTCACAACACGGGATGGCATTCAACGCAAGTCCTACTGGCTCAGTGTTGAAGTTAAAGGACATGACCGACATAGGCTCACTAATTTTAATGTGTCTACTCTGAGTAGCACTTGGGTAAAATTACACAAAGGAACACTCAGTTCTTCTGCTGGGCTTATACTGAAATACTCAAGAGTGCTTCCCAAACCAAGAAGCCTACTCTCAAAGCAGACACTCATGGATAGAGGGATACAAAGTATATTGAAGGAAAAATAAAGTGTAAAACATACCAATGGGGTCCCCAACATACTGACAACACAGTATGGACAACATGGACAACACAGAACCCTGAGGCACCCTTCTTGGCACCAATCAAGACAATCTTTACCATTTCATTCTTTTAGTTGAACGTTCTTTGCACTTTGGGGGGTTGTTTTGTTGTGGGTTTGGGCTGCTTTTCTGGCCTGTGTTTGATTTGTTTGCCTGTTTTTGGAGGGAGGGCTGGGTTCTGTGAATTATCAGTTTCTGCTTCTTCTGTGAAATGGGCATTTTGTGGTACCCACAATTTCTGAGCTTTCCAAATGTTTTCCAAAGCCCCAAAGTGTTATTAACCCAGAGTGTAATTGCTTATACATATGCAACTTAAAAGGGACTCTTAAAAATAGTCCTTGAGGCAGGGGTGAGTCAGCCTAGTCCTCTTTTTAGTTATAGAACAATCTTACTCTGTCACTTATCTACATACAGGTTTTTCTTGGCTTTATGGCATTCATAAAAGTCAGGTACTTGTTAGTTATTAATGCTAATTGAAGCATGGTATTCCACAAGAGAAATTTAGACGTTTCGATTCAATTTTTCTTCCAAACTACAGTTAAGGTATACAGTCCAGATATTTTAACACTTCTCTGCAACCCTTATAATACAAGAAAATACATATGGCTTTCAAGGCATGCTTTGGGTGAATGGAACGGCTTAGGCAAATGGGATACCCTGAAAACTAAGGAAAAGGTCTGCATTTATTTGCACAATATTGAAATGCCTTTATATCAAGAATAAGGAATGTGTGGTCCCACAGACACTGTTGGACTCCAGTTCCCATCAGCCCCAACCAGTGTGGCCTATAGTCAGGGATGGTGGGAGTTGCAGTCCAAGAACATCCACAGGTTCTCCATTCATAAATCTATGGTGCTGTTGCATTTGGAGGATGGCGCTCCGTTCCAATAACCAAATCTCAAACACAATTTCTGAGAGCAGGAAAAGTTGCAGGCAAAAAAGGAAACCAACATATTCAGGAGTACAAAGTACTTTCTTTCCCTGCAAGCAAAGATGAAAGCATCTAAGATTTGTTTGTTGGGGAAAAGAAAAGGGACATGGGGGGGGGGGAGGCAGCACTTGATAGAAGTTTACTGAAGTTATGCATAACCTGTACAAAAATCCCTCTCTTATTCCATAGCAGGAGAGCAGGTCAGCCAATATAAGGGAATGGTGGTGGAACAGAAATAAGTTCATTCTTCAAGCCCTCCAACTTCTACCCGCCTTAGCTAGCATAGCCAATGTTCAGGTATGGGCGCTGCAGTTCAAAAATATCTGGAGGGCAGATGCCTGGACTAAGGGAGGGGGGGACTTTGGTCTAATCCAAAGAGGCTCTTTTAATGTTCTTCTGCAGCTCCCAAAGCTCCTCACAACAGCCTATGGTATTGTTGCGCAATTCGTCGTAAGGTATCCAGACTCAAACTCCGGCAGCTACTTTAGGAATCGGAATCCCCGACACAGACAAGAGGAGGGGAGAGGGAATCCCGCTCCTAGATGATGCAGCGAGCTCCTTGACGGGCATTCAATCCGTCCCCGCGGCCTCCGCCTTCTACCCGCCCGCGCGCCCCCCTCCGGGCACCCATGTCCCTCTCGCCCCCCCCCCCCGTACCTTCTGCGGCGGGGTGCCGAGCAGCAGCTCGAGGTAGTAGCCGCGTCCCGAGTCCCCCTGCAGGTTGTCCACCATGGCCATAAAGTTGACGGCGCCGCTAGGGTCGGAAGCCAAGGCCAAGCCCTCCGCCTCTCGCTCCGGCTCCGCGCTGCCGCCGGTCCCGTTGCCGTCCCGCGGCTTCAGCGCCACAGGCACCGGGACGAGCGAGCCGTCGGGGGCGCTCGGCGGAGACACGCGCAGCGGGAGGCTGAAGGCAGCCCGGCCTCGCCCGGCGGCCGCGGCCACCAGGAGCAGGAGACACCCGGCTGCCAGCGCCCTGCCCATCCCGGCGCCCGGCAACGACTAAGGGGGAGAGAGCGGCCGGCCGCGCGCCCGCGGCTCCTGGCTGAGCCCGCGAAGAGGCGAGGGGACGGTGGTGCCTCGACGCCCCGGCGTCATCTCGCCCTCCCGGGGTCGGCTTCGCTCCTTCCTCGCATGCCTGCCTGCCTCGACGAACCTCGACAACCCCCGGGCTCGTCAGGAAAGTTTCTTCTGGCCAAGGCGGCGCTTCAGAAAGTCTCCCGCCGCCGCCGCCAAGGCGCGCCTCCTCCTCCTCCTCCTCCTCCTCCTCTTTTTCTTTTCTTTTTTTCTATCCTGCAAACAATTGCCAAGTAACTTCCCAAACCTCGCCGAGCAGCGGATGTGACGGGATTGGAAATTGCTCGCAGGAAAAGTCCCCCGAAGGGCGGCCAGCTCCGCAAACAACCCTCCCCGCCGACGGCGCTGCTTCGTCCGTCCCTCCTCCACGCGGCCAATCAACGCGTTGCAGAGGGAAACGCGGGTCTCCCGCCGAATGGCGTTGCGGGGCGGGGGGGGGGGGTTCAAGTGGGGAGGGGAGAAGAGGGAGAGACCAGAACACCTTTCGGGGTGGGGTGGGGGGCAGCCTGCCTTTCTTCAGCAGGGCCGGCTCGACCATTAACTACTAAAATGTGGTCTTGACTATGCTACCACTCAGTGGATTTGTAACTGGCTGACTGACCGAACCCAAAGGGTGCTCATCAATGGTTCCTCTTCATCCTGGAGAAGAGTGACTAGTGGGGTGCCACAGGGTTCTGTCTTGGGCCCGGTCTTATTCAACATCTTTATCAACGACTTGGATGATGGACTCAAGGGCATCCTGATCAAATTTGCAGATGACACCAAATTGGGAGGGGTGGCTAACACCCCAGAGGACAGGATCACACTTCAAAACAACCTTGACAGATTAGACAACTGGGCCAAAACAAACAAGATGAATTTTAACAGGGAGAAATGTAAAGTATTGCACTTGGGCAAAAAAAATGAGAGGCACAAATACAAGATGGGGACACCTGACTTGAGAGCAGTACATGTGAAAAGGATCTAGGAGTCTTGGTTGACCACAAACTTGACATGAGCCAACAGTGTGACGCGGCAGCTAAAAAAGCCAATGCAATTCTGGGCTGCATCAATAGGCGTATAGCATCTAGATCAAGGGAAGTAATAGTGCCACTGTATTCTGCTCTGGTCAGACCTCACCTGGAGTACTGTGTCCAGTTCTGGGCACCACAGTTCAAGAAGGACACTGACAAACTGGAACGTGTCCAGAGGAGGGCAACCAAAATGGTCAAAGGCCTGGAAACGATGCCTTATGAGGAACGGCTAAGAGAGCTGGGCATGTTTAGCCTGGAGAAGAGGAGGTTAAGGGGTGATATGATAGCCATGTTCAAATATATAAAAGGATGTCACATAGAGGAGGGAGAAAGGTTGTTTTCTGCTGCTCCAGAGAAGCGGACACGGAGCAATGGATCCAAACTACAAGAAAGAAGATTCCACCTAAACATTAGGAAGAACTTCCTGACAGTAAGAGCTGTTCGACAGTGGAATTTGCTGCCAAGGAGTGTGGTGGAGTCTCCTTCTTTGGAGGTCTTTAAGCAGAGGCTTGACAACCATATGTCAGGAGTGCTCTGATGGTGTTTCCTGCTTGGCAGGGGGTTGGACTCGATGGCCCTTGTGGTCTCTTCCAACTCTATGATTCTATGATTCTAGAGTGATAGGGTCGCCTCGGCCCGCTCACTTTGGGTGTCAGGAACGAGCAGCAGGTGAACAATTAAATAATTAACAAAGTGGTTGCATTCTCTTGCCAGGGCAGCGAAGAGGCGCTTGTGGGAGGTTTCTGTCTCCCGGACCAAAATTAGACTGGGCTTGGCAATTTGCTGCTCAACCTCAGGTGGTAAAATGCTTTGTTACTGAACCAACGTTTGCGTAAGAGTATTTAAGGCTTCCAGTTACACTCAAGATTTATCATAAGCTGCTGGAAACACCACAGTTGTGGTGTTTTTCTTCTTCAAACATTTACTACTCCTGCGTGAAGACAAGTGGCTCCAGGAACCCTCCTTAATTTTTCTCAAAGCTTAGTTTACACCTTCGTTTACAGCCCTGGGAAGGGTGGAGGTTGCTCTGATCACAACCGGGGAGGGGGAAGATTAACCCAGGAATGGAGAGGCCCTCCAGATGTCTGTAGACTCCAACTCCCATAATTCTAGATGTGCTAGCTGGGGCTGATGGGAGTTGGAGTCCAACAACATCTGAAGGGCCACAGGTTCCCCACTCCTGGAGTAACTACAGTGGTACCTGGGGTTAAGAACTTAACTCGTTCTGGAGGTCCGTTCTTAATCTGAAACTGTTCTTAACCTGAAGCACCACTTTAGCTAATGGGGCCACTCGCTGCCGCCGCACGATTTCTGTTCTCATCTTGAAGCAAAGTTCTTAACCCGAGGTACTATTTCTGGCTTAGCAGAGTCTGTAACCTGAAGCGTCTGTAACCTGAAGCGTCTGTAACCCAAGGTACCACTGTACTGATGGTCACCACCACAAATAGGGGATTAGTGAGAATTGGGAAGGGATTATTGGTTAATTATAAGACAGTATTTCCAGACAAACTAGAACGCCAACACATCTTTTTCTAACATTAAGAGCCAGCTTTGCCTACCCACAGTTCTCAATTCTGGAATCTACAATCACTACCATATGTATAAGTTTCATTTATACTGTGTTTTTTGCAGGAGATAAAGTATCTCCATGTGGAACACAAAATGCAGGAAACATGGAGGACTGGGATATGCTCTTTACCTCCATAGAAGCAGTTTTGTTCATGTTTGTTCCACCTCCAGGAGAAGTCAAGCCGCTTTGCCTTGTGAACTATTGGATGCATGAAAGAGAGAGGGGGAGAGAGAAAGGCTTGTTTCACAACACCAAATGATTGAGGTTGTGTGCCTGCATATAATTTACCATTTGTTTTTCACTGCACAAGAGTCAGGCATGATAATCACTTCTTCCTACTGCACATTAAAATCCATCCCTATATACCTCCATTTCCGTAGAGTGTTCACCTCACCAAACAGGCAGTCCTGAAAACACTTCACTTAATGCAGTTTTTATGAATAGCTAAGGCCACCCATCCTGTTAATTACAGGGGCCAGATCAAATGAGTACAACCAGACACTGCCATGAAAATAGTGACTGCTTCCCTTTCTGTTTACTTAGGAAATGTAACGTATTGTGAAGCCTAACTGACCAGAGGCTGTCAGCTCCAAAGCACTTATTGTAGAGAATTCCTAGTGCATTAGGATTGCCATTTCTAAATCAAAATAGCTATTATTTTATTTAGAGGTTAGGAAAGGGAATATGTGGTAGAAATGTTTTGTCTGGTATAAACTGCAAGTTTGCTGAATGATAAAGCTGTGATCTGTACAGATCTCAGGAATGGGAAACTGACCCTCCAGTTGTTATTGGACTAAAACTCTCATAGTCTCTGGCCATGGTAGCTGGAGCTGGTGGGGCTTGGAGTCCAACAATGCCTGAAGGGCCACAGGTTCCTCACCCCAAAGATGAACGAAATGGAAGAAATTGGGAATCAATCCTATGCCAGGAGGGGCAGTATCTCCTGGCATATCAGGTGGGGGACACAACTTTTTCCTTCTGGATAGTTCATTCACCATTGGTCCACCCCTGCACTCAGCTCTCACCTGTGGCTCCTAGAAGCTGTCAACATCCCACAGCGGCCACACTCCTGGAATGGCTTCACCTGGCTGGTTAAACAGGTGAGGATCTCAAACCCTCTGTAAGTTAGGAACATGCCCTGCATGCGATGACAGGCTCCGGTGGACTGAGTGGATGAGACCAACAGTGGGTTCAGCAGTCAAGAAGACAGTTTCTGCATATGATGTAGAGCATAGGAGCCATCTCTTTTTTTGCTGCTGGACTCTATGAATAAGAGAATAAAGTATTAACACAGTAAAACATTCTGACAAATAACATGCTTTAAAAAGATATTCTCGATAGAAATGATCTTATTATAATTCAGCCTTTTTAAAAGATGTGAAATCTTACACCTTCCCTAGCCCCTGGGACATTTGTCTTTGCATCTCTAAGGTAGCGCAAAAGGAAATGTCAGACAGTTTAGTGATCTGAAGAGTGAAGCTCTTGAAACACAATAGCTAGCAAGCCCAGTCGGTGCCACAGTATTATCCCTGTGCTAGACAAAATGAAAAAATGTTCCATTCCATAATATGCACATATTTCTAGAAATACCTTAATAGTGTGCACACCTAGGCAATTACCTTCTTAATTCATGTCTAACTAGGTCAGAGCTAAATGGTTTAGTAAACACAGCACTTCTCCCACAGAGAATAGAGAACAGCAGTCTTCCTTTAACAGCCACGAATGCTTTTCTGGCCTATTGTGGGGGCAGGATCCAAAAGCAGCGGTAGGGTCATAACTTTCATTAGGATCAATTCAAATGTGACAAAGTAATGAGCAAGGCTTTGACCTCTCTGGAACTCTTCTTCAGGCTTGATATTAGAAGAAGTACTCAGCATGAAGTTGAAGCCCCAAAGTCTACCACTTGTAGCAGTTTTTAAGGTGAAGCACAGGAATTACTAGGCAGACTTTATGAGATTAATCTTTGCTAGGTGCAAAACTCAGCTGTCTCCAGCACTGATGGAAACACAGAGTACGGTGTGAAGCAAAACAACACCCAAGTAAAGCCAAAGATTAATTTTAGCTTGCAAATTCAATAAAAGCCAAATTGGGTACTATGCTTACTGAGATACCCAAAAGTTAAGTCATTCTCTTGGCTGGATCATACAAACATTAATCAAGCCCCAAAATATTACATATTGGTTAAATATTTTCATTTCCATTTTAACAGTAAGGATGCGGAGATACTGGAATTTTTCAGAAAAGGCATACGGTTTTGAAAGCTGACAACAAAGGATGGCTTTTCAGAAACTTGGAGACCGTACTAGAGACCTGTCATTGTTTGTGGTACACTCAATCTTCTCCCCACACCCTCCTTCTTCATCGCCATGTAGCTTCATAACCATGTAAATGCCCATTGGGAAAGACTCTGTTTTAAGACTCCATAATTATGGCCCCCAGCTACTAAACATTAAACTTAGTCTACAATCCTATGCACACTCACTGGAGAGTAAGCTGCATGAAACTCAGTGGATCTCACTTCTGAATAAACACTCTCTTAGGTTGCAATCCTAGACACACTTTTTTTTTAAAAAATGTATGGTTTAGCCAATTTTTTTAAATAACCACACAAACGAGCAAAGTCAGATATAGAACTGGGGGAGGAGGGGAAGTTAGGGAAAGGGGGTTACTCTGCACACTTACGTGGGAATAAGTGAATTGAAGTGAGACTTTCTTCTGACAGGCATAGGAGAGAGTGTCCTCCTGTGTTAACAAA